GTTCTTTGAAACTGAGTGCCTTGTACTGGACCTACAAGGCTACAAGTTTGTTCAAACAGAAAACTAGAGTTAGAAGATGGATGTAAGAAAAAAAAAATAGTGTTATTCTAATGATTTGTTTTCTTTGTATACATATAGTATTTCAGACTTTTTTTGATTAAAAATAATTAATTTTTATGTGAGGAAAAGAAGTTCAGCATATGCTATTAACAAATTGCACAATTGGAACATTCAGCATCTTTCTTTAAGTTAACAAATGGGTGTAAAGTGAAGATTTAATCCAAAAAAAAAATGTATACATTTGTGTTAAAATGATAAGCTGCAGAAAAAGGGTAAAGATCGAACTAATGAAGTTTATGTGTTAATTAAAATATATGTCGGTGTCACTTGTCAGTATATATGTGCGCACAACCACTATTCTAAATATTAGTAAGATGTTGACAAATTTTAAATCCAAAAATATCACAAATTATCACGATTTATGACCAAACAAAATTTTTACGACTTTGACAATAAATTATACCAAAAAGTTTCGGTTCATGAAAGTTTCTAAACGTTTAGTAGAAGTCCTTAAATAATTTTTGAATGCTCATTTTGAATTATAAGAATCTTCTTAAGACCTAAAATTTGTTATGTTTTAAAATTCTCAGAAAATAAAGGAAAAAATGTGGTCTTTTAAAAAAAATTCTGATATACCTTAAGACAAATTATATCCTGTAAAATCATTGTTAAATAGTCAAAAGTTATTAATGTAATATATTTGGAAGAACATATCAACATATATTTTTTCTAGCTACTTTGGTTCATGGTCTTAAGTATTTTATTTTTTTGTTTCTTTAACAAAAAAAAACTTTTTATAATTTTACACAAAGCTTTCTAGATATTTTGTTTAGTATTTTATAGCAAAGTGAGTTATACATCAATATCAGGTATCTATACCAATCTATTAAAGAATGAAATATAAAGTTAAAGAAAGAATAAATTGGTGAAAATCAAATAACCTGAAGTATCGTAGGAGGGATTTTCTAATATTGTATACACACATTTTCTTTTATTATATTGTATAAGGTGTTTGTAGAAACAATATATGTTTAAGAACAACAATTTGCTTAAGAATAAGTATAAGAAGAAGGAGTGAGTTTCTGCCAAAAAGATAAGAAGGGCGAAGTTCATCTTGATCCTTCCAATTTGTTGGTCACCAATCATACACATACGCCTTTTTTCTTTTGGTAAATATTTGTTAACTTCTCCTTGTAGGATAAAGTACTTTGTTAGTGGGCATTTTCCATTTAGTTACTTTTATAATACTTATAATTAATAATATTAATTTTAGAATCATTATTTGAATTTTTTTTTGAATGTTATAGTTCATTCTCTCCCTACCTCTCAAAAGTTTCACCTTTTAGCCACTCTATTCTTTCCATTTTTTAAGCTGAAAACGACTTCAAAACTTATATCATCTTCTTGGTCATTAGACTTTGTTTTGGAGAGCATGGAAAATTTTCTGAAACCGGTAATGAGTAACATAGCACATATGATTGATCGCAAAGGTGTTGATATATAATTTAATATGTTTTGTCTATCTATGGTGAATTATTATTATTTTGAATCAAGAACCATTTTAAAATATTTTTGAAAATATCATATTGTTTTCTAAAGTACATAATCAAAATATTGAGTTTGAACTTATTTTTCCATTATTATAAATTCTATAAAACACAAAGTTTATTTAGATATGTATCCCAAAATAACTAAAGGAGCTAAATGCTTGTTTTTTACTTTTTCTGCATGATGGTGTGGCAACCAAATGATTATGGAGACTTTAAGAGGTAAGAGAATTATAATGTGCTTATCATTGGCTCTAGGAAAGTCATCCATAAATGAACCAAGTTTTCGTTCCACAATAAGCCTTAGCCATTTGCAGTCTACGATTAGATCATAATTAGTCGTTAAAGAACTACTTGTTATAGATTTCCCATATATTTATAGCTTCAAAATCTATGTAAGTAGGTACATGAGGTTTGAATTTTGTAGAATATCTTAAGAGTAGATCGGTACGGCACTAGAGCTAGGGCCTAGGGCTAATTGTTCAATGAATCATACACATGATGTAAATTAATATGGAAGAGGGAAGATTAGTTTAAAAGTGCAAAGGCACGTTACAGAAATTGTGATGCTTTTATTAATATTGGGGACAAGTTACTTGCCAACTTTCGTTGCGTTTGAGATGTGTATAGCTTTGATTACTGCTCGATCACGTTAACTATTTATTAGCATAAGTGATGTTTAATCTGATGGACTTCACAAATATTCAGAAAAAAAAAAATTCCTATTAAATATGTTTAATTTCATTTCTGTTGGTTAGTTTATTTTAGTGATGTGTATACAAGTTCTCATGTAATGGATGTAGATGTCACGCGTTTAACACTAACACACACACATTGGTTTGCAAATGTTTGTTTTTAAACATACACTTACTTAATTACTCATTTACTATAGCATTCAAACCATTTAAAATGGTGAATAAAGTAGTGAGAAACTTCACTTAAAGGAACGATTATGGTAGTGGATTTATACTTATACCATCCAATAAGTAGAGCGCTAAAGCATTAAGCATTGATTTACATGCACATAATTGATGATTAGTGTTCCAAAGCAGCGCGTGGATGACGCGAGCCAATAAAAATTAGACATTATGCAAATTAGGGATTAACAATTTGACCTCAAGAAGTGTGAAATGTCGGCAGGTGATTGGAGAAATGACTCTCTCCATCTTTTTTTATTTGTGTGTGTGGGTTCTAATCCAACCTTAGTGCATCTTTTGTGGCGCATTATTATAACATCTATATCTATTCTGTATATTTATATTTATTCCATTAAACCTATAGACGAATATATGCACAAACACAAACCTAAGTACAAACACAAACCCTAGTCATATTTTATCTTTAAGTAGAGGTACCAATAAATACGTACGTTTTATACGTCTTAAATCCGCAGATTTCGTTATAGGCCCACTAAATCATCGCGGAAAAAAAACAATGAACAAAAATGTAAAATTAGAAACCAAATACTCTTTGTCTCTTATATCGAAATGTATACACTTTTCACCACTCCATGATATTCTGTGGACTTCTTTTATAGTCAACCACCTAGCTATAGGTCAAACTCCACCGTTTTTGCGTCTTCGTTTTAATCAAGCTTCACGATTTTGTTTTACATATCAATTTGAGAATCCATACTAATGTTTGACATCTGTAAAAAGAACCTGACTACTCTTGCCATTTAAATTTTTTACGGTGGCCGATCATTATCGAACTCTTACCTCAATGTTCTTACATGATTAATAGAGAGTAGACTTTGTTTCTCATTCTACATCGTGACAATATACGAACTACTATACAGAACTAGTAAACAGCATTTGGACAGTAATGCGATAAACATAATTAATATCATATCATGAAAATATATTGTTTGTTTATTCAAATGCGGGTCACGTGCAAACCTCGTCCTTAATCTCATCAATATATACTTGGCAAGTGCACTGTTCACATCCACAAACTCCCAAACAATAATAGTAGCACTGATATATAATGCGTTTTCTTTTTAGAATGGCCAAAAGATTGTGCAATTAGTTAGCTGTCTTATAGTATATTTATAGGAAAAAGAGAAAAAAACGAATGAGTAATTATCTGTTGTGGTTTTGTCAAGTCTTTAGAGGCCACGTCGTCATCCATTAAAAAAAAGATTGTGCATGACAAGCTGTGTACCATTTTCTTTTAGTTTTGTTGTCGTCCAATAAACTATAAAGGTCAAACATTTGAAGTCTTAAAAAGTCAAAGATCAAACATCTGAAGTTTGAGGGTGAAAAGTTTAAAACGTCACGATGTCAACCGGGTGATTGTAGATTAAACATTCCATGTCTAACTCGGTGGTTAAACATAAATAATTAAATTAACTAAAAAAACATGGGCAGAAGTAAAAAAGCTTGTGTTGCCTGTGTTGCCTCAGTTTCATTTTTTTAATGGTGTAAAGTGTAAACACTACAAAACATTTGCACCATAGTTTAGGGTTTAACAAACCATTTTGAGATGGATTTTTGTTGTAACAAGATTTGTGCCTGATTAGTGATATTTTCTAATAAGTAAACCGATACGTTCATGTGTATATCTTAAAACAATACAAGTATATATATTTCAAACCTTATTAGCTCCATGGTTGATAAAGATGTAGTGCTTCAATAATGTATGAGGTTCAAGTCTTGAAGACTGATTACGATGTAAGGTTTTGGAGATTCTAATTAGTTGTTGCAGTTCCATGTGTTATAGATAAACCATCATGATTGTTTTGTATGTATAAATTCTGAATGACTATATATAGTTGAAAAGTTGACCGATCTAAAAATTTAATTATACGAGAAAACTTGATCTTTATGTTTAAAATAAAACCAAACGAAGGGTATATAAATTATAAATACTTAAATCTTTGCACAAAAAAAATAATACTTATATCTAAATAATTATGATAAGTGATATAATCCATAATATTATCATGGCAATATTTTATGAGCAATTTGAAGAGCTAAATTATTGGAGGAATATGGGAGCAGTGAAATATGTCAACTTACAAATCTAGATAATGAGAGAACAACAAAAGAGTTCTTCCAACAACTTTATTTCTGCAGTGAACTTAGACCAAACAAAATTCCTTCTTACAAAAAAGTAATCTCACAAAATTATATTTAACCCTCGTTTCTAAAAACAGAAAGACTAACGTGCGCCACCAGTGACCGTTATCTAAACGGCGCCAAATATTCTGAAAGTATCTTTTAACAAATAAAACGCAAACGCAAACCCACTCCCACTTTCTCCTTTCCAAAAAAAGGAACACTCACACACACACACACACTCCACTTTCTCTCTCTCTCTCTCTCTCTCTCTCTCTCTCTCTCTCTCTCTCTCTCTCTCTCTCTCTCTCTCTCTTTCTTTCTCCGGCGAACAATGGAGAAAGGCTTCTCTCCCGTCGGTCTCAGAGTTCTTGTCGTCGACGACGACCCAACCTGGCTCAAGATTCTTGAGAAAATGCTAAAGAAGTGCTCCTACGAAGGTCTCTTCATTCATTCCTCAACTCTTGGATTCCAAATTCACCTGAGAAATGTTTTTTCCTCAACTTCCTCTGTTTCTTGAATTTAACTTCTGTTTGTGTTAAACAGTCACCACCTGTGGGTTAGCTAGAGAGGCTCTGAGGTTGCTTAGGGAGCGCAAAGACGGATACGACATCGTGATCAGCGACGTGAACATGCCTGACATGGATGGCTTCAAGCTTCTTGAGCATGTTGGCCTTGAATTAGACCTCCCTGTCATAAGTAAGACTTCTCAAGCAAAAATCAAGAAAGATAGTAAGTTCTTGAATTTATAAATAAAGTTTGATTATTCATCTTGTTGTGTTGCGTTACAGTGATGTCGGTGGATGGAGAGACGAGCAGAGTAATGAAAGGAGTGCAGCACGGAGCGTGCGATTACCTGTTGAAGCCGATAAGAATGAAGGAGCTCAAGATCATATGGCAACACGTTCTAAGAAAGAAGCTTCAAGAAGTGAGAGACATCGAAGGTTGCTGCTACGAAGGAGGAGCTGATTGGATGACAAGAAACGATGAAGCATTTCTTGGAGGCGGTGAAGATGTTTCTTTCGGTAAGAAGAGAAAAGACTTTGACTTTGAGAAGAAGCTTCTTCTTCACGACGAGAACGACCCGTCGTCTTCTTCTTCCAAGAAAGCTAGAGTGGTTTGGTCTTTCGAGCTTCACCAGAAGTTTGTGAACGCGGTTAACCAGATCGGTTGCGATCACAGTAAGTACGTTGGGCGACTTCAGTTTCTTCTTCCCCTCTCTAACCCCTTAAAATCATAGTCTTCTTTATAGAGCCGTGATTTTTTCCGGTCTCTCTCTCTTGTTGTTTGACAGAAGCTGGTCCCAAGAAGATCTTGGATCTCATGAATGTTCCATGGCTCACTAGAGAAAATGTTGCAAGCCATCTCCAGGTAAAAAAAAAAAAAATTTACCTTCTCATTACTCAAAAAAGTGTAGATTTGAGCTTTTCTTCACTTTCTTTGTCTTTGTCCTTTTGTAGAAATACAGACTTTACCTGAGCAGATTGGAGAAAGGTAAAGAGCTCAAGTGTTATTCTGGTGGAGCAAAGAATATGGATTCACCTCAAAAAGATGCTGAAATGAATTTAGGCAGCAGCTATGCATTCTCTGGGGGCAATTCTGTGATAGAGACTGATCCAAAGCCACTTGCTTCAGCTTCTGTCTCTGACCCCAGCAGCGATGTTCATATGCTTCCAAAAGCGAAAAAGACGCGTATAGGATTTGATCCCTCCATTTCCTCTGGTGCGTTTGAGTCTCTGCTTCCTTGGAATGATGTTCCAGATCCACTTGAATCCAAGCCACCGATTCTGTATGATGAAAGCTTTCTACAGCAACAACAAACATTGCCAAGCCAAAGTTCCTACGTTGCAAACTCTGCAACTTCTCTCATGGAAAAGGAAATGAAGAAGCCTTCTTATGAGTCCTCATCAGCAGGAGGCAGTCGTGTGAATGCGGATGAGTTTCTCAAGAGCCCTAATGTAATCCTCCAAGATTTGGACTTGTCCGCTTCCTCTGAGAAGCTTCAAGAGTTCAGCTCAAATGTCACCAACAATACAGAGTCCACTCTGAGAAGCTTGAACTGGGAATTTCAAGAATCACATCCTTCTGGTGCTTTAGACAATGACTTAGACTTGAGTTGGCTTCAAGGCGAGCGCTTTCTTGCAAACACCGGATTTCAAAACTTCCAGTTTCAAGATTACAGTAGCAGCCCATCACTTCTATCTGAGCTCCCACCTCACCTTTGGTTTGGCAATGAGAGGCTGCCTGACCCTGATGAGTATTCACTCATGGTAGACCAAGGTTTATTCATCTCTTGACCTTTTCTTCCATTTAACTTCTTTTTCGTATATTGGTGGATGTAATGCAGAAAGATTTTGTGGGTATACCTGAAAATAATCTTGCTTTTCCCAAGAAACCTTCAATGATCGAATGCATGCGTGTACAATATAATCCATGAGTGTCATAGGCTAATTACAGTAAACAGTTGGATGACAATGATAAGACCACATATGTTTCATTCCGTCGCTTAAGATACTCACATTGGTTCCTGGAAGGAAAATACCTGACTTGTCATATCTAGAAGTTAAGATCTCTCTACACATTGTATCTGTAATGGCAAACTTAGCACACTTTCACATCCTCTTTGGACATCCCAGGCATGGCAAAAACTATTCTTGTATTCGTTCTTCTCTATTCTCTACTGCACACTTCTACCTGTTGGGATTCTGTCCCATAACCTTAGGATCAAAGAATGTTAGAGAGTTCACAACAATACAACTAATGAGGGTTAGGGAAACGTTTTTCATCCAATGTATCCAACGGTTGCTACCAAATCCACGATGGGGAGACTACATAGAGTGGTTACCTGACTGAGCTCTAATTCATTCATAACAAACAAATATAAAGCTCTAAACACAGCAATGTTGGGAAATTCTAGTGCACAGAACTACAGTTTTACTACGGGAGCAATGAGAGAAGTTCTACTTTATCTCTGCAAATGGTCAATGTTCTTTTCTAAAGCTTTGGATCTCATCCACAAATGCAATTAAGGATTTCATGGGAATATACAGTGAGAACTTTTCCAATTTTCTACTACTAACACTTGATATATGTACATCTAAGAACAGCTGAACCCGCAAGTTGTGCAACGAAAAGCTCTTTCTTTGAACAAATCTACAGATACAATAGGTTATATGTTACAAGAGATTTAAGAGAAGCTGTTTAGTATGAAGAAAATGTGCACAAAATAGCGGGCGGCATCTCGTCGTTTCCAGTGACCTTCTGCAGAGCTCATAGCAAGAAGACTGAGACATCAAAATCAGCCCCTCAAGTGTCAATCGTTCAACTTTGGACCCTGAAAAACAATATCATATGATTCATATAATTTGACTGAAAATGAAACGAAGAAAGATTCAGTACCATTTACACTTACTTGGCTTTCTCATCTGTGGTTTCTTCAGTTTCTCCCTCTGTCCCAGGATTCAGCGATGATATCTTCCCGAATGACTCTTTTGCATCCCCAAAAAAGTCTTTCACTTTGTCGAACACTGTTTTAAGCTGGTCTTGCGTTGGGAGCTGTGATTGTTCAAGAAAGCATATATTATCATCTTCATTGCATGGAGTTTGATAACTAATCTTAAAGTGGTTGTATATAGCTCACCTCGATAACATCAGAGGTACTAAGTGCAGCTCTCATGTTTCCATTTTCCTGAATATATACAATGCAGCCACAATAAGTGAAAACAAAAACAAAACAAAAATCTTTTCTTATGGTCACATAGAGAACTTACAACAAGTTTGTAGCCATATCGAAACTCAGTGGCTGACCGCAAGACTCTGTGCTGCTTAATTGCTGTCTTTTGTATCTCCTTCTCATCCTGGTGAAAGATTGACCAACAATCAGAAATCACATATTGGTAAAAGCTGAATCAGATCCACACAGCCACAACTTACTCTGTAAATAACAGCAGCAATGTTTCTTGCAATGGTGTCTTTGTATATATACTTCCCCAAGAGGTTATCTTTCGCAGCAACCATGATCTTCGCTGTGGTACCACCAGCTATTATACTCAGAGGATACCAAAGATACACCTGTTCATGTAATTCAAGAAACAAAATTAAGCCAAATCGATGAACAATTGCAATCTGTAATTGGTCTACGAGGGTCGAATTGTTCACTCCTATGAGAAGCTATTCAATTTCAATAAGTTGAAATTCACTCCTACGAGAAGCTATTGAAGATTAAGTGAAACAACCATAGAAATGATGTGAGAGATAAGAGAGAGACGAACATTGGCCATACGAATGAAGATAACGAATCTAGGGTTTCCGTCTTCTTCAATTTTGGGCATAGGAGGAGGCGTACGAAGATTCTGACGAGAGCCCATACCTTTTTTCCCTTTCGCCTCCACCGTAAAAACCATCCGACGCTGCTGCTGCACGTTCCTCTCTCGGCATGGCGGCGTTCTCGAGGTGAACAGCGAGTGTCTCGCTAGCCCAAACTCTTCGAATCTCCCCGTGCTCTTCAGCGGAAGCCGAGTTAACGCGTTTAGAGACATACTCACCTCCATTGAAAGCACTTGAATTTCACCTCTGTGCGCAAAACGGGAAGTTTTGGAGATGACGATGAATGATTTCGTGGATTCGTACCTTATCCACTGAGCGTGACACGTGTCCTTCTCGGTTTAACTGTAAACCGGATCGTCATTTAGCCACTTAATTCATATGTACCAGCTTGAACCACCTCACTAAACTAAACCCAATCGTTCCTTTTTTTGGTTGGTACCATGAAGAAGACAAGAACCAAAATGTATCTTTTTTATTCTCTTGGTGTTACATAACTTCATAAGGGTAACAAACCAAAGAAGTCTAATGTTGAAGAGAAGCTAAGACTGAGGATACAATGTGAAGTGAACCAGTGACTATAACCATTCCTGAGTCATCACCGGTTATGTGATCGGTGAGAATCTTATAGGCAAGCTTTAAAGATCCAAACACAGTTTTGTTTTCTGACACTTTTATAGACCCTGATCCCAATTCATCAGCAGCTTTTGTCCATGATTCCTTCAAAACAGAAGAGGCCGTTGATCTAACCTTAGATCCAGCAATATCAGCTTCCGTTAGAACCACTGCTTCTGGTGTTAGACCTGAGAGAAGCTCTTTCGCAAAGGAGACATGATCTTTGTCACTAGCCATTGCAACCACAAACACCAATCTCTTCTCTGCAAAATCCTTCTTTACCATCTCCTTTAGAGCTCGCGCAGAATCTTTCGTGTGAGCTGAGAAAACAGAACCAAGATTAAACAGAAACATAAACCGATGGTTGCGAGATTTAAGCACAAAAAGGCAAAGAGAGAACAAAACCTCCATCAAGAAGCACTGTTGCTCCGGGTAACTGTAAAGCCTCTGCTTCTTTTGGTGTCAGAAACTGACTTCTACCAAGTAAACGAGTGTTCTCTAAACCAATCCTTATAGCTTCATCTGTAACTCTCCCAAATCCTTGATCGCGAAGACAGAGAGACACACATGTGGCAGTAACAGCATTCTGGAGCTGGTGATGTCCAAGCATGCGTAGATTCACATCACCAAGCTCAACAATCTGCATTCACAATGTACAAATATGTTGATATATCAAGAATCACACAAATGAAACTCTTGCTCCATATACTTACTGGTTTATCATCTTTCTCATTTTGTATTACAATCTCACAGGACTGACGAAGCCCGACCCCGTTTCTGTCGATGATGCGTTTGACTGAAGAATTTGATCCAATATCAGATGCCAATATAACTGGTGATGACATTGATGCTGCTTTAGAACGAAGAATGTCTTCGATATGAGGAAGAAACGGTCCACCTAAAACCACCTACAAGATACATATAACAACACATAAAACTCTATCAATCAATCAATCAATGTGCTTATAAGCTAAATGATTTATAAGACAACCACTCAACTGGACGGCCGTGTTTAATAATTCCAGATTTGGCCTCTGCTATCGTTTCCAAGGAACCTCCAAGAGCAGCCAAATGTTCCTCGCCTATCGTTGTTATGACCGACGCAGCAAGATTTGAGCTTTCAATGATGTTTGTAGCATCTCGAGCTCCTCCAAGCCCAGCCTGACGATTACTCAAACCCAAATGTAAAACAGAGACTTTACCAAAACTGTTCAAACAAAAGCAAAAGACAGTTTCTTTAAAGCAAAAACCACCAACCTCTATAACCGCAATGTCGACGTTTTGTTTAGCAAACAACGAAAAGGCAATCCCAGTGAGAATCTGCCAAAAAAGATATGTGTAATATATAAGAAGAGAGAAAACTGTGTAAAGGTAGGATCTTTGAAGAAGCTAGATAGATTAGTAAACCTCAAAATGACTTAAAGAACCATTTTCCTCTTGGATAGACTGGTCAAGGATCGGTTTTATTGACTTGAAGACATCATTGAGAGTGGCTGCAGAGACAGGAACTCCATTACATGACATACGTTCTTTGATACTCAATATATGTGGGCTGGGGACGACAAGAAGAAAGGCTCATTTATGTTAGTAATCATGAAAAAAATCTAACTCACAAGATAATCAAAAGTCTCAAATAGTTACCTAGAATAACAAGCAACTGAATATCCTCCAGCTCGTAAGATATTTGAGAGAAAAGCAGAAGTTGACCCTTTTCCCTTTGTTCCAGCCACATGAACAACCTACAATCACTTGCCTCATTCTTAATTTCACATTTAAGAATCCACTAATCATGAACTACTACTATGCATAACACATCAAAAAATCCCAACTTTAAACTCATAAAGATTCAAACTTTTTAGGATGAGATTAGAGAAAAAAAGTGGTAAATTAGCAAAGTAGGAACCTTGTAATTGAAATGAGGATTGTCGAGACGAAGCATGAGACGTCTCATTCTACGGAGATCGAACCCTTCACCGGAATCAGTTCCAGCTCCTTTTGGCACACCGGATTTCTCATAGTTTTTGAGTGATTCTAAGAAACCAACGAAATCTCTGAGCTCTGGATCTTCAGTAGAAACCATGGTTGATAGATTGCGATTCGAGGTCAAGCTTGCTGCGGATATTCTCCTGGAGAGAGTTTGCAATTAGAAATGGTACTCAAGTGGCTCCACATTGCTCTCATCTTATAGTCAGAGATACCAGAGTCCAATCGTCTCTGTAATTATATTCCAGAAGCTTAATGAGATTTGCAGATGGTTGCTCGCTGCCTTAGATGAATCCTGCAAAACATAAACAAACGGAAATGTAGACCATTCGATGAAAAAGCAAGCCACCTTAACATCACGAACATGAGCCAGGACCAAGTAAGTATGTTCACTAGAGTTTCTACGAGTCATACTTAACACTAATATCAAATCAAACCTGATACTATAGTCTAAAGCCAAATATGAAACATGTACCATAGAGAAAGAAACAGAGCAGAGAAAAAGCCAACTGAGAGAGGAAGAAAAGGAAAAAACCTTTAAGCCAAAGTTGAGATTGCGTTTTCCCTTAGCCCCTTCTTCTCCAATCTGTTATAGAAGAAACAATCTCTCAATTCATCACACAACAAATATAAGATTTTAATCTTCCCTTAGCTTCAGCGATGCATTAATTTTAATCTGACCAAGAATTAAAAATATCCGATTGGAGAACTATTGTCATTAACCAATAGAGATGTTAGCATAGAATCTGGATATAGAGATGTTAACATAAAACCCTCTCAGCCAAAGTTATCAAGACACATAATTAACAACAGTATAGTCACAGTTATGTCAGAGATTTATTAGTATTCTTTAATGTGTGAGAAGAAACAAACTTAACTAACCTTGCTGAAATATACAGGACAGTGACGTTTATTTCTTTTTCTCACTACAAGAAGCTCAGACTGCAAATGACAATTACGAGAGGTTTTATCAGATAAGATAACATTAGAACACAAATAACACAAGAAGAATCTCAGACTAGGCTTCGAGGATAAAATCCTTATTCACATAGTCAGATCAAGCTAACTGACTTGAATTTACTACTGAAATCACTGAGAAATTCACTATTTTTTTTTCTGAAAAACAAGAAATACTACTAACCATAAATTATGCCATTTCTTCTCTGTATAAAGCATTAAGAGGGACAGTTAAGCACAAGAACCAAACGCATTCTACCATTTCTTCTCTATATAAAGCAAAAAGATGCATTATGCTACTAAATAAAACTGCTGATAATTGAATTCCACGGCCTAATACTACTACTACGATACAAATCAAGTCTGTAAAACAGAGAGGCAAGGTGAAAGACTACATAGAGAGAGCATAAGAAACTTCCAAAGGCTCAAAAATTAACATTCCATAGAAAACGAGCAAGCAACTTGCCTGAGCGGCGCCGCCGAGATCTCGCCGGAGAAAGTGATTCGTCGAGAGAGAGAGAAGAGCGACGCGAGAGAGAGAGAAGGGAAATATGTCGATAGATTTTAGGTGTTTCTTTGTAATTTTCAAATATAATGAAGGTTAAATTGGCCATTTACAAAAACGAGATGTATCAACTTTTATTACAGCTAGATGCACCGATTTGTGACTTCAGCAAGCAATGTCAGACGCAGAGAAAGGTTAAGAAAACGAACGATTACAACTAAATTGTTGGGTCCTCTCAACTCATTAACAAACATCATCGATAAACCAATGTCTATCCGACAACAACAACAACAACAAAAAAATGTTCAGCTTGACGATTGGATGATCCATTAGGGGGATGCTAAAGTTAGGTGCAGAGATCACAAACTATATGTTGTCCGGCTATCGATGAAAGCTTGTATTGATGGTTCTCTTCCAAGAAAACTAGTAAGAAGCTCCATGGCATCTTTGCCTCCTCCGTGGGACAACACCTAAGAAGAAAGTTGGTGTTGTTAATACTCTCACAGTCACTGACTACTAAATTTAAATAATCAAACAAAGAAGCTTCGTGTACTTTGTCTCTGAACTGCAAGCCCGTATACAGATTCGGATGCCCATCCCCAAATTTTGTAGCAAATATATCAGCAGCAAACACCTGTTGTGGAACAAAACCGGTTTCTCAGAAGAAAAACAAAAAAAAACATGGAAAGATCTGATTCAAATCATTACCTCACTCCATATACGGCTGTAACATGTTGCTTCAGAGCCAATTACGGCACGTGGGAAACATGAAGCAGGGTTTGTTCCTTCCACCACTGGTAGCCCTAACATTACCTGTATAGAGAAGAAACTACTACATTATAATGACGATTTACTTCTCGTAAATAAACCGGATATTGCTTTGAGAGTTTCTGCTTTTACCTTTGGGTGAAGGCTCCTGATTAGCTGGTGAAAGTCCACGTCATCGTCCGAATATATTCTTTGATCGAATAAACCTGATCATCGACATTTCAAACATTATTAGTTAATGCCACATTTTTTTATGTAAAACTTATGGTTCCTCAAAACACATAAATCCTAACATTTGTGAAGATATTTATATGTACAGAACGAAAAGGTAATATAAGCATCAAGACAATTGTTGACAGGAGGCATGTTTAAAGATGTCTCACAGTATAATATCTCCTGGAGAGACTTGAGTGCAGAGAAAGAATATCGCCAACGTTTGAGTGTTTTGCATACTTCATCCACAAGTGGCTTGGTGACATCCTGCAAGTCCAATGAATCATATAAATCAGTGACAATCTACAAGTTGACCCAAATTATTATGACTACAAAAAAACAACTGTCGACAAGTTTGTCTTCAAAAGCACTCACTTGACGATAACCTGATATTAGCTTCAAGGTGAAACTCTCGTAACACCTATAAGTACCCGAATCATATTCATATACAATCTGTAAGATTTGTGTTAATACAAGTCTAAAAAATAATAATATATCAGTTTGCTTGCCAGTTTTCCAATAGTTGTGAAGGGATCTCCCGAAAGTCAGGGTCAACACGTAGGCCCGAGAATCTAGCAAATGAAGCTCGATTGCAGATATGTTGGACCTATTTGCCAATAGTTAGCAATGAACATTAGCTCATGTCATAACATCTTTTGATATATACAAAAGATATCCAACATAATTTATTCTACTGTTCCAAGAAACCAAATCATATTCACGTACCACATGGCCAAACTCATGAAAAAGGTTAACCACCTCAGAGAATCCCAACGGCAAAGCTTCGCCACCACCATCCTTTGCACACTGTGCAATAAGTAATGCCACAGGAATCTGGAGACAAGACAAAAACAAAAACAATAGTCAGATCAGGAATACTAACGCGTTAGAATACATCCACACGAGATCCCAGTATGGAGTTATATATCGAACTGCAATACACTTCTGCATAAAGGTCTGACATGGATGTAAGATTGTCACCTGACATGCACCATTGGAGAACAACGCATTGTTCTGAAGAGACACCACACAGCTGTGACTAAATTTCCCTTCCCTGTCCAACAAATTTTCACAAGTCACAACCTAAAAAATAAAATGGACGCTCTGAAATGAAGAGGAGGATGAAGTAAGGTTTTATGGACCTTGAAAACATGTCAAGATAGAAATAACCCAAAAGCTTTCCAGACCCGGAGTCAAAAACGGCAAAAGCTCGAACATCATAATACCAGACATCAACTTCTGTAACCTCCTCAATTTTTATTCCTGCATGGAGAGCTCATAAAATTTGTCGGCAAGCTATGACGAGAAGGAGATGAAAAACTAGTACAACCCCTTGAGGTACATAAGAAAATCAAACAATTTAAATGTACAGACTCTAAACTCACCAAAAAGGTCCTGGCATATTTTAAAGATCCCGGGAAGGACCAAACTGACAGGGAAATATTGTCGGATATCTCCAAAATCAAGATCAAACTGCAACTCCTCTACCCTTTTTATATAGTACAAAAGATCTTCTATGCCAAACGGAAGCTCCCCTTCTTCTTTCCTCTGAAATTAGAACCGGGCAAGTTAAGTATTCGGAACGCATCACCTATTATATACTCCATATAATACCAACATTACATCTTACCTTCAAGTCTTTCAAAATGGAAAACTCTCTAGTAGCCAAATCAGTTAAACCGGAAGAGATGTCCTCCAGGAAGCTGATCACCTGGACACAAACAGGGCATCAGTACAAACAAGATAATGAAGAATGATAAACTAATCACTTCAAGGATGGATCATTCACAAACCCTCGTTGACGTCTTTGACATCCTACAATCAAGAGCATAATCTGCAAAGTGTGCATAACCAAGTAAGCGAGCTAATCTATGGCGTGACTGAACCTGCAGAGATGAGAATAGTAGGAAGTCAACTGATTGAAGTCTGCTGCAGGCTTCTGTCAAAGGGTTTCTGGAATAGACATGCAAGTACCAATTTTTCTAACACTGGAATATTGGCGTCTCCACATCTCTTTCCATATGCCATAGCCACCGTCTTCCTTGTCTTGGCCATCTACAAAGTTAACAGCAAGAGCCAAACAAAATTCAAAGACAGATTCTAATGCAGTGGCCTGGACACACAGATGTTGAAATTATTCATGGTTATAAAATCGCCCGAGTGACTGGAAAGTGGAAACTAACTGTATCTGCCACTCCTTTTTTTGTGGAATTCTTACCTTGCACAACTCTAGAATAGCTGCCACATTACGGCTTTCCAAGGTGAGCTTAAATTCGTTGTTTCGAGCTTTTTCCAAACTCTGGAGGAAGAAACGCAAGAATGAGATACACTTCAGGAAAAGTCACGTCCTAGACAGAGAGTAAGCTAAATAACATTTGGGATAATCACCTGAAGAAATTCTAGAGGCAAACCAGCAAGCTCATCCTCAGTAAAAAAGAGACAAGAACTATCTTCATTTAAATTCTGAACGTATCGGGAGCTTAGCTCATCAATTTCACTTTTCAATCTCTCCACTTCCTCTCTTTTTGTTGCAGTAAGGTTCAGACCATTCTGCTCGAAGTCTCTAACCTGTCACTGATAAAACAGAAATCAATACTTTCGATTCAACTCACACAGCTTAGTAAAGGCAACGAGAGGTCTGCAAACAACTCTTGGAAATGTGCTATGAAAGGAAGCTCACTATTCCAACCGCTTTTTTCAAATGCAACTGAAGAAAGATCATGAATGCAAAAACCCTCTGGTCCAACCATTACATAGTGCTATTTGATAGTACATGAGGATAAGAATACCTCAAAAGACTTGTTACATACCTAGAAAAAACAAGTATTGATTATTGATTCTCATTCACAACTGAACGTGTTGTTAAACAAGTTGTGGCTAATCAATCAAATTTCTATAGCACAACCTTAAATTAAGTAAACATCAGTAGCACAAAGTCATGGACCAAACAGATTCTAGAATTGTGAAGGATAAATCATAAATGATAACAACTACCCCAAGGAGGACAGATTTTGTTAGCAGTAATGCCTGAGAGAGTGAAAAAAAATTCAAGGCAATATATAGGAGGAGGTCATGATTCAATTTTCCTTACCAGACACAGTAGGTAACATTTAGCTTCTGGGGAAATTGATTCTCCCTTTGCAGCATAAATCTTGATAACACGGTAAACATCTTCACGTTTTCTGATAAGCTTGCACAAAGATTGATCTTCAGTATCATGTCAACTAATAAAATGGATCAGAAATTTCAATTCCAAGACGGAAAACAAGAGCAAAACGAGTCCAGAAAACACCTGCAGGACAATATATGAGCGTCGATATTCTGCTCTGCTTCAGCACTGGCTCTACGAACACTATCTTGGGGAGATAACATTTTAGGAAATACACAGCATTGTATAAGCGATAGCTGTCTCGCTTCAAGCTCTGCCAGCGGCAATACAACATTCTCATAAGAGAGCTACACAAGCATTAACAACGAGAGAGATCAAGGTCAGATATATTTCCATATCCATCTGCCTCTTCAACAGAAGCTGAATTGAGTGTATTTCCAGTATCCAGTAATTTCAAATACCTTATTTAGAGGAACCAAGGCAACAGTATCATGAATTCTCGTCGACTTGGATATAATTTCGTCGGCCAATTCTAGAATCTCCTTCGCCGATAGGTTCACACAGACAGTATCACACCCAGGAAGACCTAAATTTCATCAATTACGGCATTGTAAGACACGAATTCGCGAAATGCGGAATTGAGCGAAGAGAAACTGAAATGAAGACGAGCAAAAGCAAAGCGGGAGCGAGAGAAATGCCTTTCTTCTTCGATTTTTCCTTGTGAGACTTGAAAGCGAAGATGGCGAAACTGACGGCGAGTCCTAGCAGCCCAGCCGCTCCGGTGAAGGTTACAAGCTTGAGCTTCTTAGGATTAGATCCTTTCTTTCTCTCGTCGTTTCCATCGTTTTCTGTCATTTTCCTCTCGGATTTTCTCTCTGGGAAAAAAAAATTGGCTCCGGGAGTGGGAGGGAAAAGCCGAGTGTCCCTCGCTCGCTAATTTTATCTGTGCTTGATTTTCAACTAATCGTGTACTTTTCTACTTTCATGCTACAGGCCCATTTAAAAGCCCATGAGATTCGTCTGCGGCAAATCTTAAGCAGTCATCCATACGTTGAACGCAAATGCAGAAAAACCCTTAGCGAAATTCAGTATCCTGATCCCGATTTCTTCTCCGGTGTTTTCCCGAGAAAATTCCAAAGCCATGGCTCCAAAATCGAAAGAGAAACCCAAAGCCCCAACTCCACAGCCTCCTCCTGCAATCGAAGATCTCTTCGCTTCTCTTCATAGGAATATCGATAAATCTGATTATGAAAAAGCCGTTAAGGACGCTGATCAAGGTTCAGATTCCACCTCCCTCTTCCTGTAATTCATATTGTATTCTGTAAATTGAAACCGTGATTTGTTTCAGTGTTGTCGATTGCACCTAACGACGAGGATGCGATCCGATGTAAAGTTGTGGCTCTTATCAAAGACGATAAGATCGATGATGCTCTCTCCGTCATTCAATCGTCTCGGAATCTTCCAATCGATCTAGGGTTTCAAAAGGTCAGTTTTCGCATCAATCGAACTACGTTTCCTCTGAAGAGCTTCATAAATGCTTAGATTTACTGTAATGCGTTCGCTGAAAATGAATATTGTCTTCTCTTTTGTCCTTTGAATAGGCATATTGCTTATACCGTCAAAACAAGTTAGAAGAGGCTTCTGCATGTTTAAGAGGCCGAGAGAGAGATCCGGAGACTTTGCTTTTGGAAGCTCAGATTCTGTACCGTCAGGGAAACGCGGCTGCTTGCGCCGATGTGTATCAGAAACTGCAGAAGTCCGGGATCGAAACGGCAGAGGTCAATCTCGTCGCGAGTTTGGTTTCAGCTGGAAAATCTTCTCAAGTTCAAAAAGCATTGGAGGCTTGGAAGATCAAACCAACTCATAGCTTCGAGTTGGCCTTTAACACTGCTTGCTCTTTGATTGAAAACCATAATTACTCTGACGCAGAAGAACTTTTGCTCACTGCCAAGAGGTATATCACATTATATATTATCACTCTTTTCTCTAGAAATCTGAGAAATGATACTCTTTGGATTGTCTCATGCACCATTGTACTATCTAGGATCATTAGACAGTAAAATAGTTGTTAATGCTCAACTGTTTAATAATTTTCACATCAACATTGATAATCACATCAATCTAGTACTAGGGATGTATACATGTTTTCTAGTTTTTTTGTATCTTTATCAACACTTCCAAGTAATTTGATCATTTGACTACTGAATTTTCCAGCTTTTGTACAATGTCACGTCATACTGATAAATATACTGTTGTTTTGAGACAGAATGGGTCAGGAAACCCTCACAGAGGACGATTTTGCTGATGCTGATGTTGAGATTGAGCTGGCCCCAATGACCGTCCAACTAGCATATGTCCAACAGGTATTTTTAATGCTACTCAGTCTTTTCTTTAATTTTGATCTTTTAGTCGTTCGTTAGTAACATAGTTTTTTTTTCTCATCCCATCAGGTCCTTGGACAAACTCAAGAAGCCACCAACTCTTATCTAGACTTCATCAAACGAAATGTGGCTGATGAGTTGTCAGATGCTATAGCTGTGAACAACCTTATCGCCTTGAAAGGCTCCAAAGACATTTCTGATGGCTTGAGGAAACTTGATCGGCTGAAAGAAAAAGACTCCCAAAGTTTCCAGCTTACTCAAGCACTTGAGACCAAGCTTTCACTGAAACAGAAAGAGGCTATTTATGCCAATCGTGTCCTTCTTCTCCTCCATGCAAACAAGATGGATCAGGTCCTTTTAACTTGAACTCTACCTTTTTCCTCTTTGTCTTCTTCTTTGTTTACTCTGCTTGACTAGTTAAGAAATTCTTTTACCGCAGGCACGAGAACTTTGTTCTTCACTGCCGGGACTGTTTCCTGAGAGTGTTGTTCCTACATTGCTTCAAGCTGCTGTTTTGGTGAGAGAGAACAAGGCTGCCAAAGTGGAAGAGCTTCTGGGACAGTATGCCGAAAAGTTCCCGGAAAAGTCTAAGTTGCTTCTCTTGGCCAGGGCACAGATTGCTGCTTCCGCCAGTCATCCGCATGTAGCAGCAGAGTCCCTCTCCAAAATCCATGATATCCAGCATTTCCCTGGAACTGTTGCCACCATTGTTGCTCTCAAAGAGCGTGCTGGGGACAACGACGGCGCTGCTGCTGTTCTTGACTCTGCAATCAAGTGGTGGTCAGATTCGATGACCGAGGACAACAAGCTTTCCATATTGATGCCTGAGGCTGCTTCCTTCAAGCTCAGGCATGGTCAAGAAGAAGAGGCTTCACGGCTATACGAGGAGATTGTGAAGAACCATAACAGCACAGACGCTCTTGTTGGTCTTGTGACTACACTTGCTCGTGTCGATGTTGAGAAAGCAGAGAGTTACGAGAAACAGCTAAAGCCGTTACCCGGATTGAAGTCTGCTGATGTTGATAACCTAGAGAAGACCTCTGGTGCTAAACCCATTGAAGGCGCTGCTACTGTTGCTGTTGAAGACGTGAAGAGCAAAGAGAAGGCGAAGAGGAAGAGGAAGAGAAAGCCAAAGTATCCAAAAGGATTCGATCCGGCGAACCCTGGTCCACCTCCGGACCCTGAAAGGTGGCTTCCGAGAAGGGAGAGGTCGAGTTACAGACCTAAGAGAAAGGACAAGCGAGCGGCTCAAATCCGTGGCGCGCAAGGTGCAGTGACCAAGCAAGATAAACAAGAAGCAGCTCCTACTTCAAAGACCCAAGCGACGACCACTAAGAGTGCAGCTGATTCAAAGCCTTCTTCCTCTAAAGCCTCCTCTAAGGCTGCGAAAAAGAAGTCCAGGAGATAAATGGAACAACCCGTTAAAAGAACATTTCATCTTCTCTGAGAGAACATATAAAAAGTACTTTAAATTACAACTCAGGAACTGGATTTTGTTTTTTCTTGTTCTTTTTCTCTTTGGATTTATCATTTTTAGTTGTATCGACTATCGACCCATTTAAGATTTTGGTTGATTTCTCGTTTACAATTGGCTTGATTCTTCTGCATTAGTGATTGTTGAATCAAAGAAGAGAAAAAATCAATAAATCACAAAGGAATAGCAAGAATCAAATGGATGGATATACAATAAATGGTGGTTTGGTTTGATTAATCCTCTACTAATCAAATCACTTTTCAGATTTCTTGCGGAGATCTTTCATCCATTTGAACTCAAGTATGGTCTTAGTCTTGCTTTTGCTTCCATCTTCTTCCTTCTTCTTCTTGTTCTTCTTTCTTTTGCTGTCATCATCCTCAATCGTCGAACTCGGAAGAGGGTCAGGGTTATTATAATCCCATTGATCAGCCCACGATAGCCCTGTATCCATCTTCGATCTTCTTGCAGTTGTTTTCAGAATCAAGAAAGAAACATCTTATAACTATTTATTTATAGATTTGTTGTTCTTGTTAATCCCCCTTGCCTCGACTCTACTAGTTTTCAGTTTTTTGGTTATTTTTGGTAACCAACTCCTCCTAAATTCCTCTCTGGTCTTTGGTTATCTGCTTTGTTGGCACACAAAGAATCAAATGTCTTTCTCTGTCTGTTGGCTGAATAATAAACCAAAGAATGTTGGCTGAATAATAAACCAATCTTTGGTCTAACTAACTGCCTTCACCTATTTACATAATGAAAACATTTCACATCCAAAGAAGTAAGAACCCTCTGTATCTAAGAATATCATTTAATCTATCTAATTGAAATAGTGTTACAAACAATATAACCAGTTTCATAAATGAATCAAAAGACAATAAAAAAATTCACAAATTGTTTCATCTAAAAGAACTCAACATGATCAGCTATCTCTCTACAAACAAGCTTCGACTCAGCAGCCAAAGCAATGCTTTTAGCAATAGCAAGCCCTGTCCTCTTATGCGTAGAAGATGGCTCAAACTTCCTCACTTCTCCATCATCCTTCCCTAACAACAAAGCCTCCCTCGCAGGAACCACATTCTCCCACCAAAACTCCCTCAACACCTCATGTATCATCCTCCAATAGCTTCTATCTCTCACCACTCGAAACACCGTGCTCCCGTTCCTCGTCCAGCAGTACAAATCCACCCACTCCCTGTCCATAATCTCCATCTGCCCCTGCATCTGAGGCATGTAATAAAACGGAACTTTCGACCAAGGCAACACAGTCTCAGTCTTCCCTTTGTTGTAAGGACACTTCACTTCAAGAATCCCGGAACCAAGAACTCCGTCCGGTGAAGCGCCAAGCCAGTGGTACTGCTCTTGAGAGTGAAGAGCAAACCCCATTGTCCCAACCTCACATCCCATTATCCTCTTGTACCTCTCTATCGCTGCTGACTCCATCTCCACGCCCCAACTCATCGCAAGCTTTGCAGAGTCTTCGAAGACTCGTGTCTCCGATTCGTATACTTTCTCGTGCCATAGCTCAGAGCGGCGGTTTTTCTTCCAGAAGCCGAGCGCTGTGCTGAATGTGCTCGTGGTTAGCTTGTCTTTCCGTAGAGCGAACCATTCTTGTGATTTCTGTGGGATGTCTGATGGTGAGAGAGAGCTTGTGACGACTAGTGATGGTGAATGAGGAAGAAGAAAGAGTGGACCTTTTTGAGTTTGGGAGATGATGAGTGGTGGTGAAGAGGAAGTTGTGGAGAAAGACTGTGACTTTCTGTTGGTCAACCTCTTTGGGAGAGAAATTGAAGTTCGTAAATTGGAGATTGAGCAAGTTCTCATTGCTGATAGAATCATGGTGTTCGGATTCAAGACCCTACAGAAACCTGATACAGAGGTTAGTTAAAGCCAATTTCAACTAGCTTCAATTGATAATAACACAAGAAATTTATTGTATCAGTGATTATTGAAGCATAATCCTTATCAAAGATCATAACTTTTTGACAAACCTTCATAAAATAAGATGGAAAAAACCAAACTTTGAAATTGAAAAGCATCAATTGGATTGGGAAACTGAAAGAGAACATATATCAACTAAAATGGGGAATTGGTTTTAGTCACTGCTATGTTATTCATCAAAATCGAACAACGCACGCGATTATGGTTTTTCTTAATCCCTTTTTAAGAAGTCAATTACACAGATAGGGAAAATTAAAAGTATGAGGAAGTACACAAGGTGTTCGATGATATTACCAGAGCCACACTTCAGGGAGAGAGACTCGGACATTCCGAGACGAGGAAGCGGAATTGAGAAGAAATTGATTTAGTAGACGATACTTGAAGTACCTTCATCACCAACAGATCATTTTATAAATTACAGGAGAAGTTTCTAAAGAGATGAAGAAACCGTTCTATAGGACAGTTATAAAACCCGATAAGAGAGATGAAGAAGAAGTTGTCTTTCGACTGATTTTAACGGTGTCGTTTTGGTGTTTTAGGTCCATTGGTCTTGTCTGTGAAGCCCAATTACAATAACCATCTAGACCAAGAAATAATGAAATATCAGTTAACCCTCGGTATTCGAAATTTGGCATGATCTGGTCTGATTTCGAGCAAAACTTGACTCTGAATTCAACTAGGTTGAGTTACCGACACCATAAGATATTAACAATTGTCTCATATTTTACATCATTTAGAGGCATTTGTTAACAAGTAAACACATTAGATCGAAAGCATTAGGGCAGGCTAAATCAAGTCTTGGAGCTGAAGGGGAAAGCATGTCTGATGGCGTTACATTCTGTTTGGTGTATGGGATATATAAGTCAGTTCAAAATGAAGAGATTGGGCAGGTCTTTAGTAAACATGTTATTAGATAAAGTGGGAATATTTTTGATGATACTAAATATTGGACAACAAAACATGTAGAATTTACTTTTTTTTCCCATGTTAAACGTAATTTCAGTTATGTAGCTAGCTAACACGATATGGTCCACCACTGTGGTTCACTTAATCCTTGTATACTGACTTTATTACTTCAGTTTAAATAAATTATAATTTTGTCGGTAAAAAGAAAAACACATCATATCACATGTTATACGGAAAACATTGAGATATAAAATGTATGCAAATGAAAACGTCAAATACATTTATACCATAGTTCCGAGCTGCAAGAATTCATTACAATTTAGAAAGAAAAAAATCATATGTTTTCAACGCAAATAGACTCTACAATATCTATGATCATTGTAAAAGTCCATTTGCGTTGAAACATATAAAGTTTACGTTGTAAAATCGTAGAAACTCTGTTTTTGTTCCTAAAAGTGACAAATCTCACTTTTAGTACACAATAACTGCACCATTGTTGTTCGTTTTTGATTAATTCTTATTTTTTGGGTTTGAAAGAAAAATTGACTTCGATACTTTAACCTTTTAGATGGTATATTGAATTGCTTTAAATTTAAGTTTTTAGGTTTCCTTATTTATGTGGATCATGATTCATTGATTCTTATTGAATTCTTCTTTTCATTTGTTGATTCATATTTAACAAGTTCAGTATTCATCTTTTTGAAAAATGCGTTGCTTGTTAATTAACTTTTCTCCCTATCAAAAATCATTAGCCGCTTCAAAGGCAAACATCAGCAAATGCTACAATAACATAGCTTCTACTATTAAGTTATTTGATGCGTAAATTCAAGTGTGAAAGTAAAGAAATAGACAATTGTTTTACCCAAGAGAACGAAAGAGACATCTAGAGTTTTAGATACCTTGGTAAAGGCACTGAGTTCTAGGATCTCTTGCGTGAATGGGCAATCCTCCTCCAACACTGTTCCATGTCCCCCAAATTGAGCTACCAGACTTCGTAGACAGATACTCTCTTGAAACATGAAGTTTTATAAGCATTATTGAAAATAATGCAAACTCAAAAAAGTTACCTTACGATTGCTTTATTTAAAAATTTGATAAACATAATGTTTTTTGGAGTTTGGATCAAGGGTTCAAATTCCGCACCAATAAGTTATTAAAATCATACATGTTAAGTGTCAAGCTCTCGTCACAAATATCAAAGTTTATATAATAGTTCCAGTTATATAGAAATTCAGATCGTAAGATTCCTGATCGGATGATCTCTGTGATTAATGAAATTTGGTGATCTCATCTCTAACTTGGTTAGTACACGCCATATAAGCATGCACGGCTGCTAGGTTCGGCTGTCGTGGCTTGTGAGTTGTGAAACATGTATTTTATTTTATTTTATCTTAAAGAGGAAGGTGTGGGTTGTAAATTGTAAATATCCGTCTTAGGTGTGGGTTGTAAATTCTAAATATCTGTCTTAAATTAGTAATATGATAGTATTGAAAAGAAAATAAATGGAATAACGTAGATCAAAACAAAAATCAATAACTGCAAAAACACACATTAGGCCACCCCGAGATTCATGTATTTTGGTGGATCTTTGACTTGACCAAGATCACCACGCGAAAAGATGGGAGAATACAAAGAACCCAAGTGGTGTAACCGTAATTAATTCGACGACATACACCATAATCCAGCTCATGATTCTCTTGTGAAAATAAAATAAAAACGAACTAACCTGTAAGGTAACAACTAACCCACAGATTCTTTCTGTTTTTATTAACTAAAAAGGAATAAAACAGGAAGAAAATAGTTGAATTAAGTTATATAAGTAAATTCAAGAAAATCAGTTTTTATCATTGCAAGGCACGAATCGAACATCGTTTTGGTGTTGTTGTTGTGCCTCTCCTTCAACACCTTGGAAAAAGAATTGTCCTGCTTTGGCTCTCATCATCATCCTCACAATAATCTTTGTGCGTCTCAAAAATTCTATTTGGTAGGTTTTGCTAGCTAATCAGAAAATATGAAAGAAGCCAAAAGCAATATGGAGAAAGATCAGTTGTCCTCGAGCGAGGCTGCAATCGCAAAGCAGAAGATTGTGGACGATTGGTTGCCAATAACATCTTCAAGAAACGCCAAATGGTGGTACTCTGCGTTTCACAATGTCACCGCCATGGTTGGTGCTGGTGTCCTCAGCTTGCCCTACGCCATGTCCAACCTCGGATGGTATATTTACCCTATCATATTTATCTCATTAATTTTGATTAAATCTGTATAATGCTCTTATAACATTTTGACATTTTTATTATTTTAACAAGATCAAGTATTTCTTTAATAAAGAAAGTTTGCACGTAATAGTTTGAGACGCCTATGTTATAAGATTACACTCAATCTCTCTCATTTTGATTAAATATGTATAAAGATCTCACAAGAAAATGTCTAGTTATCTCAAAACACACTTGTAACTAATTAATGATTGGTTTATAATTTTTGATGGCATGCAGGGGACCTGGAGTGACAGTAATGATAATGTCATGGGTGATAACGTTTTACACACTATGGCAAATGGTGGAGATGCACGAGATGGTTCCAGGGAAGAGGTTCGATAGGTACCACGAGCTTGGTCAGCACGCGTTTGGAGAGAAGCTCGGACTGTGGATTGTGGTGCCACAACAGCTGATCGTTGAAGTTGGTGTGAACATTGTTTACATGGTGACAGGAGGCAAGTCATTGAAAAAAATCCATGACCTTCTTTGCAATGATTGTAAAGACATAAGAACCACATTTTGGATCATGATCTTCGCTTCCATACATTTTGTGCTCTCTCACCTCCCTAATTTCAACTCCATATCCATCGTCTCCCTTGCTGCCGCCGTTATGTCCTTGAGGTAAATCAAAATTCATACACAATAACGTCCATCTTTTCAAATGATCATAAATTACATTCTTGGAAAAATTACGAGTTTTGGCCAAGAACCTCTTGGTAATCCAAAATAAAATTAAAAACTCATACACAATGACCAATTTTTCAAATGATATATTGTTTATGATTTGATCTCAAATGAAATTTATTTTTGGCATTCCATATTCATGTTAAATTCCGTTATTTTCGAATTATAAAACCAATTGGTAATGAATGGATTTGCATGTAATGCTTATTTACTATTGAACTTATTTTGTGTGTGTGTGTGATTTCTTAATTAATATGAATTTTGTTTGTAATATATGTAGCTACTCGACAATCGCTTGGGGAGCCTCGGTGAAGAAAGGTGTTCAACCAGATGTAGACTACTCGTTTAGAGCCACGACGAGCTCAGGGAAAGTATTCAACTTCTTGAACGCATTAGGAGATGTAGCATTCGCGTACGCGGGCCACAATGTTGTGTTGGAGATTCAAGCTACAATCCCTTCAACTCCTGAGAAACCATCAAAGATCTCAATGTGGAAAGGTGTGGTAGTTGCCTACATCGTGGTCGCGATATGCTACTTCCCCGTTGCATTCGTTTGCTACTATGTTTATGGAAACAGCGTGGACGACAACATTCTCATGACGTTGGAGAATCCCACTTGGCTTATCGTCATGGCTAATATATTTGTGGTGATTCATGTCATTGGAAGCTATCAAATTTACGCAATGCCGGTCTTTGATATGCTCGAGACCTTTTTGGTGAAGAAGATGATGTTTGCTCCTTGCTTCAAACTCCGTTTCATCACACGTACTCTATACGTTGGTAAGTCTTTTTTCTTTATTTATTTAAGATTGAATCAATACTCTTTGCTTAATGACATGTGAATTTATAACACTGGACTTGTTTGGAGCAGCTCTTACGATGTTTGTTGCCATATGCATTCCATTTTTTGGTGGACTGCTCGGCTTTTTTGGAGGATTTGCCTTCGCTCCAACAACTTACTACGTAAGTAACTCAATACACACAAGTTAAGTCTATTCATATATTTCAAAGAAAACATAATTATTTGATCATACGTTTTGTTTTTTCCTACGATTTAGCTACCATGCATTATGTGGCTCATTCTCAAGAAACCAAAGAAGTATGGATTGTCTTGGTCTATTAACTGGGTATGTTCCTTTTCACTCATTATCTTCTACTATATATGTGTGTGTTTTTTTAATTTATTTTTGTTTAATATGACAATATGTCATTGTTTTGGGCAGTTCTGCATAGTGATAGGTATCATATTGACGATCGTAGCTCCTATCGGTGGCCTCAGAACTATAATTGTCTCTGCCAAAGACTACAAGTTCTTCTCTTGAAAAATTCAACACCCTCTTGCCTTGTTTGTATTATTGATTGATTGTGTTAACATTTCTATAATAAAGTGAAGACGCTAAAGTTTTTTAAAAGCAGTCATGTATTACCGTGGAAAGATTGGAACACCGTGTGTGTGTTGGGATTCTAAATGTAACGCAAAGATTTACAGGGAAAAAAAAAAAATGATGATCCGGTGATGCTTCTATGAATTTTATTAATTATATTCTTCTTGTTGTATATTACTGTATCTCCTACAAATTATATAACAATGTCGGAAACAAATGAAAGGTCTATTTTGGATATTAGATTTAGGCATTTCTGTACTTTTCAGACATCAAACCATTTAAAAGTTCTGACGTAGAGAGTTAGAACTACCTCATAATCCATATTTTGTGTCATCATTTGATACATCTTTCTTGTGTCTGTTAAAAGAAAAAAAAAAACACATGTAATTCTGTTGATTAATATATTGGGCTTAAAAGTTTGAAGGCCCATTATAAGGCCGGTCCACTAAACAAGACTAGAAAAGGGCAATAAACCAATCCCGCCCAAAATGAGACATTTTCCCGCCAGAACCCTTCGTCTTCTCCAATTGCCAGTTTGCCACAACCAGTCTCTCTCTAAGAAACACAGAGAAAGAGAGGGAGAGAGGTCGAAAAAACTAGAGATGGCGACAGATCAGGAAATGAAGAGCGAATTCAAACGCAGCGGCTTTAAACTTGTGGAAGAAGACGAGATTCTTAAGAGATGTAAGCCAGAATATCCCTAATTTCAGTCTCCCGAATCTTATGTCAATCCTCCAAAATTGCGAAATCTGACTCTCTTCCTTCTCACGTATTTGGGTTTTTCCAGGTGTTACTCTCTGCATAAACTATAGTCTCACGCCTTCCGAGCTCGTTTCAAGTTGGGAACTTTATCATCTCAATCGGTAAATCCACACTTTCTCTCCCTCAGATCCATAGTAAAATTCAATCCTTTTGATGCCCAGAGAGATTAAATTGAGATTATAACCATATGTATAGCTTTAGCAACAGCCAAAACTTCATGGGTTCTTGTTTAATGAAGTAAATAGTTTCATGGTTGCGTTAGTGATCTTGTTGATGAAATTGTTGATGAATGGGTTTCTAAAAACCTTCTCTTTTTGTGTTTTTGATTTGATGCAACAGACAATGTATTGATCAAACTGTTACAAAGGATGAAATTGATGGGTTTATAGTGCATCTTCATAACCAGCAGAAAGAAGCTATTTTGAAAGAGGCATCTGGTCTTCATATATACTCACACAGAGATGTTGACATGTAAGTGCTTCACCAGGACTTTCTTCTTTCTTGCTTTTTAACAGAGATGTAAAACAAAATTGTTTTTGATCATCCAGGCTTTTGGATGGGATTCCAGAAGATACAGAAGAAGTGATTGTCACTACACCTACAAACAAGTCTCAACGGTTACATCCGGATCCATTTGACTCAGTGAACAGATCAAAAGATTACGGTTACTCTTCTGCCAAGTCAGCTGGACATGTGACACCGTTTGGACGACGAGTCGACAAGTTTGTGGTGAAATTTAGCCTTGGTGATGCGACTGCAAACGCAGAGAACGGGAACAAGAATGATGTAGAGAGCAGTGAGGATGATATGATCATCAAGAGAGTTCAAACGAGTCACAGGTGTTCTCTTAAAGTCAATGGCTCAGGTCCTGAACCGGGTTGCAGGTTCATGTATGACAGAACTGAGGACAGGTTTAACGCACTCGAGAACCGGATTAGAAAGCATGCAGATGCGTTTGCTGCCTCGGGGTTATATGAGGAACAGGTGGATCCAGCTGTTGCTTCACAGGTAGCGTTTTGGCCTTACATACTCTACTTTGGTGTCACATATGTTTAGTTTTGGGGTATATAGAGTTTGCTTACAATGTGGTAATGATTGTTTTCAGAGAAGTATATTTGCTGTGGGGATGATTTGTTGTGATGGAGAGGGGCATTTGAATGACAAATCCATTCTATTGCAGAGCAGGTAACACAATTATGGCTTCACTTTTCTCTGTTTATTATTCTGTTTTTCACACATGAAGCATCTCTATCCGAATATCCAAAATTTCTCTATCCTAATTACAACCAATTCTATGATTGTAGTGCTATGCGTACTTCAGGACAGCGCGTTCCACTAGACTTGAACAGACTAAATCAGTTCTCCATTTTTCCTGGCCAGGTGATAGCTTTAAACATTAGGTTTTGTGTTTTCTTTTCTTTTTTCCCACTGACTACTTGTAATATTCATTTGGAGGTGGTCTGAATTTTATGCAGATAGTTGGCATTGAGGGACAAAATCCTAGTGGACATTATCTCACTGCATCCAAACTGTTGGATTCAGTTCCTTTAACTGCTACTCCTGACGTTGATCTACCTCCTGCTAAGAAGCAAAACTTGGATCAGGAGGTCTTAGCTGTTGCAGATGAGTCCCGTGAAAAATCAGAGGTTTCATTTGTAAGTATGCTATTCTTCATCTCAAGGAAGCTGTAAACTTATTTGTTAGCCATTTCTTATATATCATTCCGGCACATTTCTTTCATATAGCTATCATTATTCATACATGATCTAAATGTTGAGATGAGAGAAATGCAAAATTTTGAAAATTTTGTTGGTTACCTAGGCTGGTAACTGTAATGACTACAGCTCCTTAGTTAGTAGGTGGTCTTTTAAGCACAAGGGTGGTTTGTTTAGAATCAGGAAGCATCAGAATTTTCTAACTTGGTATTCGAGATGATGAATTAAGGGACTTTGTGTTGACAGGTAATTGCATCCGGACCATTCACCACGTCAGACAACTTGATGTTTGAGCCACTGAATGAGCTACTAGCCTATGTAAAAAGAAAGCCGCCTCAGTTACTCGTGCTGGTGAGTAACTAAAGATTTATTAAGACCTTTCTGTAGACTAAATATGTCTGTGTTATTGTGTCTTGAGGTCACTTACGTTTCTTTTTTTCCGAAACTCAGCTTGGACCATTTGTGGATTCAGAGCATCCAGAGATTAAGAAAGGAACTGTTGATGCCACTTTTGATGAGATATTCCAAATAGAAGTAATCAGAAAGGTACTGAATTTAGGACAATGTGATAATAGTATTGAATACTGACTTTTGACATTGGATATTAAACAATAATCTCTCTCTGTTTTTTGGAGTTTCTCAGTTGCAAGATTATGTGGAATTCATGGGATCAGAAGTAAGAGTGGTTCTAGTGCCATCCATCCGCGATGCTAACCATGATTTCATATTCCCACAGGTGCTCTTTTCTTTTTCTCTCAAAGCCTCTCTTCTCTCTTTTACGCAATTCTCTTCTCTATTTTGAACGTGACAAGTTTCATTTCCACTTGTGTGTTAGCAGCCTCCTTTCAACATTCGCATACCTGATCTTGAACATCAGGTACTTTATCCAGTCTCCTTTTCATCGCTCAACTCTCTGCGCACAGGTTGATAACTTAACTGTATACTCTTCTCTTTCTTGTCTCATACATACAGATGACCAGTCTATCAAACCCGGGAACCTTCGAGGCAAACCAGGTAATGAAAACCTCTGTAACAATTCTCTTCCAAGTAGCCATACTCTCTCAACTCTCAAGTTCTTAAGAGAATTGATGATTTCTTCTCAGGTGAAGGTAGGTTGCTGCACAGTTGATGTACTAAAACATCTTAGTGGGGAAGAGACGTCAAAAAATCCAAGTGGAGTCCCCATTGATCGCATGTCAAGACTCGCTAGCCATCTCCTTCGCCAGCAAAGGTAATAGCACTGTAACTGTTTCTTCCAACTATAATACTCAGATACCTACCAAACACTCAAACAATTGTATGCCTTATGAACAGCTTCTATCCTCTGTATCCACCACCAGAGAGCCTCCCTTATGACTCCTCACTCGCTCCTAAGGCTCTACAGATTCCATCAATCCCTGATATTCTCCTGCTTCCATCAGACATGAGGTACTTCGTGAAGGTGAGTCATTATGTTCATAGCAACTTCAGAAGCTAAAGAAGTTGTGATTTGATTTACTGAATTTTTTCTTGAATGTTGTCAAGGTTTTGTCCATTGGAGAAGGAGAAGATGCAGCCAAGTGTGTGTGTGTAAATCCAGGAAGACTTGCGAAAGGAGAAGGCGCAGGTACTTTTGTTGAGCTTACCTACAATGGCGGTCCAGAATCGATGCATGCTTCCATCATCTCTATTTAAGAACAGGAACATTGCTATCTTTTTGGCCAAGTTTGCTATTTCATAATATTAAGAAAAAAGGAAAACTGGAGGTTTGTTAGAAACACAAAATATTAGGGTTTTATTTGTAACTATTGTTTTATATAAAAGTTAGTGTTTCATCGAAGTAACAAATTATCTAGGGTTTAAAAATCTTAATTATGCCGGAAACCGAAGTTGCAAAGGCGGCAGCTGGTGGTGAAGACAGGATCAGTGAGTTGTCCGACGATCTGCTCATTCATATACTATTGCTTGTTCCGACAAAAGATGCAGTGACCACCACGTTTCTGTCTAGACGATGGAGATTTGTCTGGAGAAAGTTGCCTAGACTTGACTACAGAGAAACGAGAAACAACGGTCACGACACGAACATAGCAATAGCAAGAGTGTTTGGTGGTTTCTTGACGAGTCAATGCGATTTCACGATGCACCTTTATTAGAAAAACTGTGTATTAAACTCGGTCCAGAATGTCCCACTGATGTTGATGTTGTAAAGTGGGTTGCAAAAGCAGTTGATCGTTACGTGCTGCGTAAGTTAGAGTTCGAGCTCCGCTGGAATAACGAGCCGATGAGAATGCCTAGTAGCCTTTACACTTGCGAGACGCTTACGAAACTGATTCTTGCCGACAAGGTTCTCGTGGATGTTCCTTGTCCGGTTTATCTCCCATCACTTCACCAGCTTGAGCTTCTCGGGATTGTGTACAAAGACGAAGATTCGCATGTCAGGCTTTTATCAGGTTGCCCGGTTCTCAAGCGTCTGAGGGTTTATCGACAGGATGATGTGGATGATAATGTGAGAAAGTTCACTGTGAAAGTTCCATCTTTACTGGAATTAGAGTATATGAATACGTTCTTTGGAGAAGACGATGATGATGATCGGTCTTTGGTTATAGACACTCCATATTTAACAGATATAGACATCTTTACACTGAAGGACTCTATTGCTCGACTGAGTATATGCCTCGTCTTATAAGGGCATCCGTTAGTGTTAAGTTAAAGCTTGTTGACAAGTTTCTGACATGTCTTTCTTCGATCAAGTATCTTAAGCTACATCATCTAGCCTCTACATTGGCTCCATGGTGTAACGTCGTTTACTCTCTACTTATAGAGTGTCGGATAGAAGATACATTTGTCCCATTCTGGAGTGGATCACCACTTGGGGTTTTGCTCTCTAACTGTCCTAAACTTAAAGTTTTTGCGGTGGATTCCATATATGAGGAAGCTCAGTATGAGAGTCATGATCCAGTTTTATGGAAGCAACCGAGCTCTGTTCCCAAATGATTGTCGTCTCATCTGGAAATCTTTAAATGGAAAGGGTATGTAGGAAGAAAATATCAAAAAGATGTCATAAGATACATTATAGAAAACTCCAAGTGTTTAAAGAAGGCGGAAGTTTCACTTAGTTCAATAAGCAATCTTAAAGAAAAACGGAAGAAGATGATGATCGAGGAGTTAGAATCTATGCCTAGGGTTTCAACATCTCTTCTACGCGCTAGTCCAACGTTTTTGGATACTCTACACACTGAATGAGAAAACGTGTCTCCCCTTTTCATATGTTTTCCCTAATCGTTGACTTCTTTTACCTATGTTTTAGATCGGGCTTCTCTGCTAAAATGTTGTTATTCAGACTTTCCAATAATGATTAATACATTTTACTTTGCCGATGAAGTAGCGAGTTCCATTACTGCACTCACACTTCTCTAGAACGTAATGTCTCTTGATTTCCATTACTCGGTAGTAAGAACAAGAATATCAAACCCAATGTCCGCCTCCGGTTTCCTTGGATACTTTGGCACTTGTGGAAAGCCCGTAACGCCATGACTTTCGAGCAAACCTGCCTTGACGTAACTACCATTTCGCAACTGTTTTCCTTTTTGACTTTTTTTTGGTAAAGATACAATTCAATATGTGAATACAGTCGAGGTAGAAAAAAAAAAGTGTTCTGCGCATATATTTGCTTCGCCAACAGGAAGGATAAACACCAGGATAATCGTTGGTAGTCCATAGTTTGTTAATTTGTTTATTGTACACTTGAATTCTCTGATGCGACTAGGAAACAGTTCATCTCTATGGCTATTTGGGGGATATGGAATTTTCAATCCAGGGATCTGATTTCTGAAGTATTTACAGAAGAGAAGAGGATCAAAATACTTTTAGTTTGATTGGATCTTAGGTATTTTCTTGGAATGTATTTGATCTATTTTGTTTTGGTAGGAGAGCTTGGTTACTCAGATTAGAGTTGCAGGAATTCTTCAGTTTCCTTTTTCCAGACTCGATATGGAGTTTTTGAGATTGATGAGTCATTATGTATTAGTTGGTGCATAGATGTCGAAAGAATACCAAGCGGATGTTGGAGGATATCTTTTAGTATGATAATGTTTTACTTTTTAATACACATGCCTACATAAACGCAGAAGATTGTTTCAAACTTTCAATCAAGGAAGTGGTAGCATTATTGTTCAAAGCTAAAGTAATATGTATATTTGTTATCATCGTTAGTGGATGATATGCATAAAATACGTATGATTAGACAATACGTTGTTTAGTTTCAGATCTAATCAACTATGTGTTTTCTTATCTCTATTAAACAGGTTATGAACAAAAGAAATCGAGCTAGGGTGAGAAAAGTGGTCTAACACACAACGTCTTAAAATTCCATGCCTTTGTCACCGTTTGCATTCCAAAACTCTATTGTATTATATTTTAATTCTTATAAAAGAGGCCAAATCAAAAATCATGTCTTCGTCTTAGGTGATGTATTCTTTTATTCATGCCACACTTAACTTGGACGTTTGGTTCTTAGCTCAACAATTTTTCATTCTTCGATTTTCAGTAAGAGTATACTGATAGCTAACCGCTGTTTTGTATACTTTTAACCGTTGTCAATGATGTGTTCTAATTACTAGCGCTGTGTGTATCGTACTTTGTTTTCCAATTTGCACAGAAAACATAATTCATGTCGAGACGTGAATCATCCGATTGCGGTTTTCAGAGGTTTAAAATTCTGATGATATGATCTGACTTTGTTACCGCGATTTGGTCATGATTCTGCTAGAGTATTGTTCATTGTGTACGTATTGTTTGGGTCTATATAGTGTTTTTGGTTTGAAACCATATAACGTGTTTGGAGATGGATGCCTTTAAGCATGGTTGATGCAAAAGGCCACAAACTGTTCATTAATTCACTATGGAGCTTTGTGTTTAATAATTGATCTGTTAATGAGTGAGTGGTTGTTGTTTGTAATCTCTTCTTCACTTGGTTAAGATTTTGTTTCCGTAAACTGGTTCTCTTCGTAAAAGTCTCTCTTCATCTTAAAGTCTAGAATTCATTTATTTTGAATGTCTTTACTCTGTTTTGTTTTGGTCGGACAGGTTTTAGTCCGTAGATAGTTATTTTGTAAGTTCCGAGCTGTGTTTGTTCTTATCTTCGTTGTTATTAAATTTTGTTTGTTTACAAGGTTCGTATGGACTCGAAAAGAGAAACATGGCTTCTTAAGGGTTCAACAAGAACAAACCAGCTATTTTTCCTGCATATGCCATAGCAGATGTAACATAAGTTTCATTAAAAAAAGATGTAACATAATTGTTAAAAGGTTGTTGCTTTGTCCATTACTTTTGCAGGGGGTGAACTGAAAAGATAGACAGAGATGGGAATCATTATGCGGTTTGTCATAGGTCACAAGTAGAAGTTGAAATTGTCTTTTGCTTCAAGCATTAACGATGATGATTGGCTATTATTTACTGAAGCCGAAGAAGAACAACAAAAGAACTTCTTTCTCCCAGGAAATTTGCTCGCCCAAATGCTTATATTACTCTGTTATTTTCTGTTTGTTGATCAAAAGTTCAAATCTTGCAGAATCACATCGAAGGTATCACGAATTGTCATCTAAAACCCAAATATATTTCTCATATGTAAATTCTGGTAAGTTACATAAAGCACTCATGTCTCTCTAATCATATTTGGGAAAATTTTAAGTTTAGTTATCATACAAGAATGCTTTGTTCTACATTGGCTCGCCACAGATCAGAGCAGTGCGAGTGTACATTGGTTGCATCAAGTCTGGAACTGTCTAGCTCAAAAGTAAGCAAACAAAATCTAAGCTCATGTTTTTACACAGACTTTTGACGTTTTCTTCGAATATCGTGTTGCAGAGGAGTCAAATACCATAGTCAGAATATAATTGGAAGTTTGGTGAATAAGGAAACAAGTACTTTAGACACACAGACTTGAGAAATCTATACCATCTCCAAAGACTTAGCAACTTAAACCTCAATAAACCGGTGACATGTTGATTAAGGTGTTGACAACAATCACCACAAACGTTTTATACCGCTTCAAACCGTTCAAGATCCCTCAACATCCCTCAAAATCAAAAGCTCCTTCCCAGCAGCGTTTGCGGTTGCGGGCGGTTGCGGGTGGATAATTAAAAAAAAAAAAAACAAAACTTATATAAAATCCGAAAATAAATAATAATTTTATTAAAAAATAAGATTTGGATAATAAAATCACAATATAAATAAAAAAAATCATATCATACTTATTTATTTATAAGTTCTACAAATCAAAATTCTCTTGATAAATATTCTTTTCATACTAATACATATATATCTAATAAATAAAATTGTAATATAAATTTAATTTTCACATTAAATATATATTTTGAAAATAAAATCACATTTTTATTTAAATTATAGAAATTAAAAGATAGACGTAAGTATTATACACATATTATTCTTTATAAAAAATTATTTTTAATTATGTTGAACCATAAATTTAAAATTTTCATTATAATATAGTTTTGATATTTTTATAATTATATAATGTGTTTATATTATTAATTTATTGTTTAACCGCTATTGCATCCGCAAGTGAACCAGTCATAAGTATCCCGCAAACGCATCCATTTTCAATTGTTATGCCAGTCGTACAAACCGCTTAATAACGCTACTAATCACAACCGCCCGCTTCCGCAAACTCCCGCACCCGCAACCGCAACCGCAGCGGTTATCACATAAACGATATTTGATCAACACAAAGACGATGGTTAGTGGTGGTATATGTAAAGATCTATTATGTCTCTAATTATGGGTAAGGATCCCTAAGTAACAAAACCTAAGATAAAAAAATGAAAAATAAGAACACAAAGTTAATTGAAAAACAAATTGTGAAAAAAAAAAACGAACAAAAAGATGACTATAAAGAGATAGGAAAAGAAACATAGATGAGAAAACTTGATAATAATAATAAGAAAAAAATGATAGAAATTGAAGGAGAAAATATAAAAGAAGAAGAAGATAAAATGGGGTTATGATGTACATTTTATATTGATGGGTGTAAGGTTTAGGTTCTGGTGCAAAAAAAAAAATGAATACACTACATTACCGATTAAAAACAAAAACAAATACTACATTTAAGAAAAAAATAAAAATAAAAGTAAATTCAGAACCAATTTGTAAAATGTGGGGTTTGAATGTGCGGTTTAAGGAGGTGGGAGCGCGAGGGGGTTATAATGTGAGATTTGGGTTTGGGGTGTTGGGAGGTGTTACACTGTGGGGTTTGGGTTTAGGGTGTAGGGTTTATATTGATGGGTGTAGGGTTTAGTTTTTGGTGCATTTTTAAAATTTTGAATTATTATGGAAGAATATGAAAATTAAAAATCATTGATTATAAAACTATATCTACCTTTCTAAATTACATCCACAAATATAAAAAACTAAAACAATTAAAGCAAATACATAATCAAATGATAACAAACCAATAAATTTTTAAAAGATCTCCACTATATAAAGATAAAAACTATTTCACAAATTTTTGAAAATCTAAACTATCGAATGAATTGATATGTGAAATACAAGACATAGGTAAGAATGAATAAAAGTCGAGTAAAAGAAAAGAAGACGGTGAAAAAGAAGATGAAAATTTTGGAGAAGAAGAAGAAAACTCGAACATGATGAAAAATAAATCAGAGAATAAAAAATGGAATGTGAAGAGAAAAATGATAAAGAAGAATAATTTGATGTTATAGAAGATGAACATGATAAAGATAGAGAGAGGGGAAATGAAGAAGAAGAAAAACCGGAAAAAAATGATAAGATTATTCGAAAGAAGATAAAGAATAGTGAGTTGGGGGATATGAAGACACAGTAAAAGATTTAAGAACAAAAATTGGAAAATGAAGAATAAAAAGAAAAAGATGATGAGAGCAAATATAAAATTGAAAAAAAAATATTGGATATTTGGGGAAGAATATGAGGGAAGAAAATAAGAAATGGTAAATCTTTTGTATCTCTCTACGCGAATGAAGAAGATTATGTAGAAGAATGAAAAATAAAAGACAAAAATACGACATATCAAGATTGCAAAATAAGAAGTCCGTGAAAACAAAAAAATGATACAATCATAAATTATACTGCTTATATTATTATAATCTTTAATTAATTTTTTTTTTATTGTACCCACAAAAAGTTTTTACTAAAAGAACTTTAGATCGCAGTCTTGACTAAATATGGATTAGTCTTTTGGTTTTAAGAGGTTTAAAATTCTGATGATACTATCAATTATATCAATTATGTTACTGTGATTTGTGATTTAGTCATGGTTTTGCTGGAGTATTTTTCATTGTCTTCGTATATTTTGAGTATAGCGTATTTGGAGATAGATGCTTTTAAGCATGGTTTTAAATTTGAAAACTGTGGAAAATAAGTTCTTCCTCGAGAGGTTGGTGTCTACAGCAGGGTCTATACAAATACCCACGGGCTGTTCAAGAGGTCTATAAGAATATAAAGCCAATTGAAAAACAAATTGTAAATAAAATGAAGAACACGAATAAAAATCAGGAAATAAAAAGATGGCAATGAAGAGAGGAGAAGAAAAAAATATTATAAAGTTTGATAAGAATAAGGAAAAACGGTAAAAAATGAAGGGAAAAAATATGAAATAAGTAAAAGACAATAAACAAAAAATAGGGTTGGGGTACACGATGTACAGTTTATATTGATGGGCGTAAGGTTTAGTTTTTGTTGCATTTTAAAAATATGACACAATATTACCGATTAAAAAAAAAGTTAAGGAAAAAATAAAAAGAAAAACAAATCCAGAACCAGTTTGTAAAATATGGGGTTCAGGTCTGCAATTTCGAGGGGATTATAACGTGAGATTTGGGTTTAGGGTGTAGGGTCGTTTAGGGGGGTTATAACATGGGGTTTGGGTTTAGGGTGTAGGGTCGTTTGGGGGGGGTTGGTTATAACGTGGGATTTGGTTTAGGGTGTAGGGTCGTTTAGGGGGTGGTGTTACAATATGGGGTTTGGGTTTTAGGGTGTAGGGGTTATAACGTGGAATGTAGACAAGAACGAAAAACATGAGTAAGAGAAAATAAGACGATGGAAATGAAGATGAGAAAACTTCCAGAGGAAGAAAAAACTTGAACACGAGGAAAAATAAATCAAAAAAGAAAAAATGAAATGTGAAGAAAAAAAGAAGAAGAGATAAAGAAAAACTATAATAAGATGGGAAACTTCGAGAGGAAGACAAGAACGAAAAACAGGAGTAAGAGAAAATAAGATGGGAAACTTCGAGAGGAAGAAGAAAACTTGAACACGAGCAAAAAGAAAGCAAAGAAGAAAATATGGAATGTGAAAAAAAAAAGATAAATAAGAGACAAATAAAAACTATAATAAGATGATGTCAGAGAAGACGAAGATAGAGAGAGGGGAATGAGGAAGAAAAAAAATAGGAAATAGAATGTAAAGAAAATTAGAAAGAAAGAGAAGAATAGTGAGTTTGAAGATATGAAGAAACAAAAAACGATTGAAGAACAAAAATTGGAACATGAAGAAGAAGGGACAATATTTAATAAACAACAATTACAAAAAAAAAAATATATAAATAAAATAAAATAAAAATAAAAGCAAATCAAGAACTAATTGGTAATGTGAGATTCAGGTGTTCGGTTCATGGGGAGTTATAATGTGGATTGGGTTTAGGGTGTAGGTTCTTTAGTTAGAGGGAGGGGGTTTATAATGTGGGGTTTGGGTTTAGGGTTTAGGGTTTATATTGATGAGTGTAGGGTTTAGTTTCTGGTGCATTTTTAAAAAATTGAATTATAGTAGAAATATATCAAAATTAAAAATCACTGATTATAAATTCATATCCACCATTCTAAAATACACACATAAGTAGAAAAAACTAAAACAATAAAAGCAAATCCATACTCAAAAGATAACAACACCAGTTAAATAGATTTTTAAAAGATCTGAATATATAAAGATAAAAACTATTTCACGAATCCTTGAAAATCTAAACTATCGAATGAAATTGATAAGTGAAATGTAAGACATAGACAAGGAGGAATAAAAACACAAGTAGAATAAAAGAAGATGGTGGATAAGAAGATGAGAAACTTTGAGAAGAAAAAGAAAACTTGAAGAGGAAAAAGAAAACAAAGAAGAAAAAATAAAATATGAAGGGAAAGAAGACAAATAAGAGATAAATAAAAACTAGAATAAGATGATGTTAGAGAAGACGAAGATGACAAAGATAGAGAGAAGGGGGAATGAAAAGAAGATAAACCGGAAAAAGAATATAAAGAAAATTAGAAAGAAAAAGAAGAATAGTAAGTTGGAGGATATGAAGATACAAGAAAGGATTGAAGAACAAAAATTGGAAAAAGAAGAAGCAAAAAAAAAATGATGACAAAGAATAAAAAAAATGGAATAAAAAAGAAAAGATGGGATCACTGAAAAAGAATAAGAGGGAGAAGAAAACAATCATTACAAAATTTAACTAATTTTTTGTGCTTTCAAAATTTATAAGTTCATATCAAATTAACAAAATGTTAATCTATTACTTCCTTGGAAAATAAACACAATTACAAAAATAAGAAAAGTAATTAAAAAGAAAATGCGTTAATCTAATATTAATTAAATTTGTGAATTAACAAAATCTAGACTATCGAATGAATTGATAAGTGAAATACAAAACGTATACAAGAACGAAAAACATGAGTAAGAGAAGAGAAGATGGAAAACTTCGAGAGGAAGAAGAAAACTTGAACACGAGGAAAAAGAAATCAAAGAAGAAAAATGGAATGTGAAGAAAAAAAAAGACAAAGAAGAGATAAATAAAAACTATAGTAAGATGATGTCAGAGAAGACGAAGATGATAAAGATAGAGAGAAATGGGAATGAGGAAGAAGAAAAATCGGAAATAGAATGTAAAGAAAATTAGAAAGAAAAAGAAAAATAGTGAGTTGGAGGATACGAAGACACAAAAAGCGATTGAAGAACAAAAATTGGAAGATGAAGAAGAAGCAGAAAAAAGAAGATGATGACAACGAATAAAAAAATAGAAGAAAACAGAAAAAGATGAAATCACTAGAGAAGAATAAAAGGGATAAGAAAAAAACAATTACAAAATAAAAAATTATAAACAAAATAAAAAAAAAGCAAATCAAGAACTAATTGGTAATGTGAGATTCAGGTGTTCAGTTCATGGGGGAGTTATAATGGATTTGGGTTTAGGATGTAGGTTCTTTAATTAGGGAGAGGGGGGTTTATAATGTGGGGTTTGAGTTTAGGGTTTATATTGATGGGATAGGGTTTAGTTTCTGGTGCATTTTTAAAAATTTGAATTATAATAGTATATCAAAATTAAAAATCACTGATTATAAATTTATATCTACCATTCTAAAATAAACTCATAAGTAGAAAAAAATAAAACAATAAAAGAAAATCCATAATCAAAAGATAACAACACAAACTAAATAGATTTGAAAAAGATCTAGACTATATAAAGATAAAAACTATTTTATGAATCATTGGAAATCTAAACTATTGAATGAATTGATAAGTGAAATATAAGATGTAGACAAGGAGGAGTAAAAACACTGGTAGAATAAAAGAAGAGGGTGGATAAGAAGATGAGAAACTTCGAGAAGAAGAAGAAAACTCGAAGAGGAAAGAAGACAAATAAGAGATAAATAAATATTATAACAAGATGATGTCAGAGAAGACGAAGATGATAAAGATAGAGAGAAGGGGGAATGAGGAAAAAGATTAACCGGAAAAAGTAGGTAAAGAAAATTTGAAAAAAAAAAAAAGTAAGTTGGAAGATATGAAGATACAAGAAATGACTGAAGAACAAAAATGGGAAAAAGAAGAAGAAAAAAAAAGAGGAAGAAGGAAAAAATCAATACAAAATTTAACTAATTTTTGTGTTTTCACAATTTATAAGTTTATATCAAATTAACAAAATGTTAAGATATTACTTATTGAAAAATAAACACATTACAAAAATATGAAAAGTAATTAAAAGTAAAATGCGTTAATCTAATATTAATTGAAATGATTGGAATTCTGAAACATCTCTTGTCTGCGCGGGCGCGGCCAACCACCTAGTCAACAAGTATAGATAAAACTAAACAGAAAACTATCGCAAACAACCCCGCGCTTGCGCGGGGCTTCAAACCTATAATGATTAATACATTTTACTTTTCCGATGAAGTAGTGAGTTCCATTACTGCACTCACACTTCTCTAGAACGTAATGTCTCTTGAGTTCCATTACTCGGTAGTAAGAACAAGAATATCAAACCCAATGTCCGCCTCCGGTTTCCTTGGATACTTTGGCACTTGTGGAAAGCCCGTAACGCCATGACTTTCGAGCAAACCTGCCTTGACGCAACTACCATTTCGTCAAAAGCAATGGATGATGGTCACACTTGGCTGTCGACGAATGACAACACTATTGTTCCGCCTCCAATCACGGAAATTTGGGCAGGGCAGTTCAAGAGGATCCGATGGCTAAAACCTGAGGCTAATTCGGTTAAATGCAACATCAGTGTCTCTTGGGACCCTACTACTGGTAATGCAGGCACTTCATGGCTGGTCCGTGATCACTCAGGTCTGGTTATTTGTCATGGCCGTAGATCTTATGCGTATGTCTTCTCGGCCCTTGAGGTGGAGCTTTTAGGTTTCTTTTGGGCGATGGAATCCTTACAGACAATGCGCTTTCGGAGCATGGTGTATGAGTCTCACCTCCTGCTGGCTAGGGAAGCATTGCTTCAACCTTCTTGCTTCCCACACTTTAGTCCTCTCATAAACATTATCTTCAACCTCTTACAATCCTTTGAGCACTGAAGTCTAGAACACGTATCCCTTTTGCGAAATCGTGTGGCCCATGCGATTGCGTCAAGTGTGATTTTGCAGGTTATGCATCTATCTTATATAGCCAGTAATGGCCTGGCATGGTTAGGATCTGTAATTGCCGAAGATGCTCTGTATGCCTGACTGTGATGTTTGAGTCTGTGGAGCTCCTATGTCTATTGTCTGCCTTGTGCTTGCCGCCAAAACCACCATTGAAGCTCTACTGAGCTCTTTAGTTTCGGGTTTTATCAGGCTCTAATGTTATTTTTTTTGGTTTTCCCTTTTTGCTTCTGTTTACTTTTGTTTCTTGGGTTCAGTTTTGCCGAGGTCTATTGACCTTGTCTCTGAATTCCCTCTTGTACTCAACTCATTCCCTTTACCCAGTGTTAAAAAAAAAAAAAAAAAAAACTTGGTTTCTAATATTATAAGGTAAACTGAGGCTACCAAAAGGTGCTTCTATTGCTTAACTCTAGGACTGCTTCTGCCTCCAAGACGGATAAAGATCATCCCATAACTCTAGGACACACAAAAACGTCACTTTTCCTCTTCTTCAGTCAATATCCTTCCTTCTCTCTCCTATCTCGTACAAGTTACAAAACTTATACAATTAAATATTAACTACGAGACTTTATGCGTTTCAAACAAAATCTGGCTAACACAACTTGCATCAAACCCACAATGACAAAACTTAGGTAACAACAAAAGAAACTGATAAGTGTCTCAGTGCCAATTTAACTAAATGTGAACTCTAAACTCGGTGGACCATAATCGATGCATATATGCTTCAATCATCTCTATTTACCTTTTGGCCAAATCTGCTATTTCATAAACAAGAAAATAAGAAAGGGGGTTTATTGTTACAAGAACCAAATATTAGGGGCTTATTTGTAAAAATTAGGGTTTCTTTCAACGAAGCCATTCTCACATAGAGACATGAGAAAGTAACAAGGGATCTAGGGTTTAAAACCTTAATCATGCCGGAAGCCTAACCTTCTCCAAAACCTGAAGATGAAGACAGAATCAGTGAGTTGTCCGATGATATTCTCATTCATATACTATTGCTTGTTCCGACAAAAGATGCAGTGACCACCACGTTTCTGTCTAAACGATGGAGATTTGTCTGGAGAAAGTTGCCTAGACTTGACTACAGAGAAACGAGAAACAACAGTGGCTTAAACACCAAGAGTGTTTGGTGGTTTCTTGACGATTCAATGCGATTTCACGATGCACCTTTATTAGAACAACTGAGTATTAATCTCGGTCCACAATGTCCCATTGATGTTGAGGTTGTAAAGTGGGTTGCAAAAGCAGTTGAACGTTGCGTGCTGCGTAAGTTAGAGTTCGAGCTCCGCTGGAATAACGAGCCGATGAGAATGCCTAATAGCCTTTACACTTGCGAGACGCTTACAAAACTGATTCTTGCTGAGAAGGTTCTCGTGGATGTTCCTTGTCCGGTTTATCTCCCATCACTTTACCGACTTGATCTTCTCGATGTTGTCTACAAAGACGAAGATTCTCATGTCAGGCTTTTATCAGGTTGCCCGTTCTCAAGCGCCTGAAGGTGATTCGACAGGATGATAATGTGAGAAAGTTCACTGTCAAAGTTCCTTCTTTACTGACATTTTCATATATGGATACGTGCCTTGGAGAAGACGATGCTGATGATCGCTCTTTGGTTATAGACACCCCATATTTATTAGACATAGGCCCTGTTCGTTTGCTCATCCAGCTGATCCATTTGGATGAGTCAGTTGAATGATGTTCGTTTTTTACAAAAAATGAACATCATTCAAATGATCCATCCAGATGGATCAGCTGAGATTTAAAAAATTTAGGCTAAATTGTTAATATCCAGTTGATCCATCTAGCTGCTTCAAAATGAAGCATCTAGCTGAGCTATCTTCATTCCAGAAAAACAAATGACAAACATATCCTAAAAAATATATTTACAGAAGAATAAAGCTATAGATTATGCAATAAAAACTACGAAATCAAAAATATTCGCAAAATTATATTTCACGCCTAAACCGCAAAATTACGTTTTCCCAAAAAAGTAAAAATATGTTTTTTTCCGCTAAAACCGAGAAATAACTTTTTTTTCCACGAAAATTACAAGATTGTGTTTTACATTTTTTCAGAAAAATCAAAAATAACGCTTTTCCCGCCAAAACCGCAAAATAATGTTTTCCGCAAAAATCACAAAATTGTGTTTTCCCACCAAAACCGCAAAATAACAATTTTTCGCCGAAATCACAAAATTGTGTTTTACCACCAAACCGCAAAATAACATTTTTCCGCAAAAATAATGTTGTCCCCGCCAAAACCTAGAAAATGCATGTTTCTGGCAAAACCGCAAAATTGCGGTTTTCCGTTTAAATCGCAAAAATAATGTTTTCCCTTCAAAACCGCAAAAATTAATGTTTCCTACCAAAATCATGAAATCCCGTTTTCCCGCCAAAATCATGAAATCCCGTTTTCCGTCGAAATAACTTTTTTCCGTCGAAATCAGGAAATTCCCCTTTTTCTGTCTAAATTGGAAAATCATGGGTTAGTGCTTGAATCACAAAATCACCAAAAAACAAAAAAAAAGTGAAACAGTGAAATTACGTTTTCTGATCAAAACTGCGAAATCTCGTTTTTCTGTAAAAACCGTAAAATGTATTTTTGTCAAAATTATGAAATCACGCTTTATGACTTTGATATTATTTTCATCAGAGATTGATATCATTAAAAATAATTTCAGTGAAAGAACTTATATTCGATAAAAAAGCTATGGGTATTTTGTTTTTTTTTCTCTCAAATCAAAATAAGGGTATTTTCGTCATTATCCATTACAAGCATCTGAATGGTCCATCTGACTGAAGAAACAAACAAAAGAATCATTTGACTGAACCATGCCTGAATCATCCGGATGAAAGTAAAAAAAAGCGAACAACATCCAGCTGCTTCATCCGAATGGTTCATTTGGCTGAATCATCCAGCTGGAGCATCCAACTGTACAAAGTTCACTGTGAAAGTGCCTTCTTTATTGGAATTAACGTATATGAATACGTACTTTGGAGAAGACGATGATGATGATCGGTCGTTGGTTATAGACACCCCATGTTTAATAGATATAGACATCTTTGACACTTTGGGACACTCGTGCTCAATTGAGTATATGCCTCGTCTTATAATGGCATCAGTTAGTGTTGAGTTAAAGCTTGTTGACAAGTTTCTGAAATGTCTATCTTCGATCGAGTATCTTAAGCTAGATCCTGTAGATTCTACAATGGCTCCATGGTGTAACGTTGTTTATACTCTACTTATAGAGTGTCGCATATATCCATATAGCAGCTGGAGTGGAGCATCACTTGGGGGTTTTGCTCTCTAATTGTCCTAAACTAAAAGTATTTGTGATGGAATCTAAATACGAGATGGCTCAGTCTGAGAATGATGACCCAGTTTTATGGAAGCAACCGAGCTCTGTTCCCAAATGCTTGTCGTCACATCTGGAGATCTTTAAATGGATAGGGTATGCAGGAAGAAAATATCAAAAAGAAGTCATAAGATTCATTCTAGAAAACTCCAAGTGTTTAAAGAGGGCGGAAATTTCGCTTAATTCAATAAGCAATCTTAAAGAAAAACGGAAGAAGAAGATGATCGAGGAGTTAGAATCTATGCCTAGGGTTTCAACATCTCTTCTACGCGCTAGTCCAACGTTTTTGGATACTCTACACACTGAATGAGAAAAGGTGGCTCCCCTTTTAATATGTTTTCCCTAATCGTTGACTTCTTTTACTTATGTTTTAGATCGGGCTTCTCTGCTAAAATCTTGTTATTCAGACTTTCCAATAATGATTAATACATTTTACTTTTCCGATGAAGTAGCGAGTTCCATTACTGCACTCACACTTCTCTAGAACGTAATGTCTCTTGAGTTCCATTACTCGGTAGTAAGAACAAGAATATCAAACCCAATGTCCGCCTCCGGTTTCCTTGGATACTTTGGCACTTGTGGAAAGCCCGTAACGCCATGACTTTCGAGCAAACCTGCCTTGACGTAACTACCATTTCGTCAAAAGCGATGGATGATGCTCACACTTGGCTGTCGACGAATGACAACACTATTGTTCCGCCTCCAATCACGGAAATTTGGGCAGGGCAGTTCAAGAGGATCCGATGGCTAAAACCTGAGGCTAATTCGGTTAAATGCAACATCAGTGTCTCTTGGGACCCTACTACTGGTAATGCAGGCACTTCATGGCTGGTCCGTGATCACTCAGGTCTGGTTATTTGTCATGACCGTAGATCTTATGCGTATGTCTTCTCGGCCCTTGAGGTGGAGCTATTAGGTTTCTTTTGGGCGATAGAATCTCTACTGAGCTCTTTAGTTTTAGGTTTTATCAGGCTCTCTGTTATTTTTTTTATTTTTTATTATTATTATTATTTTTTTTTGGTTTTCCCTTTTTGCTTCTGTTTACTTTTGTTTCTTGGGTTCAGTTTTGCCGAAGTCTATTGACCTTGTCTCTCTGAATTCCCTCTTGTACTCAACTCATTCCCTTTACCCAGTGTTAAAAAAAAAAAAAAAAAAAAAAAAAAACTTGGCTTCTTACATTATAAGGTAAATTTACCAAAAGGTGCTTCTATTGCTTAACTCTAGGACTGATCAATATTGGGAAGTCCCATAACTCTAGGAAACACAAAAACGTCACTTTTCCTCTTCTTCAGTCAATATCCTTCCTTCTCTCTCCTATCTCTTACAAAATTAAATATTAACTAAGAGACTTTATGCGTTTCAAACAAAATATGGCTAACACAACTTGCATCAAACCCACAATGAAAAAACTTAGGTAACAACAAAAGAAACTGATCAGTGGCTCAGTGCCAATTTAACTAAATGTGAACTCTAAACTCGGCGGACCATAATCGATGCATGCTTCAATCATCTCTATTTAAAAACAGAACCTTTTGGCCAAATCTGCTATTTCATAAACAAGAAAATAAGAAAGGAGGTTTTTTGTTACAAGAACCAAATATTAGGGGCTTATTTGTAACTATCTTTTTATATATAAAAATTAGGGTTTCTTTCAACGAAGCCATTCTCACGTAGACACGAGAAAGTAACAAGGGATCTAGGGTTTAAAACCTTAATCATGCCGGAAGCCGAACCTTCTCCAAAACCTGAAGATGAAGACAGAATCAGTGAATTGTCCGATGATATACTCATTCATATACTATTGCTTGTTCCGACAAAAGATGCAGTGACCACCACGTTTCTGTCTAAACGATGGAGATTTGTCTGGAGAAAGTTGCCTAGACTTGACTACAGAGAAACGAGAAACATGAAGAGTGTTTGGTGGTTTCTGGACGAATCAATGCGATTTCACGATGCACCTTTAATAGAAAAACTGTCTATTAGGCTCGGTCCAGAATGTCCCACTGATGTTGATGTTGTAAGATGGGTTGCAAAAGCAGTTGATCGCTGCGTCCTGCGTGAGCTTAAGTTCAAGCTCCTCTGGAAAACCGAGCCGGTCAGAATGCCTAGTAGCCTTTACACTTGCGAGACGCTTACGAAACTGATTCTTGCCGACAAGGTTCTCGTGGATGTTCCTTGTCCGGTTTATCTCCCATCACTTCACCAGCTTGAGCTTCTCGAGATTGTGTATAAAGACGAAGATTCTCATGTCAGGCTTTTATCAGGTTGCCCGGTTCTCAAGCGTCTGAAGGTGAGTCGACAGGATTCTGTGGATGATAATGTGAGAAAGTTCACTGTGAAAGTGCCTTCTTTACTGGAATTAACGTATATGAATACGTACTTTGGAGAAGACGATGATGATGATCGGTCGTTGGTTATAGACACCCCATGTTTAATAGATATAGACATCTTTGACACTTTGGGACACTCGTGCTCAATTGAGTATATGCCTCGTCTTATAAGGGCATCCGTTAGTGTTAAGTTAAAGCTTGTTGACAAGTTTCTGAAATGTCTATCTTCGATCGAGTATCTTAAGCTAGATCCTGTAGGTTCTACAATGGCTCCATGGTGTAACGTTGTTTATACTCTACTTATAGAGTGTCGCATATATCCATATATCAGCTGGAGTGGATCATCACTTGGGGTTTTGCTCTCTAATTGTCCTAAACTAAAAGTTCTTTTGGTGGAATCTGTATCTGATAAACCTAAGTCTGAGAATCATGATCCAGTTTTATGGAAGCAACCGAACTCTGTTCCCAAATGCTTGTCGTCTCATCTGGAAATCTTTGAATGGATAGGGTATGCAGGAAGAAAATATCAAAAAGAAGTCATAAGATACATTCTAGAAAACTCCAAGTATTTAAAGAAGGCGGAAATTTCGCTTAATTCATTTAGCAATCTTGAAGAAGAGCAGAAGAAGAAGATGATCGAGGAGTTAGAATCTATGCCTAGGGTTTCAACATCTCTTCTACGCGCTAGTCCAACGTTTTTGGATACTCTACACACTGAATGAGAAAACGTGTCTCCTCTTTTCATATGTTTTCCTTAATCGTTGACTTCATTTACTTATGTTTTAGATCGGGCTTCTCTGCTAAAATCTTGTTATTCAGACTTTCCAATAATGATCAATACATTTTACTTTGCCGATGAAGTAGTGAGTTCCATTACTGCACTCACACTTCTCTAGAACGTAATGTCTCTTGAGTTCATTCATCATTTCGTGACCGGTATGCCACGCCACCAAATGCTGTCTCTAATCATTTCATCATATAAAACAGATATTTTTCTTTGTCATCGACTATAAATCTTTCTTGTTAAAATGTAAATCCTATTGTAAATCTTATTTGGATGTACATATCTGTATGCAGTGACTAGAATGAAAAAAATACAGATTTTATAGAGTTCTTTGCCCAAAAAAAAAAAAAATTATAGTATTAAGTTTTAATTTTTAAACTATCAAGCCAAAAAAGAAAAAAAAAACTATGAATACTTGCCCAAAAATGATGGAAGCAAAATTGTATATGTGTTGACTGTTGTCCAGATGAAAACAAACATACGTTTTGGTTAAAACATGATTTTCATTCAATGGTCACCAGACAATATCTTGAAACCCTTTTGTTTTGTAACCAAAGCCGGCCCTGATAGTTAAGCTTATCAAACAACAATGTTTGGCTTCTTGTTAAAATTTCTAATGATGAAAAAAATGCAAATATACACAACTTGAATCAAACCCCACAAAACTATAATAACAACAAAAGAAACTGAGGTTAATAAAATATAATTTGCATTCAATGCCAATTCATCAACTAAATGTGAACTCTAAACTTGGCTTCTAATATTATAAGGTAAACTGAGGCTACCAAAAGGTGCTTCTATTGCATAACTCTAGGACTGCTTCTGCCTCCAAGACAGATAAAGATTATCCCATAAACATATTGGGTCTGATTGGTAATGGATAGATGTTACAAAGGATAGCAGTACAAATACAAGTGGTACAAAATACAACAGTACAAATAGTAGTCGTATAAACCATAAACATAGTTCGCTTCATGGTTTCCTTTTTAGGCAGCAATCTATATTATATAAAAGTTGAGGCTATAAGCCTCTGAGAGCGTCCACATAGGATTATAAAACGCGATTTGATTGGTCCACATAAGTATTTCCTAGATTAAGAAAGTTTCCGAATTTTAAACAACCAATAGTATCAATCCACATCATCACATAAAATTAGCTATTTGTTCAATTAGTTAAATTCCTTTTTATATTTTTATATTTTAAGAAAGTTTCATAATTCAAAGTTAAGCAATAGGAAAGTTTCCAGAATTTATAAGTGTAATATTAGTAGAGATATGTAATAAATAAGAAAATTATACCAACAATATCATTATATATCAACATCTAAAGCTACAATTGTATTAACTCGATTTTGATCAAATGTAGCTTACATGAATAAACATATGTTCACGTCAGAGCTTGATATAAGATCAAACAAATCCAACATCGAGAAACCACCTGGAAGCAAGATGGAGGGATATATATTGAAGACAAGATACTTTGACATCACATATTGAAAGTTCACATAGATCGATCAATTCTTCTAAAGGATATGTAGTGAATTAATGAAAAATCATGAAGCAAAGGAATGATTGAAACGAAGACAATGGGCATCACACTGAAGGTATACATGTCCTTCTGTGAAATAAATAAATTCGCTTGCTTTATTTCGAATATTATCTGGTCTATGGTGTTCAATTGATTTTCTTTGTATTTTGATAATGGAAGCACATCCAATTAATTAATAAATAAGTTACATTACCACAAAATAATCAAAGGACTATGAAGAGAACAAGGAATCGAAATTACCAAAGTGTAGATTAAATCAAAAGTGAATTGTTGCTCCTAAATTAGTAAGCTTTCGATGGGGAAAATAATATTGATTATGAAGAAACAAAAAAAATCAGAATAGTGATTACATGACACAAATTGAAAGGAAAAGGCAAACACAATAGAAGGCTGTATTTTGTTCCTTTTCTATTTTTCTTTTCTTCGTTTTTCAATGTTTTGTAATATTTACATATTCATGTGTTTATAAGTAGTACTTTTAAAAGATGTCACTTGAAAGAGAAGGAATATAAACAAAAGTAAATTTATTAAAAACAGAATAAGATAAATTCCTTCTCATTTTAGTATTTACATATGACATTCAAAGGGCCTGTTTTGAATATATTTTGTTCAATAAGTCATTCTAGCTTGATTTTATTTTCAGTTTTTCAGGTAACGAAATTGTGTTTTATTTAATTATAATTTATTCTAAATTTAAGAGGAATAGAGCCATGCAGAATTTTACAAGAGGAATGGAACCATGCAGAATTTTAAGGGTCGAGAATAACCTACAGAAATAAGAGAAAACAAAATGAAGAAAAAAGTAGACACAAAAAAGAAGAGTACCAAGATAAAACCGAAGAATAGCGAAAACAAAGATATTGAATTGCGAATACAAAATAGAGACAAAAGAAGACAAAGATGAATAAGGAAAAACCATATTAAAAACTTGTGAAGAACAATTTGAAGAGGAATTCGAACAAGAACGAAGGAGAAGAAACCTAACAACAACAAAAAAACTTGCGAAGACCAATCTAAAGAGGAAATAAAATAAGAACAAAGGAGAAGAAACCAAATCAAAACAAAACAAAAAAGAAGAAAAAAAAAGAGAGCAAAGACGAAGAAGAGCAAACGCGAAGATGAGTGAAAATGAAGAAGAAATCAAATAAGACCAAAGACAAAGAAGAAAACAAAACATAAGATACTGAAAAAGAATGAATCAAAGAAAATTAAAAAAAAACTTTAAAACAACAACGAAGAAGAAAATGAAGAACAATTATGTGTGTCGACTAGCTTCTCTTCATTTAGGTTTTAGGTTTTATAACCATTGAAAACTTACCAAAATATTAGTTTATCATCTAGCTTAAATTTATTACATACAAATATTGTTATTTATAGCATTTTAAGTTCTAACATAACCAACTGAAGTTATTTTAAATAAACATCATGTTATATACAAATATTATTGACATCTAATTTTAAGAATTTCACTAAATATATTTAAAAATATATTTCTGTTTAGAAAATGACTAACACGTCACAATAGTTCATAAATTAACATTACATTTTACAAATAAGTTTAGTGATAAAGTAAGTTTGTCCTATTATAATGATTTGAATATCTTCAAGTAAGTTTTGGTCATTAGACATACACAAACATTTTTGTTACCGGGATATGATCTAAACAATATTTTTGTATGTCAAGATTTGATCTCAATACGATATTGATATATCTAAAAACTTTTGTTTTCCAGAGAGTTTTGGTATTGAAATATTGATAAATTTTAATTGTTGATTTTTGCAGTTTAAAAAAAAAATTAAATATATTTTAAACTGATTTAAGATACAGACCCGCGCGTGCGCGGGTAAAAGTCCTAGTCTATACTATATAAAAGTTGAGGCTATAAGCCTCTGAGAGCGTCCACATAGCTTTTAAGAAACACGATTTGATTGGTCCACATAAGTATTCCTCGATTAAGAAAGTTTCCGAATGTGAAACAACCAATAGTATCATTCTACATCATCATATAAAATTAGCTATTTGTTCAATTAGTTAAATTTCTTTTTATATTTTTATATTTTAAGAAAGTTTCATAATTCAAAGGTAAGCAATACGAATTTATAAGTGTAATATTAGTAGAGATATGTAATAAATAAGAAAATTATACCAACAATATCATTATATATCAACATCTAAAATTATTTATATTTGAATTTTTTTTCATTAATTTACTTTTTATTTTTATCAGCAGAATTGTAAAAAAGGAGATTTTCCTTTAAGAAAAAAGAAAACAAATAATAATACTATTGGAAATTAAATAAGGAAACAAATAAGGAAATTTTCCTTTAGCTAATAAAAATTAAAAACCCTAACACACTTTTGCCATCTATTTAGTTTCTTATATATACCAAGAGTCCTCTCCTCCCTTTTTAACACCTACAAAAGCTACAATTGTATTAACTGGATTTTGATCAAATGTAGCTTACATGAATAAACATATGTTCACGTCAGAGCTTGATATAAGATCAAACAAATCCAACATCGAGAAACCACCTGGAAACAAGATGGAGGGATATATATTGAAGACAAGATACTTTGACATCACATATTGAAAGTTCACATAGATCGATCAATTCTTCTAAAGGATATGTAGTGGATTAATGAAAAATCATGAAGCAAAGGAATGATTGAAACAAAGACAATGGGCATCACACTGAAGGTATACATGTCCTTCTGTGAAATAAATAAATTCGCTTGCTTTATTTCGAATATTATCTGGTCTATGGTGTTCAATTGATTTTCTTTGTATTTTGATAATGGAAGCACATCCAATTAATTAATAAATAAGTTACATTACCACAAAAAATTCAAAGGACTATGAAGAGAACAAGGAATCGAAATTACCAAAGTGTAGATTAAATCAAAAGTGAATTGTTGCTCCTAAATTAGTAAGCTTTCGATGGGGAAAATAATATTGATTATGAAGAAAGAAAAAAAATCAGAATAGTGATTACATGACACAAATTGAAAGGAAAAGGCAAACACAATAGAAGGCTGTATTTTGTTCCTTTTCTATTTTTCTATTTTTTTTTTTCAATGTTTTGTAATATTTACATATTCATGTGTTTATAAGTAGTACTTTTTAAAAGATGCCACTTGAAAGAGAAGGAATATAAACAAAAGTAAATTTATGAAAAACAGAATAAGATAAATTCCTTCTCATTTTAGTATTTACATATGACATTCAAAGGGCCTGTTTTGAATATATTTTGTTCAATAAGTCATTCTAGCTTGATTTTATTTTCAGTTTTTCAGGTAACGAAATTGTGTTTTATTTAATTATAATTTATTCTAAATTTAAGAGGAATAGAGCCATGCAGAATTTTACAAGAATGGAACCATGCAGAATTTTAAGGGTCGAGAATAACCTACAGAAATAAGAGAAAAAAAAATGAAGAAAAAAGTAGACACAAAGAAGAAGAGTACCAAGATAAAACCGAAGAATAGCGAAAAAAAGATATTGAATTGCGAATACAAAATAGAGACCAAAGAAGACAAAGATGAATAAGGAAAAACCATATTAAAAACTTGTGAAGAACAATTTGAAGAGGAATTCGAACAAGAACGAAGGAGAAGAAACCTAACAACAACAAAAAAAACTTGCGAAGACCAATCTAAAGAGGAAATAAAATAAGAACAAAGGAGAAGAAACCAAATCAAAACAAAACAAAAAAGAGAAAAAAAAAGAGAGAAGACGAAGAAGAGCAAACGCGAAGATGAGTGAAAATGAAGAAGAAATCAAATAAGACCAAAGACAAAGAAGAAAACAAAACATAAGATACTGAAAAAGAATGAATCAAAGAAAATTAAAAAAAACTTTAAAACAACAACGAAGAAGAAAATGAAGAACAATTATGTGTGTCGACTAGCTTCTCTTCATTTAGGTTTTAGGTTTTATAACCATTGAAAACTTACCAAAATATTAGTTTATCATCTAGCTTAAATTTATTACATACAAATATTGTTATTTATAGCATTTTAAGTTCTAACATAACCAACTGAAGTTATTTTAAATAAACATCATGTTACATACAAATATTGTTGACATCTAATTTTAAGAATTTCACTAAACATATTTAAAAATATATTTCTGAGAAAATGACTAACACGTCACAATAGTTCATAAATTAACATTACATTTTACAAGTAAGTTTAGTGATAAAGTAAGTTTGTCCTATTATAATGTTTTGTAAGTATTAGACATATACAAACATTTTTGTTACCGGGATATGATCTAAACAATATTTTTGTATGTCAAGATTTGATCTCAATACGATATTGATATATCTAAAAACTTTTGTTTTCCAGAGAGTTTTGGTATTGAAATATTGATAAATTTTAATTGTTGATTTTTGCAATTTAAAAAAAAATTAAAATATATTTTAAACTGATTTAAGATACAGACCCGCGCGTGCGCGGGTGAAAGTCCTAGTAGATAAAAAATTTGAATCCTTTTGTATTTTTTGGTTCTCTAGAAAATAGCTAATGAGTCCTTTGCGTTAAGGCTTCATGGGTTTCTGTTCCTACGACATCTCTTGGAGTGAGTTAATGAGTTTTTTTTTTTTTTCTGAATGTTGTCAAGGTTTTGTCCATTCTTGAAGGGGAAGGTGAAGCGAAGTGTGTGTGTGTGTGTGTGTGTGTGTGTGTGTGTGTGTGTGTGTAAATCCAGGAAGACTTGCAAAAGGAGTAGGCGCAGGTACGTTAGCGGAACTTATACCTACAATGGCGGTCCAGAATCGATAAAATGCTTCCATCATTTCTATTAAAAACAGCACAATGCAATGTTTTGGCCAAGTTTACTATTTCATAATATTAAGAAAAAGGAATGGGGGATTTTTGTTAGAAACACCAAATATTAGGGTTTTATTTGTAATGATTTTTTTTATATATAAATTAGTGCTTCATCGAAGTAACAAATTATCTAGGGTTTGAAAATCTTAATTATGCCGGAAACCGAACCTTCTCCAGAAGTAGTTGCAAAGACGGCAGCTGGTGAAGACAGGATCAGTGAGTTGTCCGACGATCTACTAATACATATACTATTGCTTGTTCCGACAAAAGACGCAGTGACCACCACGTTTCTGTCTAAACTCTAAACGATGGAGATTTGTCTGGAGAAAGTTGCCTAGACTTGACGCAGTGACCACCACGTTTCTGTCTAAACTCTAAACGATGGAGATTTGTCTGGAGAAAGTTGCCTAGACTTGACTACAGAGAAACGAGAAACAACGGTCACGAACATAGCAATAGCAAGAGTGTTTGGTGGTTTCTTGACGATTCAATGCGATTTCACGATGCACCTTTATTAGAAACACTGACTATTAAACTCGGTCTAGAATGTCCCACTGATGTTGATGTTGTAAAGTGGGTTGCAAAAGCAGTTGATCGTTACGTGCTGCGTAAGTTAGAGTTCGAGCTCAGCTGGAATAATGAGCCGATGAGAATGCCTAATAGCCTTTACACTTGCGAGACGCTTACGAAACTGACTCTTTCCGACAATGTTCTTGTGGATGTTCCTTGTCCGGTTTATCTCCCATCACTTCACCGGCTCTATCTTCTCAATGTTGTGTACAAAGACGAAGATTCGCATGTCAGGCTTTTATTAGGTTGCCCCGTTCTCAAGCGTCTGATGGTGATTCGACATAATGATGTGGATGATAATGCGAGAAAGTTCACTGTGAAAGTGCCTTCTTTACTGGAATTAATGTATATGAATACATGCTTTGGAGATTACGTTGATGAATGATGATCATCGGTCGTTGGTTATAGACACCCCAGACTTAATAGATATAGACATCTTTGACCCTAGAGAACTCTATTGCTCGACTGAGTATATGCCTCGTCTTATGAGGGCATCCGTTTGTTTTGAGTCAAAGCTTGTTGACAAGTTTCTGATATGTCTTTCTTCGATCGAGTATCTTAAGCTACATATAGGTTCTACAATGGGTCCATGGTGTAACGTCGTTTACTCTCAACTTATAAAGTGTCGCATAGTAGAAACATTTAGCCAACATTGGCGTGGATCATCACTTGGGGTTTTGCTCTCTAATTGTCCTATACTAAAAGTTTTTATGGTGGATTCCAAGTCTCGGGAAGCTCAGTTTGGGAATCATGATCCAGTTTTATGGAAGCAACCGAGCTTTGTTCCCGAATGCTTGTCGTCTCATCTGGAGATCTTTAAATGGAAAGGGTATGCAGGAAGAAAATATCAAAAAGAAGTCACAAAATACATCCTAGAAAACTCCAAGTGCTTAAAGAGGGCGGAAATTTCGCTTAATCCAATAAGCAATCTTAAAGAAGAACGGAAGAATAAGATAATTGCGGAGTTAGAATCTATGCCTAGGGTTTCAACATCAATTCTTCAGCTGAACTAAAATGTTAAGCCCTTTTCATATGTTTTTTTTAATTAGTCTCGAAAACCCCTTTTTCCGTCTTAAGTCTTGGCCATGAGATCTTAATCGATGGCTTCAGTTGCCTATCATTCGAAGTGAGACTCTTTGCTAAAATGTTGTTATTGAGACTTTCGCATAATGATCAATAAATTTACTTTGGGCTTGAATAGTGTATGTTGCTTTTTCACGCTACCCTTTAGCATTCTTTTTTTTTTTTTTTTTTTTTTTGTTCAACACTTTTTAGCATTCTTAATCATCAAAATTAACATGTTTCCGAAAAAGTGAAAAGTAATATCACTTGGTGAAAAAAAAACGTTTATTTTTGTCATGCTAACAAATTTTTATCTACATTCCGTTATTCTACTATTGAGATCCACTATTTCACTTTCAATGTCTCCATGACTGCCTCTACTGTGCGAAACTTCTACATGAGTCTTGACCAAGTAAAAGTCACAAGCCTCCACTGTATTACAACTTTGGTGGTCCTCATGTGGATGTATCCAAAGACATATATAAACACCCCAAAAAAATCACTCTTTATCAATTTATTCAGTCAATATTATCAAAAGCAAAGTTCATCAACTTCGTTTTGGCCAATTCTGCTATTTTGGCCAGAGCAGAAACATTGCAATGTTTTGGCCAATTCTGCTATTTCATATAAAAGAAGAAACGAAGGGGGTTGTTTGTTAGAAGCACCAAATATTAGGGGTTTATTTGTAATTATTTTTTTATATATGAACTAGCATTTCATAAAAGTAACAAGTGTTCTAGCCTTCTAGGGTTTTAAAATCTTAATTATGCCGGAAACCGAACCTTCTCCAAAGGTTGCAAAGGCGGCAGCTGGTGAAGACAGGATCAGTGAGTTGTCCGACGATCTGCTCATACATATACTATTGCTTGTCCCGACTAAAGATGCAGTGACCACCACGTTTCTGTCTAAACGATGGAGATTTGTCTGGACAAAGTTGCCTAGACTTGACTACAGAGAAACGAAAAACAACAGTGGCGTAAACAGCAAGAGTGTTTGGTGGTTTCTTGACGAGTCAATGCGATTTCACAATGCACCTTTATTAGAACAACTGAGTATTAAACTCGGTCCAGAATGTCCCATTGATGTTGATGTTGTAAAGTGGGTTGCAATATCAATTGATCGTTACGTGCTGCGTAAGTTAAAGTTCAAGCTCCTCTGGAAAACCGAGCCGGTGAGAATGCCTAGTCGCCTTTACACTTGCGATACGCTTACGAAACTGATTCTTTCTCAGAAGATTCTCGTGGATGTTCCTTGTCCGGTTAATCTCCCATCACTTCACCAGCTTGAGCTTCTCGAGGTTGTGTACAAAGACGAAGATTCTCATGTCAGGCTTTTATCAGGTTGCCCGGTTCTCAAGCGTCTGGAAGTGATTCGACAGGATGATGTGGATGATAATGTGAGAAAGTTCACTGTGAAAGTTCCTTCTTTACTTACATTAACGTATACAAATACGTGCTACGATGATGATATTGATGGTCGGTCTTTGGTTATAGACACTCCATATTTAACACATATAGACATCTTTGACACTGAAGGACTCTATTGCTTGATTGAGGATATGCCTCGTCTTATGAGTGCATCCGTTTGTGTTGAGTTAAAGCTTTCTGATAAGTTTCTGACATGTCTTTCTTCGATCAAGTATCTTAAGCTACATCATCTAGCCTCTAATTGGCTCCATGGTGTAACGTCGTTTACTCTCTACTTATAGAGTGTCGAATAGAAGATACATTTGTCCCATTCTGGAGTGGATCACCACTTGGGGTTTTGCTCTCTAACTGTCCTAAACTAAAAGTTTTTGCGGTGGATTCCATATATGAGGAAGCTCAGTATGAGAGTCATGATCCAGTTTTATGGAAGCAACCGAGCTCTGTTCCCAAATGCTTGTCGTCTCATCTGGAATCTTTAAATGGAAAGGGTATGCAGGAAGAAAATATCAAAAAGAAGTCACATTCTAGAAAACTCCAAGTGTTTAAAGAAGGCGGAAGTTTCACTTAGTTCAATAAGCAATCTTAAAGAAAAACGGAAGAAGATGATGATCGAGGAGTTAGAATCTATGCCTAGGGTTTCAATGTCTTCTAATCTTTGCTACGCCTCTGAAACGTATTGTTATCAACTTTCACATAGTGATAATAAAATTTAATTTGCCGATGAAGTAGTGAATTCCATTACTACACTTTCAGTGTATCCAGCCTGAGTCATGACCAAAACATCGTCACAAGCCTCCAAACTATTAGTTAGTGGCCCTTGTATGTATGTATTCGAAGAAATATATAAAATCATTCTATCAATTTTTTTGATTTAATTTATTACATCACTAGTATTGACCGGTGCTATACCGGTCATAGACACTTTTATATTAAAAACTATTTAACCATCATCATTATAATAAGATTGAAGTCAAAATAATTAAAAATAAAATATACTAGTAGAGGACCTGCACGTTTGTGCGGTGTGACATTGTGGTTTTATGTAGAAAATCTAAACCCTAAATTGGATCCGAAAATCCTAATCAAAATTAAAAAAACCCAAACTTTTTTAATATGTCCAAACCCGAAAACCCGAAATCCAAAAAATCCCAAAAACCCAAAATCCAAAAAATCCCAAAAACTCTAAACTCTAAACTCGATACTCTTTCACCGAAAGTTGAACCCAACACAAAAACCCTAATCAAATTTTTAAAATACCCAATTTTTTTAATATGTGTAAACCCGAAATCTCAAAATCCAAAAAATTGGGAAAACCCTGAAATGAACCAAAAAAACTCGAACCCAACCTGAACATAAATTTTCAGAAAATCCGAACAATTTCTATATCTCTATAAAATTATGTCTAGGTTTTTGATCCGAACCCGAATCAGAAGTTCAAAAAAAAAACAGGAACGTTTTTTATATCACTAAACCCATAAACTAAAAAAACTTTAAGAAATCTGAACTGAACCCAAATTAAAATTAAAAAAACTTGTATTTAAACCCAAAAATCCAAAATCCCAAAAAACTTTTTAAAACCTGAATTTTTTTGACACTGACCTACCAAATAGATAACGTTTGCACAGTGGTACGTTATATTTTCACCAAGAAAAAAAATCGTAAAACTTTTATTTAATCCATTAAAAAATTGATGCATCTTAAAAAATTATATAATATGTGTCCAAAAAACATTCAATCCGTAAAACTATTCAAACTGTGAATGAAAGTTATTCACTTGTAAAAAATTATGTGTCAAAAATCATTTAATCCGTAAAATTATTCAAACCATGAATAAAACAACATATTGTAAAGATTATTCAACTTATGAACAAAAAAATTGAAACCCTTTAAAAATATTATTCAATTTGTAGAAATAATTCAATCGGTGAAAGAAAGTTAGTCACCATTAAAACCAAAAAAAAAAAAAGTTAGCACCATGCATAAAAAAATAGGTTTATTCTGAGGATCAATACTTTTTATATATTTTTCTCATAGTTTTATTATGATGTCTGATCTATAAAATTACATTTTATTCTTTTTTTTGTTATTGTTACTGACATTATTTTTTTCCAGATTATGGTAAACACAACCGAAACCGGCAGAGGTCCGCTCGGCATGCCACAACTGTTTTTCTCCTTCTCCCTTGCTGCGGGATAGGAGATTGTGTGATTTCTTGGGCTGACAGCCAATCTCTTGCTTCATTTACAACAATACATATTTTTTTCGTTAAAAGACTTTTCGTAGCGCCTTTCTCCTTCCAGTGGATCATTTTTTTTGTTGCAACCATGCGACTTAATCACCAAATCTTGAAGAGCAATTAGATGAACTACAGTTATACGAATAAGACTTAACCATATTAGTCGATACTCCAAGTAAAGTAATTTCAATTTATTTTATTAAGATCTGTAGTTAGAAGCTATTTCGGTAATTTTATTCGAAATGTTTTCGATTAGTTTGAGTATTAGGATTCTGGCCATTCAAGTAGAAACACCTTTGGATTTGTATTATTTTCATGTCGATATAATATTGATAATGTTTGTAATTGTTATGATGAAGGTACTGATTTTCTGATTTTTGTTTCTGATTTTCAAATGTATAGGAGAAGGAGAAAGACGACTAATTGAACCGATTGCTTTTGTAAGGGATCGATGGTTCAACATAACCAATTGACACCGGTTTATTTTAAGTGATCAGGATCCGCGTGTTTTACCAATTAATATGGGTCGGTTTTTTGTTCGTTTGTACATTTTTATCTTTAGTTATCTCTGTATCCAAACAATATTTGGTCATAAGAGAGATTGGTTTTTTCGTCCAATTTTTAAAATGTAGTAAAGAGATTATTATTGAGTAATTGCACTGGATACCCCCCAATAACACGGAAATTAAATCACCGTTTCTGTCAGAATTTACGACCACTACTCAGTGACTGGTGCAATACGAATGACAAAAACCCCCCTATATATAGATCCCTACTTGTGTTGCGTACAAGGATGGATTGGTGTCAGGCTGAATATTACGTGGGCCCACAAAGAGATTGGTGGTGCCTTTTATGTGGAATTCGCAGAATATTAAGCGACGATAATGACAAATTTTAATTGTATCTTGGTTTAGAAAATTGGATAAAGAGGTCGTAAATTCGAGATTGGTAAGTTATAAAGTCGGTTATAACGAGTAAATTGCAAACCCACATCTCATCAATTTCCAATTTTCACTGCGAACGAGTAAAGAAACCCTAACCACGCCAGACACTCGATAACCAACTGATAACCGGCTGAGAAGAGATGGATACACCGCCGCTGCCGCCGCGCCTTATTGCAGCCGGGTCGAAGCCATTCGGTCACCGCGTCAACATATATCAGAGGATGAGTATTATCGAAGATATTATCCAATCTCTCGACGAAGGCGAACTCGATTTCATACGGAAATAGTCTCTTGGCCCTATCCTCGAACTTCCAGGCAAACCAGCGTGGTCCGGAGGATTTGGCATGTTTCTTATGACCCGGCAACTGGACATTGCTAAGAAGAACGAATTGTGGGTAACGTTCGCCGGATCGCCGATTAGGTTTTCCCTAAGAGAATTCAAAATGGTGACGAATCTTCGGTGTGGGAAGTACCCGGCGGAAGGAATCAACAGCCGGAAACATAATATCTCGAAGAATCCGTCTTTTTACGAGAAACTGTTCGGAGACGTCGACAGCGTCACCATCGAAAGGGTCATCACTCTACTGAAGAGGAGGCGTGGATCACAGGACAGGGAAACTCGAATCCGAGACGCCTGCCTCGCCCTCGTTGATGGTATTCTGCTTCCGACCAATCATCTTCCCAAACTGAAAATCGTGAGGGAGCACGCGGAGATGTCAGAAAATCTGGAGGGATTTCTAGATTTTCCATGGGGGAGGAAATCATTCGACCGCATCATGGAATCAATTAAAGAGAGGGACATTGCCCAACTTGCTACTTCCGATATAGCTGTGCAAGGTTTATTCCTCGCGCTGCAAATGGTTGTACTCGAAGCCGTACCGGCCATCCTCGGAGACTCCGACGATCCCTCCACTGAAGAGGACGATGATTTCGTCAAGCAACCCACTTCACAACTAAAACTCAGTCGGGTTCGAGAGCTCGATGATTCTTCCGATGTGAGTTTCCCCTTTTCACCGCCTTTTTTACTTTTAGCATTGGACCACAGAACATTGAACATTAGCAGCAATTACATATACATTATTTGCTATAACAACTGGACCGACTAGATGATGTTCTTAGTGACAATTAAACGACTTAGCCCGATAACAACGCCTTGTAGATGATGTGGACTTATCGTTAACCGTTGTACAAAATTGTCGTCTCCAAAGTTATCGTTAACATTGTGACCGATATATAGTTAGTAAGCTAGGAAACTGATGATAGAAGAAGCCTGATATTTAGCGAGGCCATTTATGGGAGATTGTTTTATTATTAATCAATCTCATGGCAGGTGGAAGTGGAGTCCATTATCAGGCCAGATGCAGGCGATGACGAGATGGGGGAGGACTTGTCCTGGTCAGACGATGGCGAGGACGAGAAGGTCGATAATATGGTGCGGCTTATTAACGAAGGATTCCAATTCAAGAGCGAAATGTTTGTTGGTGGAAGCAAGCCGGCGGACCTCGTCGGACTGCCGCCGAAATCGAGATCTAGAGCTAGTAAATCGAAAAAGGTAGAGGTGACAAGGGGAAGTCCACAGTCCGCCAACCTCGTGCTATTTCCAAGAGGAAAAGGGGCGATGACGCATCCCCATCTCGAGATGTTGAAGGTACAGATAACTGTTGCGCTGCTGAACTTAAACAAATGGAGCAAAACATTGGTCGCATAGTCGAGGAAAAAATTGCCGAGGGTACGAGACAAATTTTTTTGCAACTCACCAAATGGCTTAAAGACAATACCATTGTCGAAGAGGTTGAGATTGATAACAATGGACGTCCTCAACCGACCACTGCTCCGTCAAATCCCGGAACATCTGCAAACGGCAATGCGACAACAACCGCAACAGAGACCCCGACAGCTTTCGTGGGCGATAAGGAAAGGTCCTCCGATCCTCAACCTTCTACTATAGTGGATGACAGCCATTTCCCCGACGAGGACCTTCCAGATTCGTATGCACAAGACGTCGCTGCCATATACACCCATCGTAAACATGTTGTTGGGTGTCGGGGACACAGACCGCGTACAGCTGTTCGACGATGCCGATGTTCTCTACCTCCCATTCAACTTCAACAAGATGCATTGGGTTGCCTTGGCTGTGCATTTGTTTGGCAGGAGGATCGACGTCTTAGATTGCAACGTTAGCCGGAAGACGGACGCGAACATCCAAGACACGATGAAGCCGCTAGCCACCATGCTTCCTTACTTGTTCCGGCAGGTTGGCGCCACTCCAATGATGGCAAATGTCAGCACGAAGCCGTTCGATGTTGTTAGGGTATCCTCTCTCCCGCAAGCGAAATGCCCCGCTGACTCATGTCTGATGTCCATCTTGTATATGCAAGCACACGGCGTTGGAGGTCTAGACGACTGCAATCGGCTGGACCCAGCCGCTCTCGAAGAGGATGCAAAGAAGATGGTAATGTGCCTGATCGAGAACTTCTCCAACTGATATGCAGTAGAAACTTTGTCCCCGAATGTTTTTCTGTTTCCTCCGCCTTAACCGTACTTTATCTGTTCATGACAGTTTAAGTTACTCGATCTCCTTCTCGAAGACTGTCAATGGTCGTTTTTCTTAGCGTCTATACTCTTAAATGTTATAGATTAGCAACATTTACATTCGCATGATAACCATTTAGATTAGCATGCTTATTGCCAATCTAATACAGGACAAGGAATTAGCCGGGTAACTATAGGATTACCTTTAAAACATACGAAATCGTCAACTGTACCCTACACATACCAAGTTTTTGGGGGTTTAGGGTGTTGTTGTTAGAGGTTTGGGTTTAGAGTTTAGTATAGTGTGGGGGTGTGTGGTCAGGGTTTAGACTGTACGGTTTAGGGTTTAGTTTATTAGGGGTGGGGTGGGTAGAGATCTGGCAACAAATGTATGAATGCTAACACGTACGTTATAGTGTCAATCCTATTGTCATCCTGCTAACTCTTTGTAATGAAGTACAGCAGTTAACATGTCATAATATTGTTATCATGGTAATTATATCAGCAGATAACATGACAATCTATATGTTGTCATAGTAATCTTAATGTTGCTATCAAATGTACGAAAGGTAACACGCTAACACATAGTTACCAACTCGACGCTATTTACAACCCATTTCGTATACAGAGTAAGGAAAAAATTGGAAAAGGATGGGAAAAATGTTAGCAACATTTATATTACCATGACAACACAGTGATTTCCGTGTTAACGGTTGCTGTAGTTACGTCCTTAACATTATTATTACATGTTAACTGGTGGTGTAATTCATAACAACGAACTAGCAGGATAACGATACGATTACCACTATAATGTACTAATTATTGCCAAGTGTACCCCACTCATACCAAGCCTGGTGGTGTAATTCATAACAACGAACTAGCAGGATATCGATATGATTACCACTATAACGTACAAGTTATTGCCAAGTGTACCCCACACATACCAAGTTTTTTTGGCGATTCGGGTGTTGTGCTTATAGGTTAGGGTTAAGGCTAAACTGGTTGGGTTTAGGCTATACTGTTTAGGGTTTAGTTTTTGGTGTTTGGATTGTTAGGGTTTAGGCAATACTGTTTAGGGTTTAGTAAAGTGGGTTGGGGTTTAGGGTTTAGCGTTTAGGGTTTACTGTGTTTGTGGTTGGGGTGGTTAGGGTTTAGGCTCTATGGTTTAGGGTTTAGGGTTTAGGGTTTTGGGGTCGGCGTAGTTATGCCTACGAACTCATTTACGAACGCTAACACGCTAACATGAAGTCAACAGACTATGGGTACAGGTTAGCAACGCTATCATTTACGAACGTTAACACGGTAACATTAACTGTAATGACTATGGGGTTTCGGGTGTTGTACTTATTGGTTAGGGTTTAGGCCTAACGTAGTTTGGGTTTAGGGTATACTGTTTAGGGTTTAGTTTTTTGGGATGATGTTGTTAGGGTTTAGGCTATACTGTTTACGGTTTAGTAAAGTGGGTTGGGGGTTTAGGGAATAGGGTTTAGGGTGTAGGGTTTAGGGGCTTGGGGGTTTAGTGTTTAGGGTTAAGTATAATGTGAGGTTTAGGGTTTATGTTTAGTAAAGTGGGTTGGCGGTGGCTATGCTTTAGAGTATACTGTTTAGGGTTTAGTTTTTGGGGATGGGATGGGGTGGTTTGGGTTTAGGGTTTGTTGTTTATGCTACCACGATAATTATATCAGCAGATATCATGACAATCTATATGTTGTCATGGTAATCTTAATGTTGTTATCAAAAGTACGAAAGGTAACACGCTAACACATAGTTACCAACTCGACGCTATTTACAACCTATTTCGTATATAGAGTAGGGAAAAAATTGGAAAAGGATGGGAAAATGCTACCAAGACAACACAGTGATTGCCGTGTTAACTGTTTCGGTAGTTACGTCCTTAACATTATTTTTACATGTTAACTGGTGGTGTAATTCATAACAACGAACTAGCAGGATAACGATTACCACTATAATGTACGAGTTATTGCCAAGTGTACCTCACTCATACCAAGCCTGGTGGTGTAATTCATAACAACGAACTAGCAGGATAACGATACGATTACCACTATAACGTACGAGTTATTGCCAAGTGTACCCCACACATACCAAGTTTTTTTGGCGATTCGGGGTGTTGTGCTTATAGGTTAGGGTTTAGGCTAAACTGGTTGGGTTTAGGCTATATTGTTTAGGATTTAGGGGGTTGGGATTGTTAGGGTTTAGTACTAAACCATTAGCATGGAAAAAATTTAGCATTAAGTGCAAAGACTATGGAAAAATTTAGCAACATTTTAGATTAGCATGCTAACTACATTACAACATGTTAAATGGTAAATGGTAACAGACTTCATGTTAGCGTGTTAGCGTTTGTAAATGTTAACACCGATTTGGTCATTTTTTCGGTTAAGACTACGAAAAAAATATAACACAGGTTTAGGGTTTATCTTTAGTATAGTGGGTTGGCGGTGGTTATGCTTTAGGGAATATTGTTTAGGGTATAGTTTTTCGGGATGGGATGAGGTGGTTTGGGTTTAGGTTAAACTGTTTATGCTACCACGCTAACATGAAGTCAGCATATTTTCGGATTAACATAGACTTAAACCATAACACGCTAATTTTTGGATTAACGCTAACACGGTAATATGAAGTCAGCAGACTATGGATAAGAGTTAGCAAGGCTCTAATTTTTGAACGCCCATACGCTAACATTAAGTGCAAAGACTATGAAAAAAATTTAGCAACATTTTAGATATTAGCATGCTAAGTACATTACAACATGTTAAATGGTAAATGGTAACATACACTTCATGTTAGCGTGTTAGCGTTTGTAAATGTTAACACAGATTTGGTCATTTTTGGGTCATACTCCCATGGTCTGCCGAGGATCAAGTGACTCACGTCCATAGGCACGATATCGAAATAGAACTCATCGCAATAATGTGCCCCGATAGAAAAAGGAACCATCGCTCTATGCGTGACGCGTAAGGAACATCCGTTCTGTACCCATGAGAGCGAGTATGGAACTGGATGAGCTTCGGCTGAGATTCCCAATTTCTGGACCGCATCGGCAGCGATCACGTTCCGTGAACTACCTGAGTCAATCACAATGCTGCATATCTTGGCTTTGATTGTACACGAAGAGCGAAAGATATTTGTGCGTAACCACTGATTGTCGTGATCGGGAGGAGAACCAGAGGAACGCCGTAATATCAGGCTGGAGGAGAGTGACTCCTGTGGAAAGTCCAAAGCGAGATTGGCATCGATATCCTCGCCGAAGGAATTGATCCATTGCGACGATGGCAGCACATTGAGATCGTCGAGAAACAAGAGTGTACCCTTATCCCCTGTCGTCATAAGTATGTTGAGTTCTGGCTCGTCATGGTCTTCTGCGTCATCAAAGACTGGGGGTTGGTCGTCAATCTCCTCTTCCAACAGTAAGCCTCGCTTGGGTTGATTTGGGCACGCTGTTTGACGGTGACCCGCTTCACCACAACCAAAGCAACGCAACGCATTTGGTTGTGTGGAACGACGTAGTTGCGTCTCATCAACGTTGGACGATGTCTTTTGGCCCGGACCGGTTTGATCCAGTGAATCCCGTGACGGTATCGTCGGGGAGGCACCAGGAAGGTCAGATGTTCGCGACCGTGCGGTGGAACTGTTCCACGACGAGCGAAATTGTTGTTCGAAAGTACCAGCGCGACGATGGGCTTCAGAAACAGAGGTCGGATCAAACTGCGCCATTGCATTCTGCTGCTGAGGGCGTAATCCACCAATGAACCTAGCGACGAGTTGCAACTGACTGTCGTAGAGTTCGTTCCTTGTTAAGAGTTGGGAAAATTCCTCCGCGTACTCATCGACGCTGCGATTTCCCTGTTTCAGGTTCTGAAGTCGAGTGTACATGGTGCGATCGTAGTTGTGTGGAAGGAATGTCTTACGGAGATGTTTTTTAAGCCTTTCCCAAGATTGGATTGGTTCCTTCCCAGTACGAGTCCTTGTAGACTTGAGTTGGTTCCACCAAGAAGCTGCGTGACCGCGAAAACGCATTGCCACCAACGGGACCCGACGATTGTCCAGTACTTGTTTGAAATCCAGGACTTCCTCCACTGATATGATCCAAGCGAGGAGGTCATCACCACGAATTCCACCGTGAAATTCAGGAATATCGACCTTAAAGCCGTTCTCCCATCGGTTATCACGGTCTGCGCCGCGCCCAAAGTGATCGGTATGATGGACACGACGATGATCGTCGTCCTCTTCATACTCCTCGTCTAAGGCGGCGAAATGGTTGTCGTTATCGCGATAACGATTTTTGTCTCCCAAAACGATTCACCAACATCTCGCCCATGGCATTGATCGAGGCTTGGATCGTCGCTTGTGTATTCTCCTGCATCGCAACCAGTAATGAACGGAGCTCAGCAAACTCAGCCGTTGATCCATCAGTCGCGGGGCTGTGTAGTTGTTGCCGGTGGTTGTTTTCTTCGGAGCCATTGAATCTCTTGCCAAAAACAACAACAGGAACGGTCTGATTCTGATACCAACTGATAGAGAGGCGGAAGCAATAACGAGAAACAGAGGTGTGAATACTCTTCACAGTGCGATTAAGCTCTTAAGGAATTCAATAATAAATCAAAACGTATCTTACAAGCTTGTGTTCGTTCTCTCTTTATACGAGAGGAGAATATCTAATCAAATCTTCTAATCCTAATCTAATAAGAGCTCATCATTATCCTAAGTTAAACAAGAAAATCAAAACAAACCAAATAAACGAGTATCTTGTCAAACACGTAAAAGGCCTCGAAGTGTTTGACGAAAGCCCGCGAACCACATGTATGCTGCATCACCTTTACACTTGCGAGACGCTTAGGAAACTGATTCTTTCTGAGAAGATTCTCGTTGATGTTCCTTGTCCGGTTAATCTCCCATCACTTCACCAGCTTCAGCTTCTCGATGTTGTTTACAAAGACGAAGATTCTCATGTCACGCTTTTATCAGGTTGCCCGGTTCTCAAGCTTTTGAAGGTGAGTCGACAGGATGATGTGGATGATAATGTGAGAAAGTTCACCGTGAAAGTTCCTTCTTTACTGGATTAGCGTATGCGAATACGGACTTTGGAGAAGACGATGATGATGATCGGTCGTTGGTTATAGACACCCCATGTTTATTAGATATAGACATCTATGACACTTTGGGACACTATTGCTCGATTGAGTATATGCCTCGTCTTATGAGGACAACCATTACTGTTGAGTTAAACCTTGTTGACAAGTTTCTGACATATCTTTCTTCGATCAAGTATCTCAAGCTACATCATCTAGCCTCTACAATGGTTCCATGGTGTAACGTCGTTTACTCTCTACTTATAGAGTGTCACATAAATACATTTGGCACACGCTGGAGTGGATCATCATTGGGGTTATGCTCTCTAATTGTCCTAAACTTAAATTTTGTGTGGTGGACTCTAAAAAGGAGAAGGCTCAGTATGAGAGTCATGATCAAGTTTTATGGAAGCAACCGAGCTCTGTTCCCGAATGCTTGTCGTCTCATCTGGAGATCTTTAAATGGAAAGGGTATGCGGGAAGAAAATATCAGAAAAAAGTCACAAGATACATTCTAGACAACTCCAAGTGCTTAAAGAGGGCGGAAATTTCGCTTAATCCAATAAGCAGTCTTAAAGAAAAATGGAAGAAGAAGAAGATGATTCAGGAGTTACAATCTATGCCTAGGGTTTCAACATCTATTCTTCAGCTGAACTAAAATGTAAAGCCCTTTTTCATATGTTTTTTTGTTATTAGTCTCGAAAACCTGTTTTTCCGTCTTTAAGTCTTGGCCCTGAGATTTTAATCGATGGCTTTCAACTGCCTATCATTCGAAGTGGACTCTTTGCTAAAAATGTTGTTATTGAGACTCTCGCATAATGATCAATATATTTACTTTGGTCTTTGATATGTAGCTCTTTCACGCTACTTTTTGAACAAGAAGTAGTTTTTCTTTCACGCTACTTTTTTTTTTTTTTTTTTTTTTTCTTCTTTATCAAAAAAAAAGAAGTAGTTTTTCTTTTCACTCAGTTGAATATAAAAAAAAGAAACGTTTATAATATTTTTTGTCATCAATTCCGTTATTCTATTCCGTTATTCTCCTATTGAGATCCACTATTGCACTTTCAATGTCTCCATGACTGCCTTAACAGATCTACTGTGCGAAACTTCTGCCTGAGTCATGACCAAGTCAATGTCACAAGCCTCCATAGTATTATTACTTCGGTGGTCCTCGTGTAGATGTATCCAAAGAAATATATAAACATTCCAAAAATAACTCTTTATTCAGTCAATTTTATCAGAGAAAAGTTCATCAACTTCGTGATGCCACAGCCAAAGCTAACAAGCAGAAGAAGTATACGTGTCGTTGTCCTCACGGTATCCATGCCAAGAACATCCCAATTCCCACACACACTTCTCCCGAAATTTTCCTCTTTTGAGTTCTTTCATAACCGGTATGCCACGCCACCAAATGCTGTCCCTAATCTTGTACCGAAGTTCCAGCAGATCCTTTATTAAAGAAGACAAGATCTTGAAACCTTTTTGTTTTGTATTGCCTCCAACAAAAGGCGGCCCTGGTATATAGACTATAGTGATAATTAAGCATATCAAACAAAATTTGGCCTCTTGTTAAATTTCTAACGATGAAAAAAAAAACAAATATGATTCAAACCCACAATGACAAAACTATAATAACAACAAAAGAAACTGAGGTTAAAAAACATAAATTTGCATTCAGTGCCAATACAACTTATAAAGTAAATTATAAACTCGGCGGTCCAGATTGGGTGCATGCTTCCATCATCTCTATATAAAAACAGAAGCTTGCAAAATGTTTTGGCCACATGTGCTATTTCATAAACAAGAAAATAAGAAAGGGGTTTTTTTGTTACAAGCACCAAATATTAGGGGCTTATTTGTAACTATTTTTTTATATATGAAAATTAGGGTTTCTTTCAACGAGGCCATTCTCACATAGACTCGAGAAAGTAACAAGGGATCTAGGAATTAAAGCCTTTATCATGCCGGAAGACGAACCTTCTCCAAAAACTGAAGATGAAGACAGAATCAGTGAGTTGTCCGACGATATACTCATTCAAATACTATCGCTTGTTCCAACAAAAGATGCAGTGACAACCACGTTTCTGTCTAAACGATGGAGATTTGTCTGGAGAAAGTTGCCTAGACTTGACTACAAAGAAACGAGAAACAGGAAGAGTGTTTGGTGGTTTCTTGACGAATCAATGCGATTTCACGATGCACCTTTAATAGAAAAACTGTCTATTAGGCTCGGTCCAGAATGTCCCACTGATGTTGATGTTGTAAGATGGGTTGCAAAAGCAGTTGATCGCTGCGTCCTGCGTGAGCTTAAGTTCAAGCTCCTCTGGAAAACCGAGCCGGTCAGAATGCCTAGTAGCCTTTACACTTGCGAGACGCTTACGAAACTGATTCTTGCCGACAAGGTTCTCGTGGATGTTCCTTGTCCGGTTTATCTCCCATCACTTCACCAGCTTGAGCTTCTCGGGATTGTGTACAAAGACGAAGATTCTCATGTCAGGCTTTTATCAGGTTGCTCGGTTCTCAAGCGTCTGAAGGTGAGTCGACAGGATTCTGTGGATGATAATGTGAGAAAGTTCACTGTGAAAGTGCCTTCTTTACTGGAATTAACGTATATGAATACGTTCTTTGGAGAAGCCGATGATGATGATCGGTCGTTGGTTATAGAGACCCCATGTTTAATAGATATAGACATCTTTGACACTGAAGTACTCTATTGCTCGATTGAGTATATGCCTCGTCTTATTAGTGCACGCATTGATGTTGAGTTTAACCTTGTTGACAAGCTTCTCACATCTCTTTCTTCGATCAAGTATCTCAAGCTAGATCCAATCTCGACAATGGTTCCGTGGTGTAACGTCGTTTACTCTCTACTTATAGAGTGCTGCATATATCCATTTGACACAGACTGGTGTGGATCATCACTTGAGGTTTTTCTCTCTAATTGTCCTAAACTAAAAGTTTTTGCAGTGGATTCCATATTTGGGGAAGCTCAGTATGAGAGTCATGATCAAGTTTTATGGAAGCAACCGGGCTCTGTTCCCAAATGCTTGTCGTCTCATCTCCATATCTTTGAATGGAAAGGGTATGCAGGAAGAAAATATCAAAAAGAAGTCACAAAATACATTCTAGAAAAATCCAAGTGTTTAACGAAGGTGGAAGTTTCACTTAGTTCAATAAGCAATCTTAAAGAAGAACAGAAGAAGATGATGATTGAGGAGTTAGAATCTATGCCCAGGGTTTCAACATGTCTTCTAAGGGTTTCAAGATGATTAATGTTTTTGGATGCACACACTATGAGAAAACGTGTCACCTGTTATCCATATTTTCACATAATGATAAATAAATTTTACTTTGCCGATTAAGTAGTGAGTTCCATTATTTACAATATGTCTCCAGCCTGAGTCATGACCAAGTCAATGTCACAAGCCTCGTATTGATGTAACCCAAAGACGTATATAAACACCCCAAAAAGGGTAGAATCCTCCGTTGTAAAATTGTCTTGTAACAGTTCTCATAATTTGTGTATTAGATTAGTCAATCAATGTTAAAAAAAAAAAATTTTTAAAAAAAAAAAAAAAAAAAAAAACACCCCAAAAACAACTCTCTATTGAATTAGTCTAATTTTTATTACATCATCTCACTATCAATATTATCAAAGAAAAGTTCAACTTCGTGATGCCACAGACAAGTCTCACAAGCAGAAGAAGTATACATGTCGTTGTCCTCACCATATCCATGCCATGCACAATTATACTCTAAGAACCTCTTGGTCCGGCCATCGCACTCACACTTCTCTCGAACGTAGGCTCTCTTGAGTTCTTGCATCACCGGTATGCCACGCCACCAAATGCTGTCTCTAATCTTGTACCGAAGCTCCACAAGCTCCTTCATCGTGTTAGACATCAACGGCTTGATTAAAGCAGACAAGATCTTAAAACCCTTATGTTTTGTATTGCCTCCAACCAAAGCCGGTCCTGATATTTATAGACTCAAAACTTTTTGTTAGCTCTTTTCAAACGGTTTAAATTGTTAAAGATGAAAAGAAAAACGCACATATACACAACATGCTACAAAAAAAAAAAGCTTGTATTGCTTACCTCCAAGACAGATTAGGATCATACCATAAACATAGTTAGCTTCATGGTTTCCTTTTTCCGCAGCAATAGATAAAAACTCGAGTCCTTTGTGTTTTTGGTCCTCAAGAAAATAGTTAATGAGTCCCTTGCGGTACAAGGCTTGAGGGTTTCCGTTCCTACGACATCTCTCGAAGAAATTTGAGAACCTTTCGGGATCGTGAAACCATGGGAAAAGAGGGAGTTCGTGGAGGGAAAGCGTGGAGATAACGTAACTATCATCGCAGACGTATCGGAACGGTTTGGAGACTAATCTGAGATGGCGAACCGCTGATAAGGAAGAAGCTCCGATGCATGAAGAGATCTCCACAAGAAGGTCTTGAGGTAAGGAATCGAGAGAAAATTCTTTTGTTCGTTTGTGAGGTTTCTTGAAAGAAAAGGATGATACCATTGTTACCTGTTTGATCTGTTGACCGTTTCTGAAGTTGACCTAGTTTATAGAGGCGTAATATTCGTTTTCCTTTTTTGACCAGGAATGAGAAAATTAACAAGTGCACGAATGGAAAAAAAAAGTCAAATTGTGTTTCCTCTTCCATATTTAAAAATGGAAAAGTTCTAGATAGAGAAAATAAAAAACTCAATACATAATCCTATTCTTAACCCTTTTAGGATTATACCCTCGAGAGGCACAAGATGTTATATGATTGTTCGTAGATCAGAACCAGTGGCTTTTACGGATCAAGATTTCACTTTCCTTTTGGAGTTGTTTATGGGTCGGACTTTTACAAAAGCCTTTTGCAGTTCCTGCAACAAACGAACAAAAGGATCGATCAGCAAATGAACACAAAACAGAGAACAATGCACATTGTAAAGAGCAAACAAAGATATAAGCGCTTTTTAGAGATCACAAGTGTCTTTCCATGAACACAAACAGAATCATCAATGAAGCTTGTAGTCACATTGTGGGTGGAGATCAAATAACTGGTTAGTTCAAACAAAATAAATACACTAGAACTGTCATTGCCAAATTATAATACCACTCTAGTATCAAAGTGGTACTACATAACTAAGCAAGCTATTGAGAATCATATGATCTGTTTTAATACCATAACGACACAACAAATCCCCAATCTCCATAATGGACATACTTCCTAATACCATCCCCCACCTCCATTTTTTGCATGACACAAAACCCAAGATTGAAGTTTCAGCCTTTATTCAAGGTAACTCTATATTAGCATTTAGCAGTAACCAGTATGGAGAAATCTACACCAAGTTTCAGCTTTTGTTTACCTTATCGGAATTATCATTAGCAGATGATGATGCTTCAGCAGTCCAAAGGCTTTCCAAATTGAAATAAACTCTAGCCTTCTCATCAAGTGCATGAACTACAAACTTTCCTACACAGAGGGAGAAAAATGCAAACCAGAGAAAGACTACTTTAAGCCATCAAGAATTACAAATAGAAAACAGAATGTTTGAAATATCAAAATCAAGACTTTGTAGAAGGTACAAGAAATACGAACCGCAGTCTATGACAACCCACTTGCTGTTGTAACCTTGCACAGAAGGAAGCGTTACTTGTTTGGCTCCTTCTTGCTTTTGCTTGGCCTGCGATTGAAGAAACAAAGAGCCAGAGAATGTAAAGAACCACTCAAAAAGGAGTTTCTTTTATTAGTGTTAACCTTCCAATTCCTCAAAAGAAATTGCAGTGAGCTAGCCAAATTGAGAAAACAGGTACTCATGATCCAAACATTTGATTCTTATATCGAAATTGAACATGTTATCACAAAATTTGTCAATAAGAATCTACTGTTTGAACCAAATGATCATCTCTCACAAAGGAGTTTTCTTTTATAGTGTTCACCTTCACTGTGATAAAGTAGCAATAGACAAAATTGACAATTAATGGTACTCATGATCCAAGCAAGCAGTAGATTCTTATATCGAGAAATTGAACATTCTTATCACAAAATTAGGCTATTGCAATGTTTGATTGAGGATTTCAAAATTAGGCTATTGGATTTCAACAATTTTCAACGAATACAAATGCAAAAAGTAGAAAGGTGTGAAACGTGTACCTTGTAGATAAGAGCCTGAGCGATATTCTTCAAGTGCCAATCGGATCGTCCGGTGGCGATGATGGTGAAATCGGACCAGCAAGACTGATTGTGCGTGGGAATCACCTTGACGTTATCTGCTTTCACGTCGGCGAGTATCTTCTCCACTTCCGGAACCGTGAGAACATCTGAGATATCATAGGCGCGGGGGGCCGAGGAAAAAGAAGCGAAGATGCGATTCGTAGCAGGAGAGGGAAGAGAAGAACACCGAGATCGGAGAGCCGCCAACATGACCTGATTGCGGTTGCGAAACCTAATTACCCACCGAGTCAAGTGTCCGTCGATTAAACCCGAACGGTGGTGCGCGATTTTTTTACCTTTATTTATTTTATTTTTGTTTTCCAAAATGTCTATTTTGAAATTGAATTAAAAAAATATTTAAATTTTTAAAAGTATATCATTTCCGAATTTTATGGTTTATTTATTTTATGTACGTAAAGTATAATTTTTGTTTCCATCTTAAATCTATCATACATAATTTTAGTATATTTTTTAGCAAAGTAGATTGAGCATCAAGGATTTACCAAAAAAAAAAAAAAAAAAAAAAAAAGGTAGATTGAGCATCAAAGTATCAAACCGTAACAACACAATTACAAAGGCCAAATAATAGAGCCATCAGAGTCATAAACAGTCAAACAGACGAGGGTAAGAGACATCCTCACTCTCAAAAACGTGTGTCGAAGTTGGAGATTATCAACTAAACACTTAAGTGAAAACCTATATAATTGACGACATCTGAAAATCTGTGTGGACCCGAAGTAACATATCTCATCTTGAAAATCAATCTTCTTGACAAGATCTGTGTGGCCATTCGGAGTTTCCAGACTTGTTTTGAAAAAATATACCGAACTCAAGTCAACAAATAAAAAAACTTCTACGGTGAGGCCTCACTTCTCTTTCAATCTTCTCAGCATCTCAATCACCACATCGTTCTCCTTCTTAAAAATCAGTTTCGTTCTCTCTTTATGTCTTCTTCATCTTCTTCTTCCTCCTCCTATTCTCACAATTGGGTATATGATGTCTTCCCGAGCTTCCGCGGGGAAGACGTCCGCGTAACATTCTTAAGCCACTTTCTCAAGGAACTAGATCGAAAACTGATCACTGTTTTCAAAGACAGCGAGCTGGAGAGAAGCCAGTCGCTTGATCCCGAGCTTAAACATGCTATTAGGGAGTCAAGGATCGCTGTTGTTGTGTTCTCCAGAAACTACGCCTCTTCAAGCTGGTGCCTTGACGAATTGGTGGGGATCGTGGACTGCAAGAAAGAGTTTGGTCAAATGGTGATTCCGGTTTTCTACGGTTTAGATCCTTCACATGTAAGGAAACAAACCGGTGATTTTGGAAAGATCTTTGATGAGACATGCCTCAACAAAACAGAGGAAGTGAAGATTCAATGGAAGGAGGCTTTGACGAATGTAGCAAATCTCCTTGGATATCATTCTGTGACTTGGTGAGAGATTTTATGATTTTTTTTTTTTTTTTGTAAATAAATGTTTGTGTAAGTGTAAATGATCTTTGGTTTTTTGTTATTAGGGGTAACGAAGCTACAATGATTGAAGCAATTGCTAATGATGTTTTGAGCAAACTGCTTTTAACTCCATCAAAGGATTTTGAGAATTTTGTTGGCATTGAAAATCATATTTCTAAAATGAGTGAGTTGTTGGATTTGGAGTCTGAGGAAGTGAAGATGATTGGTATATGGGGTTCCTCAGGGATTGGTAAGACTACAATCGCAAGAGTTCTGTTCAGTCGTCTCTCTCGACACTTCCAAGGTAGTATTTACATAGACAGACGTTTCATAGCTAAGAGTATGGATATTTATAGCAAGAGCAACCCGGATGACTATAACATGAAGTTGCACTTGCAAGAAAATTTCTTGTGTAAGATACTAGATAAGGAGATGATAGAGGTTGATCACTTGGGTGCGGTGAAAGAGAAGCTAAAGAACATGAAAGTTCTTATCTTTATGGATGATATGGATGACCAAGTGGTGTTAGATACATTGGTTGGTGGGGATGAATGGTTTGGTCCACGAAGCAGAATCATTTTGATTACAAAAGATAAGCAGATTCTAAGGGGGCATGGGATAAAATGTGTTTACGAGGTGGGTTTGCCGTGTGAAGAAGTAGCTCTTCAGAGGTTCTGCCAAAATGCTTTCAAGCAAAATTATCCACCTGATGGTTTCATGGGTTTCTGAAGTTGGCTTCTGAAGTTGCAGACGGTGCAGGTCGTCTTCCTTTGGGTCTAAACCTTATAGCTTCGAGTATGAGGGGGAGAAACAAGAAGTATTGGGTAGACTTGTTGCCAACTCTTCGGAAAGGTCTAGATGGGAAAATTGAGAAAGCACTAAGAGTGAGCTACGATGGATTAGAAAGGAAAGAACATAAATCGTTATTTCGTCACATTTCATGTTTTTTTAACGGTGATGAAGTCAGTAACATCAAGTCGATGCTTGCAGATAGTGACTTGAATGTTGATATAGGTCTTGAAATTCTTGTTGACAAGTCCCTCATACATGTAATACCATCGCTAGATCGTACGAATATTGTCGAGATGCACTCTCTAGTAGAAGAAATGGGAAAAGAAATTGTCCGTGCTCAGTCCGACGAGCCAGGAGAACGGGAGTTCCTAATAGATTTGAAGGATGTATGTGATGTACTTGAAGATGGCACGGTAATATATTTCTTTCTCCTTCCGCAATTCTTTCAGTAAGATTGAAAGTTTCTTGTTAAGCTAATGGTTTTTTTTATTTTATTTTCAGGGTACTAAAAAAATTATAGGTATATCATTGAATGTAGATGAGATTGATGAGTTGCCTATACATAAGAAAGCCTTCAAAGGGATGAAAAGACTTCGTTTCCTAAACATTTACACTAAGAAATGGGACCAGAAGAAAGAAGTTAGATGGCACTTACATGAAGGCTTCAAAGATTTTCCGCCTAAGCTTAGACTCTTGAGGTGGGACGGATGCCCAATGAAACGCATGCCTTCTAGCTTTTGTCCTCAAAATCTCGTTAAGATCCAAATGCAAGGGAGCAAACTTGAAACGTTGTGGGGAGGAATTCATGTAAGTTTTTTTTAGTAAATTGTAGTTAATATTGAGATAACGATTAGATGTGTAACTTAGTTATACTCTAGTCACTTACAGGGCTCAAGAAAATGGATTTACGGAGATCTACAAATCTAAAAGAGATCCCAGATCTCTCCATGGCCACTAATCTCAAGACACTTAATCTTGCGTATTGCTCAAGTTTGGTGGAGCTTCCTTCCTTTATTCAGTTTCTCAGCAAACTCAAGGAGTTAGAGATGTCATTTTGCGAAAATTTGGAGATTCTTCCAACCGGAATGAACCTCAAATATCTCAAACGGCTCAGTCTCAGGGGATGCTCACGACTGAAGAGTTTTCCTAATATCTCAAGCAACATCCCTATACTAAAATTAAGCGAAACAGCGATTGAAGAGTTTCTCCCTAACTTACGTCTAGAGAATCTCGTCGAGCTTGAAATGTGGAGAATGAAAAGTGAGAAATTGTGGGGAAGAGTTCAGGTAATTACTTAACTTAACCTCAAATATTTTCCAACCATTTTTTTCTAACTCACACACGTTAAGCAATCTATTGTGGCTAGGTCAATTTTTTAAAACATTGTGAAATACAGTTTGTTGAGGGGAAAAAAAAACTATCTATATAGTTTGAGAAATCCGTGTGCTTTGATTGTGAAATAAAGTTTATGCTTTCTTGAGAAAGTGAATGTTAGTATGGATTGAATGAAGGAGTCTCCTGCTTACTTCATTGTAGGCCGTGTTGAAGTTTATTATAATCATCATAAGTTGTTAAAAAAACTATAGATTGAATGTCATTAAAAACTATGGATTATATATTTTATTATACAACGTACAATCAAAGCATGCAAATTGATAATATTTGACATCTTTTAACTTTCTTTCGTTTTGTTCAGCCGCTTACACCCCTCATGGCAATGCTATCTTCCTCCTTGACCAAGTTGTCCCTCTCGGATATCCCGACTTTGGTGGAGCTTCCTTCTTCATTTGAGAATCTCAATAAACTGGAAACGTTGAGCATTATAAACTGCATAAATCTGGAGACTCTTCCAAATGGCATCAACCTCAGATCTCTTGATTTACTCAATATGACTAGATGCTCACGGTTGAGGAGTTTTCCTGATATCTCAACCAACATCTCAAAGCTTTTTCTAAGCGGAACATGGATTCACGAGGTTCCTTGGTGGATCGAGAACTTTAGTAACCTAATCTTGATAAGAATGTGGGAATGCAAAAACCTGAAGCATGTTTCCCTCAACACTTCTAAAATGAAACATCTTCAGCTGGTAGACTTTTTAGATTGTGGGGCATTGACTGAAGCTAGCTTGAATGATAGTCCAAGTGCGGTGGCAATGGCAACAGACAGTTATCACTCTAATTTTTCTCCATCGCTTCAAGAAGATCACTGTACACCAAACATCCGACTCAATTTCGCAAACTGCTTCAACTTGAATCAGGAAGCTCTAATTGAAAAACAAACAGTTTCACAGGAACAACTAGTCTTGCCAGGGGAAGAAGTGCCTTCATTTTTCACTCATCAAGCGTCTGGCACATCCTCCTCTCTGACCACCCCTCTGCTTCCTAGTTCTCTCTTGCAACCATTCTTCAGATTTAGGGTTTGCGCTGTTCTTAAGTCCATAAGTAGTGTCGATGGTGTAGATATCCATGTAAACTGTCGGTTCAAAGACAGATTTGAGAACATCTCTGAATCCTTTGGCCATCGACAAAGATTTTGGGCCACTCATAAGGATAGTCATCTGTTTATAATGGACTGTTGTTTCCCTCTAAACAAAGACAATGCTCCTCCTATAGCTAAACCGACCTACGATCACGTGGATATACAACTTCAGATAAGTACAAATGCTGTTCTACCTTCACTGAACTACGGGGACTCCACATTAAGGTTAAAGAGATGGGGTGTACGCCTCTTGAACGACTATTCATCAGCGGAGAAAAGACTTGGTAATATAAATACTCTTCCACATGTTTGTGAAGCCGATGAAGACAATATGGTTGATGATGAATGCAATGAGACTGAACAAGGTGACGAATATGGAGATAGCTTGGTGGAGACGGAAAGATGCAGGAAGCGTATGCGGGTAAGCATGAAACATGAAACTGAAACTGAATACTTACTTAGTCATCTCACTATTCGTTTTAAATAATTAATCTAAAACTGTTTTTATATAATTAATAGATCATTGTATTGTTCTTCTTCTTTTTTTTGCAGACTACATGAAGAACCCTTCAAGAAACTACTGACTTGCCCTGCCTTCAAACCCGGGAGGAACACATGTCACTCTGAATATTTGGTTGTTTTTTTTCGGGTTCTTATGTAACAACAAGATACCAGGAAGAGTGGAAGACAGTTAAATATTCTTCACAGTCTCCTCAGCTAGAAGACATACGTTTTCAGGGTAACTGAAAAATCCCATAAACCATCTTATATTAGCTCCACCTCGGTTGTAACACAGAGCATCTTAATGAAGAATCTATTCAATTTGGTAATTTCATAGTTTATTATGTTTCATCAGTTTAACTGGTTTTAATTACATTTAACTTCATATTAGTTCCATCAGTTTCTGTTTTAACTATTTTCGTGCTTATTAAGCTCCAGCTAGATAATGTAATTAATGTCAGCATGCGGCTTGTGGCAACTTCATCTGCAGAGGGCGTTGAAGTATTTAACTCTAAAACTGCGATATTTATGAAGTCTGCTAAAGTTTGCAGATCTAAGAGATGAAGACTTAAACTAAACCAAATGCTCGATAAGGGATTTGCTTGCTGGCTCTTCCATAAGCCGCCTTCAGCTTAGTATAAAAGATGATCTTGAATTGTCTTTCATGTTTAACGACTAGGGTTTCTTTCTGGTTCCACGAGATATGTCGATTGGCAAATTCATCTACATCTTGAGTGCTATATTAGATTTATCTCTTGGTAAAGCCTTATTCGTGTTTGTAAACAACAATTCTGCCTCAAAAAGATGAGCTTGCCTTTATTTTTCTTGAAGGCTTACGAAGCAAAGTTGTTTGATGTGTTCTGATTATTTTTTTGTCTATAAATCTCTCTCTACGGCTTCTCTAATGGGCTTAAAACTGAGTGTTAAATGTGTGTTTGAGAGGAACTCTTTATTGGATTTGAGGCTTTGAGCGCTTTGTTTCTTCCTTCTCATCCATTGGGTTAACTGAGTGGGGGATAGATTCTCTTTCTTTAGGGATTTTCAATGGAGATCGATTCTCTGTTACATGAATCTCGCTAAACTTATCGCTGATGATGAAAGTTGCTGTGTCTGCGTTTTCTAAGTTTATATATATATATATACAATTAGCTTTATTCAAATCAATGGTAAGCTTGTGCTATTTGGTCGTCACTTTGAAAGTTCGAAACCGAGTATGTTAGCATCTATATTGTTGTGGTTGTTATTGTGTTCTGAGATTGCTTATGTAACACCCGTCCTGCTGACTTAGCCGAGAAGTTATGTTACTCCAATAATAAAAAACGGAAGCTCTTCTATAGAGGTACCAGCACCGAATCCTTGAGACTTGCTTGCTAAACACGCTAACCTGCAAACACTGGAGAGTAAAGGAAGGGGTGAGCAAACATGTTACCCAGTGAAAACTATCACTTCTGCCCACATGTTGTTATTGTCTGACTTTTAAATTCCATACAATAAAGTGAGATAGTAATGTTTATTAGTTTGAACCTTACTTCACGAATGCTTCCTACAAGCAAAGATATCATATTTGCTTTTATTGGGTGGAGGATATGTAAAATGCGTAGTATGTTGCTCTCTGAAAATAAAAGAGAACCCCATTCATCAGATAATCATTAGAGCTATAAAGGATTATCAAATGTGGGAAGATTCAAAAACATGGAATCAAGATTCTCCTAAAAGCATAAGTACTTGCAGCAATGCTCATGTGCCCACAATGCCTTCATGCTTTATCACTTAGTCATCACTATTGTTGTACAATTGATGCTTCGTGGATTCCTTGGATGGATAGAGCAGGTATTGGCGTATTGCTTGGTCTTTGTACAAGAAGAACATATGCAACAAGTTCTTCAACCGCACCAACTTTAACCCCATTAGAAGCTAAAGCTTTAGCATTGCTAATGGCGGTAAAAGAGACAAGAAGGTTGGTTTATGAGTTATGACAATGTTATCTCTGTAGAAGATAACAAAACTCTCCATGATAACATTGGGACTTCTTGGTCACAAGAGGAGGCAAGCTTGGAGCACTCCGGAAAAAGAAATGATGGTGAAAGTTATAGTCAAAACTAAAATGATTTATCTTATATATATATATATATATATATATATATATATATATATATATATATTATATATATATATATATGATACTAGGATTTTACTATCAATTATCCTAAAGCAGTGTATCTATCGCAGTAGTACTTTAGGTATCAATCCAATCAGGTGAGATGCTAGCAATCAGATATGACAGAACTACTCAATTCAAGCCAAATCTATCAGGTGGTGGTGACAATGAACAAAAGAGATCGAGTGCAATATGAATGCAATCAAGCTGAAACAATAAAATGACGGAAATGAATATCAGAGAAAGATCAAGCTCCTAAGGATGGGGTAATCGACCTGTAACTACTCCTAACGTGATCTCGTCGCTTAACAAACCTCAAACACGGGCTAATCCCTCAACAACGAACTCGACAGACAAGATCAATTCGCTTTCACGAAAGAGATCAACAAACTAGTGAATTCTCAAGACCTAATCATCATTAGCGAAGAAAACACAAGCAAGCATTAAGTTCGGATTCGATAGAGTCGAAATACTCTCTAGACATCTAATCCCTTAGGCTAGAACAGTAAATCTCTGGATCAGCTGGTTCAGACATCTCATCGAACGCCTCATGAGCGTGGAAATGTCTAAGATCCAGATCCAGTGATCAGAAAGAATCTGGGATGAAGCTCACTAATCCAGAAGGGATCGATTTGACAAACAAACTTAAGCAACTCGATCACGCTAGGGTTCGCTACAGATCTATCCCATCCTCAGAAACTTAAACGAAACTACTCGCTAGAACTCATCATACACATTTCAGAATCAAAAGAGATAGAGTGCATAATCAAAGCGACAAAGAGATAGAATCGAAAAGTGCAAAAGTACTTAGAACTCAAAAACAAATCTGAAAATACAACTCTGTTCGAATGTAAAATGAAAGATGAAAGATAAGATAATGGAGGCTGCACCTCTCCCTCTGGTTTTGATACTCGAAAACCTAGTGTTTTAGAAAAATCGGGAAATAAAATAAAAAGGGAAAAGTTGGCCGAAACAAGCACTGGGTCGGATCCCTTAATGGGCTGGATCGATCCCGTCAGAACGTGGGCCCTCTCGCTTGACTTTGACTCCGTCTCTCAGGTTTGACGTCGGCGCTACGGCGTTCATACTTCAGTCCAGCGTGACCTCATCGAGCTCGATCACAGCACTCGACCTCGTCCAATTCGATCACTTGATGTTTGATAGCGTCAACGCGACCACGTGTACTCTGTCACTCCAGCTCCGTCACTCCAGCTCCATCACTCCAGGAAACACCTAAAACTGACACAAATGTACAAGATGCAACAATGCTAGTCCTAAATGCACTAAATGCGGAATATGAGTGAGATGAGTGAAAAGAATGCAAATGAACGGTTATGGATGCAAAAACATATACAATCGAGTGCTAAAAACATGCAAAGTATGAACACATCATATATATATGCATGTTAAACTTGTTGCTGTGAGGAGGTTGGTCATTAAGAGCCTGACTGGTTTAACCGCTGCGGTTGCGGTTGCGGGTGCGGGAGTTTGCAGAAGCGGGCGGTTGTGATTAGTAGCGTTATTAAGCGGTTTGTACGACTGGCATAACAATTGAAAATGGATGCGTTTGCGGGTTACTTATGACTGGTTCACTTGCGGATGCAATAGCGGTTAAACAATAAATTAATAATATAAACACATTATATAATTATAAAAATATCAAAAATATTTATAATGAAAATTTTAAATTTATGGTTCAACATAATTAAAAATTTTTTTTATAAAGAATAATATGTGTATAATACTTACGTCTATCTTTTAATTTCTATAATTTAAATAAAAATGTGATTTTATTTTCAAAATATATATTTAATGTGAAAATTAAATTTATTTTACAATTTTATTTATTAGATATATATGTATTAGTATGAAAAGAATATTTATGAAGAGAATTTTGATTTGTAGAACTTATAAATATATAAGTATTATATGATTTTAATGAATATTGACTAAAAGTACTAATTTTTTATTTATATTGTGATTTTATTATCCAAATCTTATTTTTTAATAAATATTATTATTTATTTTCGGATTTTATATAAGTTTGTGTTTTTTTTTTTTTTTAATTATCCACCCGCAACCGCAAACGCTTGCGGAAAGGAGCTTTTGATTTTCAGCGATATAGAGCGGTACAGAGTGGTATAGAGCGATTCAAAGCGGTTGTCGTGATTGTTATAAACCGCCGAAAACCGCTACGAACCGCAAACGCTGCGTTTGCGGGTGGTAGCGGGAGAACCAATCAGGCCCTAAGCCAAACTAGCTAGGGAACAACAAGTTTAAGAAAAGTCTTCTGTTTAAAGCATCAATACCAATTTTGTTAATCACAATCCAATCATTCATTGAGGATAATTGAAAAATACTATTTTGAAGCAAATTAAAGTTGGTGTAGTCTAAAAGACAAATTTTTTTCTTGGTCATAAACAACAATACAAACTAATTGAATAATTCAGGTTGATCCTGTTGTTATATTCGAAAAAAGTTTAGAATCTGTTCATATGTCAAAAATTTATGAAGCATTGCACAAAAATATAATATATATATATATAAAAGATATTGTATACAAAGTTCTGTCAAATGAAGATATCTATGATATAAACATACAATTTGATGTCAAGGTTTGTCAAACATAGATATGTAAGGATTCTAATCATCAAAGTAATATGATCATGAAGTTTTGACGAAATTGTAACACAATATAATAATAGATCCATGTTTTCAATATAATAACACAATATAATATGTTATATTAGAGGTATACTATTTTAAAGTTATTAGTGTATTAAATAAAATTATTAATACAGTAGTGCGGGCTAAGAACCTAGTAGATTAGAAAATTCATCTTTACGGAATGGAATTGAAGATTTGAAGGAGGATAAGTTTTCATGAAAAAACGTGGATACAAGTCATACAACTCGTTAACTCAAAAAAACTATTTGTTGAAATAATATGAATTAATGATCCGAAGACTAACAACGAACACAAAGTCAAATAAAGCTACAAATATATAATAAAATGAAAAATTTAAAAAGGGAGAATGCATATGCGCCGGCAAAAAGAATATGTTGGCCATAAGGATTGATCAAGTCAACCAATAAAAAACTTTCCATGAAGTTGTGTCAAGAAACAATGGTGAAATCAAATGGGACATCAGGTTTTTGAACGACGACGGTGAGGTCTCACTTCTCTTTGATCTTCCTAAAAATCTTTCTCAAAAGGTCAGTTTCGTTCTCTTTTTATGGCTCCTCCTTTTTCTTCTTCCTCCAATTCTCGCAATTGGTTATATGATGTCTTCCCGAGCTTTCGCGGAGAAGACGTCCGCGTCACTTTCCTAAGCAACTTTCTCAAGGAACTTGATCGGAAATTGATCACTGTTTTCAAGGACAACGAGATGGAGAGAAGCGGATCGCTTGATCCCGAGCTCAAAAGTGCCATTAGGGATTCGAGGATTGCTGTTGTTATATTCTCCACAAATTACGGCTCTTCATATCTCTAAAATTATTGAGTTGTTGAAATTGGAATCTGAGGAAGTGAAGATGATTGGTATATGGGGTTCCTCCGGGATTGGTAAGACTACAATCGCAAGAGTTCTGTTCAATCGACTTTCTCGACACTTCCAAGGTAGTATTTACATCGACATGCGCTTCATAGCTAAGAGTAAGAAAACTTATAGCAAAAGCAACCCGAATGACCAGAACATGAAGTTGCACTTGCAAGAAAATTTCCTCTGTAAACTATTAGCTAAGCAGAACATAAAAGTAGATCACTTGGGTGCGGTGAGAGGGAAGCTAAAGAACATGAAAGTTCTTATCTTTATCGATGATTTGGATGACGGAGTGGTGTTAGATGCCTTGGTTGGTGGGGATGAATGGTTTGGCCTTGGAAGCAGAATCATTCTGGTTGCAAAAGATAAGCAGATTCTAAGGGGGTCATGGGATCGAATGTGTTTACGAGGTGGGTATGCCGTCTACAAATGTAGCTCTTCAGATGTTCTGCCAGTATGCTTTCAGGCAAAATTCTCCACCTGATGGTTTCATGGAGCTGGCTTCTGAGGTTGCAGCACGTGCAGGTCGTCTTCCTATAGGTCTAAACCTATTAGGATCGAGTATGCGTGGGAGAAACAAGAAGTATTGGGTAGACTTGTTGCCAACTCTTCGGAAAGGTCTAGACGGAAAAATTCAGAAAGCACTACAAGTTAGCTACGATGGATTAGAAAGAAAAGAACATAAAGCACTATTTCGTCACATTGCATGTTTGTTTAACGGTGATGAAGTCAATAACATCAAGTTGATGCTCGCAGATAGTGGTTTGAATGTTGATATAGGCTTTGAAATTCTAGTTGACAAGTCCCTCATACATGTAATACCATCGCTAGATCATACAAATTTTGTCGAGATGCATTCTCTAGTAGAAGAAATGGGAAAAGAAGTTGTTCGTGCACAGTCCGACGAGCCAGGGGAACGGGAGTTCCTAATAGATCCGAAGGATGTATGTGATGTACTTGAAGATAACATGGTAATATTTTTCATTCTCCTTCCATATATAATTCTCTTTAACAAGATTGAAAGTTTCTTGTTAAGCTAATGATTTTTATATTTTCAGGGTACTAAAAATATTTTAGGTATATCATTGGATCTATACGAGACTGATGAGATGCAAATACATAAGCAAGCCTTCGAAAAGATGAGAAATCTCCGTTTTCTATACATTCACTCTAACCAGGACTTGAAGAAACAATTTAGATTGAACTTACATGAAGGCTTCAACTATTTGCCACCTACACTTAGACTCTTGAGGTGGGACGGATACCCAATGAGAGGCATGCCTTCTAACTTTTGTCCTGAAAATCTTGTTGAGCTACAAATGAATGGGAGCAAACTCGAGAAGCTGTGGGAAGGAACTTATGTAAGTTTTTCGTGAAATCATGATGCTGTTATGATTTTTTTTTTTTTTAAAGTTATAGGTAACAACAATCTGATATGTAACTTATTTATACTTTAATTAGTCTCTTACAAGGCTCAAGAAAATGGAGTTACGAGGATCTACAAATCTAAAAGAGATCCTAGATCTTTCCAAGGCCACTAATCTTGAGACATTTTGTCTTGCACGTTGCTCGAGTTTGGTCGAGCTTCCTTCTTTTATCCAGCATCTCAATAAACTGAAGAATTTAGACATGTCATATTGTGAAAAATTGGAGATTCTTCCAACGGGAGTGAACCTCAAATCTCTCGAAGGCCTCAATGTCATGGGATGCACACGGTTAAAGAGTTTTCCGGATATCTCAAGCAACATCTCTAATCTAGATGTAAGCGAAACAGCGGTTGAAGAATTTGTCCCTAACTTGCGTCTAGAGAACATCGTCCAGCTTCGAATGTGTGGAATGAAAAGTGAGAAATTGTGGGAAAGAGTTCAGGTATGTACTTAACCTTACGTTTCTTCCAACCATTTTTTAAACAAAACACAAAGCAATTATTGTGGCTTTGTCGAATTTCATAAACGTTTTGAAATAAAGTTTGTCCAGAAAGAAAACAAAAAAAAAGACTATGTAGTATAAGAAATTTCAAGCTTTGATTATGAAAAAAATAAGTTTATAATTTGAGAAAGTGAATGTAAGTATTGATTATTGTCAAAAAAATATGGATTATATATTAAAACACTATGAAAGTATCTAAACTGGTAATGTTTCTAATTTTCTTACTTTTTGTAATGTTTTGTTCAGCCGCTTACACCCCTCATGGCCATGATATCTCCCTCTTTGACGTGGTTGTCCCTCTGGGATATCCCAACTTTGGTGGAGCTTCCTTCTTCATTTGAGAATCTTAATAATCTAGAACTCTTGAGCATTAGAAACTGCATAAATCTGGAGACTCTTCCAGATGGCATCAACCTCAAATCTCTTGATTTTCTCGATCTGTCTGGATGCTCACGGTTTAGGATTTTTCCTGATATCTCAACCAACATCTCACAGATCCATCTAGACGAAACAAGGATTGAAGAGGTTCCTTGGTGGATCGAGAAATTCAGCAATCTAACCATGATAATCATGCAGAGATGCAAAAATTTGAAGCATGTTTCCCTCAACATTAATAAACTGAACCGTCTTGAGCGGGTTGATTTTACGGATTGTGGGGTACTGACTGTAGTTAGCTTGAACGGTAGTAGGGCGGCAATGGCTACAGATAATCTTCAGGGATATATACCAAACCTGCTTAAATTCACAAACTGCTTCAATTTGAATCAAGAAGCTCTTGTTGAAACAAAAACAGAATTACCCAATCTAATCTTGCCAGGGGATGAGGTGCCTTCATATTTCACTCATCAAACTTCTGGAACCTCCTCCTCCCTGACCATCCCTCTAGCTCCAAGCTTTCTCTCGCAACCGTTCTTCAGAATTAGGGTTTGTTCTGTTGTTATTCGCGAGGCTCCATATAGAAGTGGTGTCGACGGAGTAGATGTCCATGTGAACTGTCGGTTCAGAGGCAGATTTGGGAACATTTTTGAATCTTCTGGCGAGCAACAAAGCTTTTGGGCAACTGGTAATGAAAGTCAACTGTTTATAATGGATTGTTGTTTCCCTCTAAATAACGATGATGCTCCTCCTCTAGCTGAATTGAACTACGATCACGTGGATATACAACTTCATATAAGTAAAAATGGTCTTCATTATGATGTGAACTACGATTACGAGGATTGTACGTTCAGATTAGTGAGATGGGGTGTACGCCTCTTGGAGGACTATTCCTCAGCGGATAACACTCTTCCACGTGTGTGTGAAGCAGATGAAGACAATATGGTTAATGATGAAAGTCATGCGACTGAACAAGGTGAAGAATGTGGAGATAGCGTGGTGGAGATAGAAGAACGCAGGAAGCGAATGCGGGAAAGTATGAAGCTGATAAGATTCATCATACATACTACTGCAAGAAGAAGCATAAGAAATGAGATACTCAAGGTTTTGAAGAGAAGTCTGAAGAGGGCTCAGAACGCTGGATCAAAGGATTAATGAAGGCAAAGTCTCCGGTTGACAAGCCGGCTTGCGTTTAATGAGAAGTCGTTTTGATAAACTTTGTATGTTTTATGGATATACATATACTTATGTTTTCACGGTCTCCTCACAATCACACACAATACAAAGAAGAGAGGCAGGGATTTGTCACGGTCTCCTCAGCCAGCATACGTTTTCAGGTAACCGGGAAATCCCATTTTAGTTCCACCTCGATTACAGAGCATAGGAGCATCTTATCGGTCATTGTTATTTCATAGATTTGTCATTTGGTTTATCTAAAAATTGTTAGTTAAAGTTTGGTGTATTTCAATCTTACTTGGCTCTAGGAGGTGGTTGGCTTCATTCAAGAATCAAAGAGGAATCTCGAGCCTATTTGATTTTTTTAACGTGTTCTGTTTTGTTGGTTTTTTTAGTTTGCTATTTTTTTATTTTCTTGAACTGGTGGAACTTGGTGGCAAACTAATTAAAAACAAAAAACGAAAATTATAATAGTTTTTTTTTCACGAGAAAAGTTTGGCAAAAACTGATTTTGAATTGTATTTAATGTGTAACAACTATGTCTTTCTCAGGTTCCACTAGATATGTCGATCGGCAAATTCATGTAAATCTTGAGTGCTAGATTAGACTTATCTCCTGGTAAAGCCTTATTTGTGCAAAAAGATGAGCTTTCTGCAACTGGTTTTTGCCGCTTACAAAGCAAAGTTGTTTGATGTTTTCTGATTATTTTTATCTATAAATCTCTCTCTACGGCTTCTCTAGTGACTTAAAACTGAGTGTTAAATATGTGTTTGAGAGGCACTCTTTATTGGATTTGAGCCCTTAGATTCTTCCTTCTTCATCCATTTTGGTTAATTGATTGGGTAGATTCTCTTTCTTTAGGGATTTTCAATGAAGAATCAGCAATTCAGCATGCTGATGATGAGAGTTGCTATGTGACATACTCTTGTCACTACTTATGGACAAGAGGAAGCAAGTTTGGAGAAGTCAGGAAATAGAAATGATGGTGAAAGTTATAGTCAAAATAAAAATGATTAAACGTGTTATTATCAGGCGGTTAATCATTTGGCTAAATTAGCTAGGGAACAACACTTAAGTTATACAGTCTCTTGACACATTATTTAATCTTTTGATTTATGTTTCATAAAATATGTTGCCGACATAAAAATAAAAGAATTGAAAATTGAAAAACTGAAAAAAACACACACCGCACAAAAAGAGTTACATCTAGACAAAAAAAGTAAAATATTAATCGGAAAGTAACTGTAAAGATAGGAAAAAAGTAAAATTAAATAACAAAGCATATGTATGTGACTAGAGTGGCCGACCAAAAAACAAAAATGCGATCAAGTCAACAAATAATGAAAGTCCCGTGAAATTGCGTCAGAAACAATGGCGAAAATTATAGTCTCACAACGACGACTGTGAGACCTCACTTCTCACTTCTCTTTCGATTTTTCTCAGAATCTCTCTCTCACCAAATCGTCCTTCTTCTAAAAAATCAGCTTCGTTCTCTCTTAATGGCTGCTCCTTCATCTTCGTCTTCCTCACATTCTCGCAATTGGTTATATGATGTCTTCCCGAGCTTTCGCGGAGAAGACGTCCGCGTAGCTTTCCTGAGCCACTTTCTCAAGGAGCTTGATCGGAAACTGATCTCTGCTTTCAAAGACAGAGATCGAGAGAAGCCGATCGCTTGATCCCGAGCTCAAAAAGCAATTAGGGATTCGAGAATCGCTGTGGTCATATTCTCCAAACTACGCTCTTCGAGCTGGTGCCTTAACGAACTGTTGGAGATCGTGAAACTGCAAGGAAGAGTTTGGTCAAGTGGTGATTCCGGTTTTCTACGGTAGATCCTTCACATGTAAGGAAACAAACCGGTTATTTTGGAAAGGTCTTTGAAGAGACATGCCTCAAGAGCACAGAGGAAGTGAAGATTCAATGGAAGGAAGCTTTGACGAATGTAGCAAATCTCCTTGGATATCATTCTGTGACCTGGTGAGAGATTTTATTATGATTTTGGTAAAGAAATATTTTGCTTTTGCTTAGAGAAACATGTTTGTGTAAGTGTAAATGATCTTTGTCCTTGTTATTAGGGGTAACGAAGCTACAATGATTGAAGCAAATCGCCAATGATGTTTTGAGCAAACTGCTTTTAACTCCATCAAAGGATTTTGAGAACTTTGTTGGCATTGAAGATCACATCTCTAAAATGAGTGAGTTGTTGGATTTGGAGTCTGAGGAAGTGAAGATGATTGGTATATGGGGTTCCTCAGGGATTGGTAAGACTACAATCGCCAGAGTTCTGTTCAGTCGTCTCTCTCGACACTTCCAAGGTAGCATTTACATAGACAGGCGTTTCATAGCTAAGAGTATGGAATTACCGCAAGAGCAACCCGGATGACTATAACATGAAGCTGCATTTGCAAGAAAATTTCCTTGTGTAAGATATTAGATAAGCAGATGATAGAGGTTGATCACTTGGGTGCGGTGAGAGAGAAGCTAAAGAACATGAAAGTTCTTATCTTTATCGATGATATGGATGATGGAGTGGTGTTAGAGACATTAGTTGGTGGGGATGAATGGTTTGGTCCTGGAAGCAGAATCATTGTGGTCACAAAGGATAAGCAGATTCTAAGGGGTCATGGGATCGAATATGTTTACGAGGTGGATTTGCCGAGTGAAGAATTAGCTCTTCAGATATTCTGCCAATGCTTTCAGGCAAAATTCTCCACCTCATGGTTTCATGGAGCTGGCTTCTGAAGTTGTAGACCTGCAGGTCGTCTTCCTTTGGGTCTAAACCTTATTGGTTCGAGTATGCGGGGGAGAAACAAGGAGTATTGGGTAAAAAAGTTGCCAACTCTTTCGGAAAGGTCTAGACGGGAAAATCCAGAAAACACTACGAGTGAGCTACGATGGATTAGGAAAGTGAAGAACATAAAACATTGTTTCGTCACATTGCATGTTTTTTCCAACGGTGATGGAGTCGATAACATCAAGTTGATGCTTGCAGATAGTGAGTTTAATGTGAATATAGGTCTTGAAATCTAATTGAAAGGTCCCTCATACATGTCACCGATGCGAATTCTGTCGAGATGCACTCTCTAGTAGAAGAAATGGGAAAAGAATTGTCCGTGCACAGTCCGACTGACCCAGGAGAATGGGAGTTCCTAACAGATTCAAAGAATGTATGTGATGTACTCAAAGATGGCACGGTAATATTTTCTTTCTACTTCCATAATTCTCTATAATAAGATGGATTGAAAGTTTCTTGTTAAGCTAATGACTCTTATATTTTTAGGGCACTAAAAAAATTATAGGTGTGTCGTTGGATATAGATGAGATTGATGAGTTGCGAATACATTATGAAGCCTTCAAAAGGATGAGAAATCTCCGTTTTCTAAACATTTACACTAAGAGATGGGGCGTGAAGGAAGAATTTAGATGCTACTTACATGAAGACTTCAACTATTTGCCTCCTCAACTTAGACTCTTGAGGTGGGACGGATGCCCAATGAGACGCATGCCTTCTAGCTTTTGTCCTGAAAATCTCGTTAAGATCCAAATGCAAGGGAGCAAACTCGAGAAGTTGTGGGAAGGAATTCATGTAAGTGTTTCTAGAAAATTATAATTGGTATTGAGATCTTGGTGCTGTTTTGCTTTTTGTTATTAAAAAATTAACCATTTGATGTGTAACTTACTTGTACTCTAGTCACTTCCAAGATTCAAGGATATGGATTTATCGAGATCTACAAATCTAAAAGAGATCCCAAATCTTTCCATGGCCACTGCTCTCGAGACACTTAATCTTGGGCACTGCTCGAGTTTGGTGGAGCTTCCTTCTTTTATTCAGTATCTCCAAAAACTGAAGACGATAGACATGTCATATTGTGAAAATTTGGAGATTCTTCCAACCGGAGTGAACCTCAAATCTCTCGAACAGCTCACTCTGAGCGGATGCTCACGGTTGAAGAGTTTTCCTGAAATCTCAACCAACATCTCAGCGCTCAGTCTAGAGGAAACAGGGATTGAAGAATTTCCCCCGAACTTGCGTCTAGAGAATCTCGTCTACCTTAACACTTCTCGTCTGGAAAGTGAGAAATTGTGGGAAAGAGTTCAGGTATGTACTTAACACTTTCTACTAAACCCATTTTTAAAACTAAAAACTTTCACAAGCAATTATTGTGGCTATGTTGGATTGTTGGATTTGCTTAAACATTCTGAAAAATAAAGATTCAGAGAAAAGAACTATATTTTGACAAAAGTGGATGTTTTTTTTTCTGGTCGAAAGAAAGTGGATGTTAGTATAGATTGAAGATCAGTAAAAAGTAAAAACTATGGATTATATTATATATTTAATTTTTGACATCATTTAATTTTTATTTAATTTTTTATTACTTTGTGTTGTTCAGCCGCTTACACCCCTCATGGCCATGATATCTCCCTCTCTGATGATGAGGTTGTTCCTCACGGATATCCCAACTTTGGTGGAGCTTCCTTCTTCATTTCAGAATCTCAGTAAACTGGAAACGTTGATCATTACAGACTGCATAAATCTGGAGACTCTTCCAAATGGCATCAATTTCGAATCTCTTAGTTCACTCAGTCTGTCTGGATGCTCACGGTTGACGAGTTTTCCTGATATCTCAACCAACATCTCACTTCTCCTTCTAGACGAAACAGGGATTGAAGAGGTTCCTTGGTGGATCGAGAACTTCAGCAATCTAGATATTATGAGCATGAAGGAATGCAAAAGTTTGAAGCATGTTTCCCTCAACATTTCTAAACTGAAACGTCTTTGGAAAGTTGACTTTTCAGATTGTGGGGCATTGACTGAAGTTAGCTTGAATGATAGTCCTTGTGCGGTGGCAATGGTAACAGACAATCATCACTCTAAGTTATCAATACTCGACGAAGACGAAGACGACTACCACGCAAGCTATATGCCAAGCATCGATTTCAAAAACTGCTTCAACTTGAATCAAGAAGCTCTAGTTGAAACACTAACAGTATTGGCTAAACTAATCCTGCCAGGGGAAGAGGTGCCTTCGCATTTCACTCATCAAGCTTCTGGTAACCCCTCCTCTCTGACCATCCCTCTACTTCCCAGCTTTCTATCAAAACGGTTCTTCAGAGTTAGGGTGTGCGTTGTTGTTATGTCCGGAAGTGATTACTACGGAGGACATCTCAATGTAAAATGTCAATTCAAAGGCAGATCTGGGAAAAAGTTTGAATACTATGGCGACCTGCGACCGTACTTTAATGCTACTGAGAAGGGTAGTAATCTGTTTATATTCGATTGTCGTTTCCGTCTATACGAGTACGTCATCGATGCTCCTCCTCAAGCTGAGCTGAACTATGATCACGTGGATATAGAACTTCATGCGACGAATCTTTTTCATGAGAACGGGAAGACTCCGAGCAGATTAAAGAGATGGGGTGTTCGCCTCTTGGACGACAATTCAACAGCGGAGAACGGACTTGGTAGTCCAAATACTCTTCTTCCACATGTTTGTGAAGCCGATGAAGACAATATGGTTATTGATGAATGCCATGAGACTGAGCAAGGTCATGAAGAATGTGGAGATATCTCTGTGGAGGCAGAGAGATGCACGAAGCGTATGCGGGTAAGCATGAAGCATGAAACTGAACTGAATACTATATATATCTCACTATTCGTTTACATGATCATTACGAAACTATTTTATAAAATAATAACAGATCATTGTATTGTTTTTCTTTTTTGCAGACTACATGAAGAACCTTTCAAGAAACTACTGGGCAGGAACACAACATGTCACTCTGAATCTTTGATTGTTTTTGTTTTTCCGGTTCTAGTGTAACAAACAATATACAAGGAGAGAGAGGCAGAGATTTTTCAGCGTCTCTTCAACTAGAAGACGTACGTTTTCAGGTAACCGAAAAATCCCATAAACAACAACTCTGCCTCAAAAAGATGAGCTTGCCTTTATTTTTCTTGAAAGCTTACAAAACAAAGTTGTTTGATGTGTTCTGATTATTTTTTTGTCTATAAATCTCTCTCTACGGCTTCTATAATGAGCTTAAAACTGAGTGTTAACTGTGTGTTTGAGAGGAACTCTTTATTGGATTTGAGGCTTTGAGCGCTTTGTTTCTTCCTTCTTCATCCATTGGGTTAATTGAGTGAGGAGATTCTCTTTCTTTAGGGATTTTCAGTGGAGATCAATTCTCTGTTACATGAATCTCGCTAAACTTATCGCTAATGATGAAAGTTGCTATGTCTGAGTTTTCTACGTTTTTATATATATACAATTAGCTTTATGCAAATCAATGGTAAGCTTGTGCTTATTTGGTCGTCACTTCGAAACCGAGTATGTTAGCATCTATATTGTTGTGTTTGCTACTGTGTTCTGAGATTGCTTATGTAACACCGTCCCGCTGACTTAGCCAAGAAGTTATGTTACTCCAATAATAAAAACGGAAACCCTTCTATAGAACTACCAGCACCGAATCCTTGAGACTTGCTTGCTAAACACGCTAACCTGCAAACACTGGAGAGTAAAGTTAGGGGTGAGCTACAATGTTACCCAGTGAAAACGATCACTTCTGCCCACACGATTCAGAAGAATACTTTTATGAAACTAATTATATGATATACCTAACCTCGGAATAAGCAGGTTCAGTTGTTTAGAGTTTAGTGTTTCTGTTTGCTGATGTCTTGTTATTGTCTGACTTTTGAATTCCATAAAATAAAGTGAGATAGTATTGTTTATTAGTTTGAACCTTACTTCACGAATGCCTTCCTACAAGCAAAGATACCATGTTTGCTTTTATTGGGTGGAGGATATGGAAAAGGCGTAGTATTTTGCTCTCTGAAAATAAAAGAGATCCCATTCATCAGATAATCAATATAGAGCTATAATGGATTATCAAATGTGGGAAGAGTCAAAAACATGGAACCAACATTCTCCTAAAAGCATAAGTACTTGCAGCAATGCTCATGTGCCACCATGCATGCCTTCGAGTTGCTTTATCACTTAGTCATCACTCATCACTATTGATGTACAGTTGAGATGCTTCGTGGATTCCTTCCATGGACAGAGAAGATTTGCTTGGTCTTTGTACAAGAATGATGCAACAAGTTCCTCAAGGAGATCTTTAACTTTAACCCCATTAGAAGCTGAAGCTTTATCATTGGTAATGGCGGTAAAATAAACAAGAAAGTTTTTTTTTTTGGGGTGCAAATGTGAAGAAACAAGAAAGTTGGGTTATGAGTTATGAATTATGACAACGTTATCATTGTAGAAGACAACAAAACTCTCTTTTGATAACATTTAGACTTCTCCTTGACAAGAGGAAGCAAGCTTGGACCACTCCGGAAATAGAAATGATGGTGAAAGTTATAGTCAAAATTAAAATGATTTCTCTGATATATATATGCATGTTAAACGTGTTATTGTCAGGCGGTTAATCATTTAGCTAAATTAGCTAGGGAACAACACTTAAAGTTATGCAATCTCCGAAGTCCTAACACATGATGTAATCTTTTGATTTATGTTTACTAAATTATGTTGCCGACATAAAAAAGAAAAGAATTGAGAATTGAAAAAACTAAAAAAACACACACCACCCAAAAAGAGTTACATCTTGACAAAAAAGTAAAATTAAATAACAAAGAGTTTTGTCTTCAGGGAATTGAAGACAAGCAAAAGGGGAACAAAAGATTCTTACATCTGGCTGCCAACGAAGACAGAAGAGTACACAGCAAAATCCGACTACTACGAGTGCCTGAAATAAAACCCAGAAAAGCAAATCAACGAGTAAGAAACCCAAGAAGAAAGATTCAATTGGCTAAAATCCATTTGAAACATAAGAAGCTAACCAAAAACGAAGATGTTCATGTGGAAAGCAATGAACGGAGCACTGTCGGTGGGTGAAAATCTCAAAGCGAGAAACATTAACACTACGGTCCAGTGCCCAGATTGTGGAGAGGAGGAAACAACAATGCATCTGCTGTTCTACTGCAGCTTCGTAGAACAAATATGGAGGTTAGAGCAAATGTAGCGGTCATACTCAGTGGGATTTTTTTAACCAAAACAAAAAGAAAAAAGAAAATATTTATCTATTTGGAGAGTTTTAAGGTGAGAGAAGTCTCTTCCCACAGAGACTGCAGAAACATTTTTCTGACACAGGCTGGACAAGTGTCACAATTCGATTGGATCTTATCTTTTATTTCTCTTTTTTTTTAAAAAAATCATTTTTTATTATTTTTTCTCAAAAATCAATTTCTTTTTTATTAAAAATTTGTTTTTAAAAAAACTTAGAGGGTATGACCATTGTATTTGCTTTGAGTGCCCTGCAAAGACCAAATTGATCCAATAAGCGTACAAGACATACAAGCAGGGATCGAATTGGCACCACATATCATTTGCTTACCACCTACGGGAATCGGAGAGGGCCCTTTCCTTCCTTGGCTAGTGTGGAGGATCTGGATCGCGAGAAATCTGCTTATTTTCGAAAGAAAGAGCCAATCAGCAGAGGAGATTGTGACTCAAGCAGTGAACTATGCGAGAGATTGGCAAACGGCGCAACAAAGGAAGAGCAAGCAAGGAACGAAGACACCCAATCAATTCCGCTCCATCAGACAGATCCCAAGAGGGAACTGGACGACATGCAAATCGGATGCAGCATGGAAAGAGGAGAATAAGGTAGCGGGACTGGGATGGGTCATCTACAATGGAATCAACACCAGCAGAGAGAAGATCTTGCTCCAGGGAGCGAGCACACAACAATTTGTCAAATCGCCGTTATCAGTTGAGGGATTGGCTCTACTCACGGCGCTCCACAAGGCAAAGGAGCTTGGAATCAACAACCTCATCGTCATCTCAGATTCGCAGCAGCTAATCAAGACTATCAATAAGGAGATCTCCACAAAAGAACTCCACGGGATTCTTCACGATATCCTGGATTTGGCTTTAGTTTTTGAGAAAGTAATTTTCGTTTATGTTCCACGAGAGGAGAATCGACAAGCAGATGTTTTGGCAAAATAAGTTTTGATCGATTTTGTAATCTGAACCGGTTAACTATTTGAAATGAGAAAACCAATTATTTGAAAAAAAAAAATAATAATATAAAAAAATAACAAAGCACATGTTTGTGACTAGAGTGGCCGACCAAAAAACAAAAATGCGATCAAGTCAACAAATAATGAAAGTCCCGTGAAATTGCGTCAGAAACAATGGCGAAAATTATAGTCTCACAACGACGACTGTGAGACCTCACTTCTCACTTCTCACTTCTCACTTCTCTTTCGATTTTCTCAGAATCTCTCTCTCACCAAATCGTCTTCTTCTAAAAAATCAGCTTCGTTCTCTCTTAATGGCTGCTCCTTCATCTTCGTCTTCCTCACATTCTCGCAATTGGTTATATGATGTCTTCCCGAGCTTCCGCGGAGAAGACGTCCGCGTAGCTTTCCTGAGCCACTTTCTCAAGGAGCTTGATCGGAAACTGATCTCTGCTTTCAAAGACAGTGAGATCGAGAGAAGCCGATCGCTTGATCCCGAGCTCAAAAATGCAATTAGGGATTCGAGAATCGCTGTGGTCATATTCTCCACCAAACTACGCCTCTTCGAGCTGGTGCCTTAACGAACTGTTGGAGATCGTGAAATGCAAGGAAGAGTTTGGTCAAATGGTGATTCCGGTTTTCTACGGTGTAGATCCTTCACATGTAAGGAAACAAACCGGTGATTTTGGAAAGGTCTTTGATGAGACATGCCTCAAGAGCACAGAGGAAGTGAAGATTCAATGGAAGGAAGCTTTGACGAACGTAGCAAATCTCCTTGGATATCATTCTGTGACATGGTGAGAGATTTTATTATGATTTTGCAGAGAAATATTTTGCTTTTGCTTAAAGAAATATGTTTTTGTAAATGATTTTTGTCGTTGTTATTAGGGGTAACGAAGCTACAATGATTGAAGCAAATCGCCAATGATGTTTTGAGCAAACTGCTTTTAACTCCATCAAAGGATTTTGAGAACTTTGTTGGCATTGAAGATCACATCTCTAAAATGAGTGAGTTGTTGGATTTGGAGTCTGAGGAAGTGAAGATGATTGGTATATGGGGTTCCTCCGGGATTGGTAAGACTACAATCGCCAGAGTTCTGTTCAGTCGTCTCTCTCGACACTTCCAAGGTAGCATTTACATCGACAGGCGTTTCATAAATAAGAGCATGGAAATTTATAGCAAGAGCAACCCGGATGACTATAACATGAAGCTGCATTTGCAAGAAAATTTCCTGTGTAAGATATTAGATAAGCAGATGATAGAGGTTGATCACTTGGGTGCGGTGAGAGAGAAGCTAAAGAACATGAAAGTTCTTATCTTTATCGATGATATGGATGATGGAGTGGTGTTAGAGACATTGGTTGGTGGGATGAATGGTTTGGTCTGGAAGCAGAATCATTGTGGTCACAAAGGATAAGCAGATTCTAAGGGGTCATGGGATCGAATGTGTTTACGAGGTGGATTTGCCGTGTGAAGAATTAGCTCTTCAGATGTTCTGCCAAAATGCTTTCAGGCAAAATTCTCCACCTGATGGTTTCATGGAGCTGGCTTCTGAAGTTGCAGACCATGCAGGTCGTCTTCCTTTGGGTCTAAACATTCTTGGTTCGAGTATGCGTGGGAGAAACAGAAGTATTGGGTAGATGTTGCCAACTCTTCGGAAAGGTCTAGACGGGAAAATTCAGAGAGCACTACAAGTTAGCTACGATGGATTAGAAAGAAAGAACATAAAGCATTGTTTCGTCACATTGCATGTTTTTCAACGGTGATGAAGTCGATAATATCAAGTTGATGCTTGCAGATAGTGGTTGAATGTTGATATAGGTCTTGAAATTCTAATTGATAGGTCCCTCATATATATATCACCATATGGGGAACAAATTATGTCTCGAGATGCACTCTCTAGTAGAAGAAATGGGAAAAGAAATTGTCCGTGCACAGTCCGACGAGCCAGGAGAATGGGAGTTCCTAACAGATTCAAAGAATGTATGTGATGTACTCAAAGATGGCACGGTAATATTTTCTTTCTACTTCCATAATTCTCTAATAAGAAGGATTGAAGTTTCTTGTTAAGCTAATGATTCTTATATTTTCAGGGTACTAAAAAATTATAGGTGTATCATTGAATATTGATGAGATTGATGAGTTGCAAATACATAAGAATTCCTTCAAAAGGATGAGAAATCTCCGTTTTCTAAACATTTACACTAAGAATGGGACAAGAAGAAAGAAGTTAGATGGCACTTACGTGAAGGCTTCAACTATTTGCCACCTAAACTTAGACTCTTGAGGTGGGACAATACCCAATGAGACGCATGCCTTCTAGCTTTTGTCCTGAAAATCTCGTTAAGCTGGAAATGCGGGAGAGCAAACTCGAGAAGTTGTGGGAAGGAATTCGGTGAGTCTTTTTTAATAAACTCAATGTTGTTTATTATAAAAAAAAAGTTAGATAACAATCTGATGTGTAACTTAGTTATACTCTAGTCACTTACAGGGCTCAAGAATATGGATTTATCGCAATCTAGAAATCTAAAAGAGATCCCAGATCTTTCTATGGCCACTAATCTCGAGACACTTAATCTTGCTTATTGCTCGAGTTTGGTGGAGCTTCCTTCTTTATTCAGCATCTCACAAACTGAATGATTTGGAGACATGTCACATTGTGAAAATTTGGAGATTCTTCCAACCGGAGTGAACCTCCAATCTCTCGACGGCTCAATCTCTGGGATGCTCACGGTTGAAGAGTTTTCCTGATATCTCAAGCAACACCTTTATTCTCATCTAAGAGAAACAGCGATTGAAGAATTTCCCCCTAACTTGCGTCTAGAGAATCTTGTCTACCTTGATATGTGGAGATGAAAAGTGAGAAATTGTGGGAAAGAGTTCAGGTATGTACTTCCAACCTTCCAACCATTTCTTAAACTAAATAATTTCATAAGCAATTATTGTGGCTATGTCTAATTTCTGAAACATTGTGAAATATAGTTTCTTGAGAAAAATACTGTGTAGTATAAGAAATTATTGTGGCTATATCTATTTTGAGAAAGTGAATGTCAATAAAAACTATAGATTACACGTTTTAAAATAATATACAACGTACAATGTACATCCATCAAATTGATAATGTTTTTGTTTTTTCGTTCAGCCGCTTACACCCTCATGGACATGATATCTCCCTCTTTGACGTGTTTGTACCTCTCGGATATCCCAACTTTGGTGGAGCTTCCTTCTTCATTTCAGAATCTCAGTAAACTGGAAACGTTGATCATTACAGACTGCATAAATCTGGAGACTCTTCCAAATGGCATCAATTTCGAATCTCTTGATCTCGATCTGTCTGGATGCTCACGGTTGAGGAGTTTTCCTGATATCTCAACCAACATCTCATATCTCATCTAAGCGGAACAGGGATTGAAGAGGTTCCTTGGTGGATCGAGAACTTCAGGAATCTAAGCATATAATAATGAAGAAATGCAAAAGTTTGAAGCATGTGTCCCTCAACATTTCTAAACTGAAACGTCTCGAGGAGGCTGATTTTTCAGATTGTGGGGCATTGACTGAAGTTAGCTTGAATGATAGTCCAAATGGGGTGGCAATGGCAACAGACAATCATCACTCTAAGTTGCCAACACTTGACGAGGCTTCTCCATCTCCTGAAGAAGATAACATCTGGCTCAGTTTTGATAACTGCTTCAACTTGAATCAAACAGTAAAAACGGAGAAACTAATTTTGCGAGGGGAAGAAGTGCCTTCATATTTCACTTATCAAACTTCTAAAACCTACCCCGCAGAAGAAGGAACCTACTCCTGTTTGACCATCCCTCTGTTTCCCAGCTTTCTCTTGCAACCGTTCTTCAGATTTAAGGTTTGTGTTGTGGTCATTTGCGACCCTATATCCAGCCTTGGTTTCAAAATAATAGATATCGAAGTAAAATGTCGATTCAAAGGCAGATCTGGGAACATATTTGAATCTTTTGGCAAGCCATGTTGCCTTTGGAGAGCTAAGAAAGGTAGTTATTCAAGGTTCCCAGATGACGAGGAGGACTATACGATCAGATTAAAGAGATGGGGTTTATACCTCTTGAAGACTTGAACGACGATTCATCAGCAAAGAACGGACTTGGTAATCCAAACTCTCTTCCACATGTTTGTGAAGCCGATGAAGACATTATGGTGAATGATGAATGCCATGAGACTGAACAAGGTGAAGAATGTGGAGATAACTCTGCGGACACAGAGAGATGCTGGAAGCGAATGCGGGTAAGCATGCAGCATGAAACTGAATATCATATGTTTCACAACTCGTTTACATGATCATTCTGAAAGTACTATTTTATATAACTAATAGATCATTGTATTGCTTTCTTTTTTCAGACTACATGAAGAACTCTTCAAGAAACCACTGACTTGCGCTGCCTTCGAACCGGGCAGGAACACAACATGTCACTCTGAATTAATCTTTGATTGTGTTTTTTTTTTCTGGTTTTAATGTAACGACAATATACAAGGAAGACAGGCTGAGGTTTTTCACTGTCTCCTCAACTAGAAGAAGTACGTTTTCAGGTAACCGAATGATCTCATAAACCATGTTATTTTAGTCCCACCTCGATAGGAAGACAGAGCATATGAGTATGTTAATGAATTATCTATTCAATTTGGTGATTTCATAGGTTCTCCATCAGTTTCTCGTTTAATTATTTTCGTGCTTATTAAGTTGGTGGTTTTAAACAGCTGCTCCAGCTAGATCATGCAATGTCAACTTCATCTGCAGTGGGCGTTGAAGAAAGGATTAAACAGCTGCTCCAGTTAGATCATGCAATGTCATGTGGCTTGTGTCAACTTCATCTGCAGAGGGCGTGGAAGAAAGAATAAACTTCATCTCAAGGATTTTCTTGCTGGCTCTTCCATAAGCCACCTTCAGGTAACATAACCCCATCAGAACCGTCACTTTGAGTTTCATCCTCTTCTTCTAGTCCTTATTTCATAGATTTGTCATTTGGTTCCGTGTCTATAAAAATGCTAGTCAGAGAGTTTGGTATATAAAAGTTCAATGAAACGCATTTAAATAGCTTTTCCCCTTTCTAAATTATAGTTAAGGATGTTGAGATTTGGCCAGACTGTAATGCAGATATTGATGACTCTGTCACAACCAGGAAGATGGCCATCTTCTTCCCAGTTTTCGTCAATGCCAATGAAAGCTCTTGATATGAGCCAATATCGTATCAGCTCTCCACTGTTAATACTTTATACTTTGGCAAGAGATATTGTGAAGTGTCACTCGACAAGATACATTTCATTCTTGCTTGCTTCATTCAAGAATCAAAGAGGAAGCTTGAGCCTATTTTTTTCTTTTTTTTTTGCGTGCTCTGTGTTTGTTGGGTTATTGAGTTTGCTATGTTTTGAGGAACATGAAAAACGAAAATTGTAATAAATTTAATGCCTGATGACGCCTACAAATAGCTAAAGTACAAAGAAGAAAGAGCTGCTTTTTTCCAATCACCAAACTTTTCATATATATGAATACAAGTTCTTCACATCGTATACCAATCAAACCAACTCACTATTATCTTACAACATGAACCCGATTCTCAGATCCATAAAGAATCAAGTGTCAACTCAAACTTATTCGAATGGATGTAACAAATAACAAAGAACCAAAGAAGAAAGAATTATAATCAAAGAACGAATCAAGACTCTGCGCAAGAAGAAGAAGAAGATATCTTCAAGAAAACAATGCATGTTACCACCGAATTTCTCACCAAAACATCAGTGGAAAAAAACTGTCACCGAATTTTCACCATTTATTGACCGATTTAAGTATCGGTGAGTATTCCGTCAAGAATTTAACTCCACTTGGACGTTTGACCAACGATTTTTAACATATCAGAAATAAAAGGTTTAACATATAAATAAAAAAACATTTACTTCTCACGTGACGTCTTTGTCAGTTTGTCCTATACGTGGCGATTAAAATATCCTCACTGAAACCTTCTCTGTGGAGTAGAGTATTTACCACACTTAGCTTTAACTTCGTCCCTCTCTTCTAAAACCTAATTATACTCTAGATCTGGTAATTTTCACGCTCCCTCTTCAGAAATTTCCTGCGGCCTCGCTTCATCTTCTTGCTGTTTCACTACCTCCATATTCTATTTCCATCATTGATTAATTCTCTCTGTCTGATTTTTCTGCTTGAAACTGAAGCAGAGAACAAAAGATGTCGTTTGAGGAGTTTAAGCCACTAAACGAGAAGTCTCTCGTAGATTACATAAAGGCAACACCTGCTCTCTCCTCCAGGATCGGAGACAAGTACGAGGAATTGGTTATCAAGGAAGTTGGAGATGGCAATCTCAATGTGTCTTTGTTTCAGCTAAAACTCTGGTAATCTGGTTAGCTGGTCTAACTTTCAGATTTGGAATTAGGGTTTATCTTTTGCAAATGGAATCGATTTCTAGCTTTTCAGTGATGGGTGTTTGAGCTCAAATCCTTCTCAGCTCAAGCAAGAGTACTAAAACGCAGGTAATTTCAAAGTTTCTTGTCTTTTTCTTTCAACGTGTGTTGCTGATTGTCTCTGATTTTTCTTCTCAATTTGAGTGTGTGATTTTTCTCTTGAGATTTAGTTTTGGAATCATATGTACATTTTCTATGTGATTTTGGATTCATATTTGATTTGCTTTTCGATCTTTTTTGGGAATCATGTGTCATTTTGAGCTTGATGTGGTTTAATGAACACATGGTTTGTGATATGTCTTTAGTTTCAGATCTTCTCTTAGAAGTTTGAAAGTGCTGAAGACGCCTGTGATGAAGCAAGCCTGAATATGTTGCGTGAAGCAAAAATGATTCTTTTATTATTTGTGTTTTGTTATCTGTTTGTATGAAAATTATGAACTTTTGTTATTTTAAACTTATCAGTACCATTTTGTAATATTGTTATTATTTTATCAGTATGAGTATCATTTTGTAATATTATTGTGTATTTCAAATTTAGGGTGATGTTTTCTAGAATACATAATTAAGTCATCGGTGGTTAATTGGTCAAAAAAATTCCTTCCACGTAAATTCGGTGAAAAGGCTGTCATATAAATTCGGTGGGAAAACGGTGAAAACATTTTGACGGATAATTCGGTGATAAAATTTTCACGGATTAATGACCAAATTGTATTTTTGACCAACGATTTTTCACCAAAATATTTGGTCAGAAATCGGTGGATAAGGGCTATTTTTCACCAATTTTCCACCGAATCCTCCGTGGTAATAGGGATGTTTTCTTGTAGTGGATACCAATCTCTTCACTCTATATGACTTTAACTCCACTTGGACGTTTCCCTTCCATAGCATCCTTTTTATCACGACAGTCTGTGCACAAGAACGGTCCTCGCCACGGCTTTAAACTCGTCAAGAAGATCGAACCCGCATGGACTGATATTCCCTCGCTTGGAGCCAAGTCTAGTTGACATATAGCACACGTGAATATCCCTCCTCCTCCTGTTGCTTCTTCCTTAGAACAATCACCTGATCCTAACCTTTCTGCAAGCATCGCAGAGCCTTCTTCGAAAAGCTCTTCAACGATACTAACAGAGGAGAGCTTATTCGATTTCTTTCTGAAGAGCAATGATCTAAAGAAGTTGTTGTGTTTCTTAGGAGGAGAAGGTAATGGTTCTTGCGAGTTCTCAGGTGGGATTATGTCAACCACAATGCAGGTTGTGTCATCTTTAAGTCCTCTCCTTCTCAACGCTTCCTACAAACACAAATCTTGTTTTACAAGCAAGATTACACAATCTGAAATTAGGTTAAAAGAAAGAAACATTCACTCACCTTGACTACTTGTCTAGCAGCAAGTTCCGCAGGTAATCCACGACAAGTTTTCGCTGCGACTTCTGAAGAGAGAGCGTCCCATATGCCATCAGAGGCTATATAATAAGCCTTCCTCCAAGGTTTGATAGCTTCACAAGAATGGTGAAGAACAGTTTGAGAGTTTGTTTGTTTGTAATGTAAAATGATGATAACAAAGAGAAAATGTGTATATATATGACTTGCTTTACGAAGGGAACTGGAACAATGAACTCTCCAACATCCATATCTCCGATAGACCTCGAAAGACAGAGACCGTAGAGGACCAATCTACATTCATTTCATAGTTTCTCCTCCTCTATATCCTTATACCTCATCAGCTCCAAATCAAACACTTCAGCCGTCCACTCCTCTCTCACAACCGATTGGACCCATCTCGGTAAATCCACCGCCCCACCCGAGTGACCCGTATCCAGTAAATTCGGGCATTTTCCGGCGAGGATCTCCAAAAGAAGCACTCCAAACGAGTAAACGTCGGTTTTTTTGCGTGAGTTTCCGGCCGTCGATCAGCTCCGGAGCGAAGATAGAGAGACCGAAATCGAAAACGCGAGCGTTTGTGGATTTGATGTCTCCGTGAGTGAGCTTCAGCTGTGGATGAAAGCTACTCCACGCGCCGCTCCAGCTGCGATCTTCAGGCGCGTGGTCCAGTCCAATGGGGCCCGACCCGGTCCACTGTTTCCTCCTCCAGCAAGTCCAAAAACCAAAATCAGACACAATATTACAAATCTGCCACTTACCTCGAAAAATGTAATTAGTTGCTTTATTAGTTACTAAACATAATTAAGCTGATTGACTAATAACGAAATATGCCAAACTAGGAGCTTAGGCTTGTGGTAACCGTACGTCCTACACTCCTACAATTGGAATTGTTTTTTTTTTTTTTTGGTAGAGAAAATTGGAATCGTTTATATGCATGATTGTGAGCTGATTAATGTTTTTCTTTTGTTGAAAAAACTCATTAATAAGAAATAACTATAATGAATCCCTTTATCTTTCTTACACGAAAGTGAGAGAGTTACGTTTACGTTTTTTCATAAGGTTAAGATAGCGTTTTGTTTTCCCGCATGTTCAAATGCAATTCGTGACAATAACAAGTCTTGCAACATCCTTGTAAATGTTGGTTTAACGCTCCTTTCAAAAACTTATACTACTAGCTAGATTGCTTAGATGAGTACAAAATAAATGGAAACCAAAAAAAAAATCACTAGCTAAGATTCCAAATGTAAATGCAAGTTCATAAAAGTTCCATACACTAAAATGCCGATTAAGTGGTACTATCATTTAAGCATTTGTAGACGAGTTGTTACGTTCTGCTCACGCCCTGTGTTTTCCATTAACAATAGGCTTTAGTAAAATTATACAAAATAATAACGAGGAACACTCTCCGTGTTTCACTAGAGGAATTTAACAAAATTCTAGCTCGAGATTATAAACTACAAACACTTATAAAAAAAATCAATCTAATTGACAAAGTCTTGAAAATTTGTTTGGCCGTAGTCAACAAATAAATCAAGTGGAGATTTGGACCATATCATGTGTGTGGCGTTCGGAATTTCCATATTTTGTTTTGAAAAAAAAAATTTGTGTGGACGTAATCAAAGTCATGTCAACTAATATGTAAAACAAGCAACTTCCCGCGAAGTTGCGTAGGAAAATCTAGAAAACAATGGTGAGAAGATTAAACATATCTTAAGCGTCTCTGAACGACGACGTTGAGTCCTCTGCTCACTTGTCTTTTGATCTTCCTCAGAATCTCTCTCACCAAATCGTCCTTCTTCTCAAAAACTCAGCTTCGTTCTCTCTTATGGCTGCTCCTTCGCGCAATTGGTTATATGATGTCTTCCCGAGCTTTCGCGGAGAAGACGTCCGCGTAGCTTTCCTGAGCCACTTTCTCAAGGAGCTTGATCGGAAACTGATCTCTGCTTTCAAAGACAACGAGATCGAGAGAAGCGGATCGATTGGTCCCGAGCTCAAAAATGCAATCAGGGATTCGAGGATCGCTGTGGTCATATTCTCCACAAACTACGCTTCTTCAAGCTGGTGCCTTAACGAACTGTTGGAGATCGTGAACTGCAAGGAAGAGTTTGGTCAAATGGTGATTCCGGTTTTCTACGGTTTGGATCCTACACACGTAAGGAAACAAACCGGTTATTTTGGAAAGGTCTTTGAAGAGACATGCCTCCAAAGCACAGAGAAGTGAAGATTCAATGGAAGGAAGCTTTGACGAACGTAGCCAATCTCCTTGGATATCATTCTGTGACCTGGTGAGAGATTTTATTATGATTTTGGTAAAGAAATATTTTGCTTTTGCTTACAGAAACATGTTTGTAAGTGTAAATGATCTTTGTCCTTGTTATTAGGGGTAACGAAGCTACAATGATTGAAGCAATCGCCAATGATGTTTTGAGCAAACTGCTTTTAACTCCATCAAAGGATTTTGAGAACTTTGTTGGCATTGAAGATCACATCTCAAATGAGTGATTGCTGGATTTGGAGTCTGAGGAAGTGAAGATGATTGGTATATGGGGTTCCTCAGGGATTGGTAAGACTACAATCGCAGAGTTCTGTTCAGTCGTCTCTCTCGACACTTCCAAGGTAGCATTTACATAGACAGGCGTTTCATAGCTAAGAGTATGGAAATTTAGCAAGAGCAACCCGGATGACTATAACATGAAGCTGCATTTGCAAGAAAATTTCCTGTGTAAGATATTAGATAAGCAGATGATAGAGGTATCACTTGGGTGCGGTGAGAGGAAAGCTAAAGAACATGAAAGTTCTTATCTTTATCGATGATATGGATGACCAAGTGGTGTTAGAGACATTAGTTGGTGGGGATGAATGGTTTGGTCCTGGAAGCAGAATCATTGTGGTCACAAAGGATAAGCAGATTCTAAGGGGTCATGGGATCGAATGTGTTTACGAGGTGGGTTTGCCGAGTGAAGAATTAGCTCTTCAGATTTCTGCCAATGCTTTCAGGCAAAATTCTCCACCTATGGTTTCATGGAGCTGGCTTCTGAAGTTGTAGACCGTGCAGGTCGTCTTCCTTTGGGTCTAAACCTTATTGGTTCGAGTATGCGTGGGGGAGACAAGGAGTATTGGGTAAAAATGTTGCCAACTCTTCGGAAAGGTCTAGACGGGAAAATTCAGAAAACTACGAGTTAGCTACGATGGATTAGGAAAGAAAGAACATAAAACATTGTTTCGTCACATTGCATGTTTTTCAACGGTGATGAAGTCGATAACATCAAGTTGATGCTTGCAGATAGTGGGTTGAATGTGAATATAGGTCTTGAAATTCTAATTGATAGGTCTCTCATACATGTACCACCGAACAAATTTGTCGAGATGCACTCTCTAGTAGAAGAAATGGGAAAAGAATTGTCCGTGCACAGTCCGACGAGCCAGGAGAATGGGAGTTCCTAACAGATTCAAAGAATGTATGTGATGTACTCAAAGATGGCACGGTAATATTTTCTTTCTACTTCCATAATTCTCTATAATAAGATGGATTGAAGTTTTGTTAAGCTAATGATTCTTATATTTTCAGGGTACTAAAAAAATAATAGGGATATCATTGGAATATGATGAGATTGATGAGTTGGAGATACATAAGGAAGCCTTCAAAGGGATGAGAAATCTCCGTTTTCTAAACATTTACATAAGAATGGGAGAAGAAGAAAGAAGTTAGATGGCACTTACATGAAGGCTTCAACTATTTGCCTCCTAAACTTAGACTCTTGAGGTGGGACGGATGCCCAATGAGACGCATGCCTTCTAGCTTTTGTCCTGAAAATCTCGTTAAGATCCAAATGCAAGGGAGCAAACTCGAGAAGTTGTGGGAAGGAATTCATGTAAGTCTTTTAATAAACTATAATTTGTATTGAGATCTAGTGTTGTTAAAAAAAATAAAAAGATAACAATCTGATGTGTAACTTAGTTATATTAGTCACTTACAGGGCTCAAGGAAATGGATTTATCGGAATCTAGAAATCTAAAAGAGATCCCAGATCTTTCCATGGCCACTAGTCTCGAGACACTTAATCTTGCGTGCTCGAGTTTGGTGGAGCTTCCTTCTTTTATTCAGCATCTCAAAACTGAATAATTTGAGACATGTCATATTGTGAAAATTTGGAGATTCTTCCAACCGGAGTGAACCTCAAATCTCTCAAACGCTCAATCTCTGGGGATGCTCACGGTTGAAGAGTTTTCCTGATATCTCAAACAACATCTCAGAGCTCATTTTAAGCAAACAGCGATTGAAGAATTTCCCCCTAACTTGCGTCTAGAGAATCTCGTCTACCTTGTTATGTTGGGAGTGAAAAGTGATAAATTGTGGGAAAGAGTTCAGGTATGTACTTAACCGAACGTTTCTTCCAAGCATTTCTTAAACTAAATAATTTCATAAGTAATTATTGTGGCTATGTCTAATTTCTTAAACATTGTGAAATAAGAGTTTCTTGAGAAAAAAATCTGTGTAGTATAAGAAATTATGTTACTAGATATTTTGAGAAAGTGAAAGTGAAATCAAAGCATGCGAATTGATAATGTTTGACATCTTTAATTTTTTTTCTTCAGCCGCTTACACCCCTCATGGACATGATATCTCCCTCTTTGAGTGTTTGTACCTCTCGGATATCCCAACTTTGGTGGAGCTTCCTTCTTCATTTCAGAATCTCAATAATCTGGAAAGGTTGACATTACAGACTGCATAAATCTGGAGACTCTTCCAAATGGCATCAATTTCGAATCTCTTAAGTCACTCATCTGTCTGGATGCTCACGGTTGACGAGTTTTCCTGATATCTCAACCAACATCTCACTTCTCCTTCTAGACGAAACAGGGATTGAAGAGGTTCCTTGGTGGATCGAGAACTTCAGCAATCTAGATATTATGAGCATGAAGGAATGCAAAAGTTTGAAGCATGTTTCCCTCAACATTTCTAAACTGAAACGTCTTGATGAGGTCGACTTTTCAAATTGTGGGGCATTGAGTGAAGTTAGCTTGAACAGTAGTCCAAATGGGGTGGCAATGGCAACAGACAATCATCACTCTAAGTTACCAATACTTGACGAGGCTTCTCCATCTCTTGAATATGATAACATCGAGCTCAATTTCACAAACTGCTTCAACTTGAATCAGAAAGCTCTGATTGAAAAACAAACAGTCTTACAGGAGAAACTAATTTTGCCAGGGGAAGAAGTGCCTTCATATTTCACTTATCAAACTTCTGAAACCTACCCCGCGGAAGAAGAAGGAACCTACTCCTCTCTGACCATCCCTCTGTTTCCCAGCTTTCTCTTGCAACCGTTCTTCAGAATTAGGGTTTGTGTCCTGGTTATTTGCGACCCTATATCCGGACAGGATTTCAACTTTATAGATATCGCTGTAAACTGTCGGTTCAAAGGCAGATTTGGGAATATTTTTGAATCTCTTGGCCAGCCACGATGGTTTCAGACAACTTGGAAAGATAGTCATCTGTTTATATTGGACTGTCGTATCCCTCTAAACAAAGGCAATGCTCTTCCTCAAGCTGAGCTGAACTACGATCACGTGGATATACAACTTCAAATAAGTCGCAGGGATCGTCTAGCTTCAATGGACTATACGATCAGATTAAAGAGATGGGGTGTACGCATCTTGAACGACGATTCATCAGCAGAGAACAGACCTGGTAATCCAAACGCTCTTCCACATGTTTGTGAAGCCGATGAAGACATTATGGTGAATGATGAATGCCATGAGACTGAACAAGGTGAAGAATGTGGAGATAACTCTGCGGACACAGAGAGATGCTGGAAGCGAATGCGGGTAAGCATGCAGCATGAAACTGAATATCATATATTCCACAACTCGTTTACATGATCATTCTGAAAGTACTATTATACAACTAATACATCATTGTATTGTTTTTTTTTTTTTTTGCAGACTACATGAAGAACTCTTCAAGAAACCACTGACTTGCCCTGCTTTCAAACTCGGGAGGAACACAACATATCATAAGGAAGACAGGCAGAGATTCTCCACCGTCTCCTCAGCTATAAGGCATGCGTGTTTTCAGGTAACCGAAAAGATCCCATAAACCATCTTAATTTAGTTCCACCTCAATTGTAACATAGAGCATTCAGTTTGGTGATTTCAAAAGTTGTCCATGAGTTTCTGTTTTCATTCTTCTCGTGCTTATTAAGTTGCTGGTTTTAAACAGCTGCTCCAGCTAGATAATGCAGTGTCATGTGGCTTGTGGCTTGTGGTTTGAAGGATTAACTCTAGACATGCCATTAGAGATATGAGGTCTGCTAAGTTTGAAGATCTAAACCATAACGGAATGGTTTGCTGGCTCTTCCATAAGCTTCCTTCAGGTAACAGAACCACAAGAACTGTCCTTTTTAAGTTTCATCCTCTTGTTCTAGTCCTTTATTTCATGGTTTTGTCATACGGTTTCCGCGAAAACAATTGTAGCAGTTTTCTTGGAATTTTGTTGAAATTTGAGTATTTAAATAGCTTTCCCCTGTTTGAACATTAAAAACTTGCAACGAAATTTTAGGTGAAGATGTTCAGATTTGGTCAGACTGTAATGCAGATATCGATGCTCTGTCACAACCAGGAAGATGGCCAATCTAATCTCTCTACGGTTCAGGCCAATATTTTGGCAAGAGATACTGCGAAAAGTGTCAATCTTTCTTGGCTTCGTTCAAGAATCAAAGAGGAAGCTCAAGCCTAATTGGTTTCTTTTTAACCGTGCTCTGTCTTGATTTTTTGTTTAACATAGAAGTATAATAAAGAATGCAACTCGTTTTTTAACAGAGGATAATCAAAGAGAGCTTTGGTTTTTCAAATTACCAAACTTTTCATATATATATTTGTTTTGTTTTTCAGTATGAATACAAGCATTTCACATCGTATACCCATCAAACAATACTCACTATATCTTAAAACATGAACCCGAAGATGACTTTGGCTCCGCTTGAACGCTTCCCTCCATAGCGTCTTTTTTGTCACGACAGTCTGTGCACAAGAACGGTCCTTGCCAGTTGCCACGGCTTTAAACTCGTCGAGAAGATCGAACCCGCATGGACTGATATTCCCTCGCTTGGAGCCAAGTCTAGTTGGTTTATCGTTTTCTCTAATTATTTTACGTAAACTGTAGTTTTTGTTTTCCATCTTCAAAGTTACATCGATTTCATATCTTACATAACTTTGGTCTATGTTTGGGGAAATTTCAAAACTACACCTCTTAAGCAAATTTTCAAAAATACAGTATTAGTATAGTATTAGTGAACCCAAACATATATATTAAAATTGGGGAAAGGTGTAGTTTTGAAAATTTCCATACTATAGGTGTAGTTTTGAAAATTTGCACCTCAAGAGATATATTTTATAAAATTTCTCTATGTTTTTTTGACTAAACAATGATTTTTGTCTATTTCTTTGGAATATTATGTCTACACGTATAGTTAAAGCCTAAAAAGCATATTCCGTAGCAAACTTGCAAACAAAGAAGCATATTCTCTGCTCAATCACATGTTAATCACTAAATTAAATTAAGCTGTATATTATTCTCAATGTCGCATCCCCCCGCATGGTATATTTCGTGAATATACACTCCAAATTCTGAATTTTGAAATCAATAAGCCGATTTCAAACCTTTTTCTGGATAAAGCATGCTAAAAAAATATATATGTAAATCATACGGATTAATTGTTAATCCAGAAATTATATAAAAAAATAAATAAATAATAAGAATATAAAATAAAAATGAAAGCCTTTTATGTTTTAAAAAATAATCATCTGCACAGTAATCGGTTGTTGCCGAAGAAAAAGCTGAGAAAACAAAACGAAATAAAAATTGAGGAAGAAGGAAGGAAGGCAAGATTTGATCACGCAACAAAAAAAAATTCCAAATCATATGGATTCGTCATGTCCTCTCTGTATCATCTTCTTCTTCTTCTTCCTATAGCAGCAGAGCTATCGCGCGATTGAAAAAGCCCTATTAAATGAGATCCATCGATCATCGTCTAATGGAGGAATCGTCGGCTACGTCGTCGTCGTCGTCGTCTTCCTCCTCCTCGTCTCATTATTTCTCAATTTTCACGAATTACCCTCTGATTTCCGCCGTCCTAGCTTTCACCATCGCTCAGCTCATCAAATTCTTCACCTCCTGGTTCGTTTACGTTTAGAAACTCTTTGATCAGATCAAATTCGCCAAACTATTTCCCGATTGAATATACGAATTTCTGATTTGTGCGAAGGTATAAGGAGAAGAGATGGGATTTGAAACGGCTTTGTGGGTCAGGAGGAATGCCTTCTTCACATTCGGCAACAGTCACAGCTTTAGCTATGGCCGTTGGATTACAAGAAGGCTTTGGAGGATCTCATTTCGCAATCGCCTTGGTTCTCACTTCCATTGTATGTTCTTGCTCTCATCACTTTATTCTTACCTTCTCTTCTTTAGAGGCTTCAAGAAACTGAGGGATTTGTGTGTGTGTGTGTGTGTGGCAGGTGATGTATGATGCAACTGGTGTGAGATTACATGCTGGACGCCAGGCTGAGGTTTTTTAATTTTGCTTTCTCTTTGGTGTCACAAGCTGTGTTCTTGTTCACTGATTTTGGGTCAAATTGATTCATCATCTACAGGTTCTCAATCAGATTGTGTATGAGCTTCCTGCAGAGCATCCTTTATCTGAAAGCATACCCTTGCGTGAACTTCTTGGTCATACTCCTCCACAGGTAAGTGAATCAGATCATTCAGGACTTAGAAATGGTTTGTCATTGTTAGACAGAGTAAGAGACTGATTTGGTGTCATGATCAGGTGGTTGCTGGTGGAGTTCTTGGGATTGCAACAGCAGCTTTTGGTTACTTAATCACCTTGATAGCAAAGTAGTAGCCTTTTAAGTTGGCAGCAAAAAAGCTTACCTTTTTTTACTTCACTATTGTGTGTTGAAGCGACTGGTACGTAGCTGAAACAGTCCATGACAAGGAAATGGGGTCTGGAATTGGGGTTTGATTATATTTTTCTATACTCACAGCTCGTATCATTCTTATAGAAGTGTTCAGGGTTTAGAACAAATTATAGGCTTTGATGTTGTAAGGGAAACTTGAAAGTCAATACATAGATTTATGAAGTGGTAAAAGACAAGCTTGTGCTCTTGAATTACAGTGGACAAACATAATCTGTTTAGAATCAAGAGGATAGTGATGGATCTTTGTTCAACCATATCTTATACTGACAAAAGGGTACAGAGTTAATTAAGAAGAGACGAAAAAAGGCATCTCTAATTTGCAGAGAGTAGGGTCCCAAACAAATTAACACCACAAAACTTCATGTTATTTCTTTTTAGCTTCCATGATATCTACATAATCTGCTCATTAAAGGACAATAGACCACAAAATAACATTTACTCTTCCTAGTGAATATATGAAGAAAAATTCAGGATAAAAATTTGTGTGTGAACAATGGAGAAAACATACAAATTTGGTGAGGATGATGGAGACAAGAATGATAAGAACAGAAAGATTAGTGTCTGCCGCCATGAAAGAGATTTATGTCCAAAATGTAAGCTCTAATCCTCGAACAGCTTCTCTGCTTATTAGTGTAGCCCTCAAAACTAAAAGCCATTTTGTGAATGAGCATTGTAAAGTAAAGACAGAGGGAAACTGGTTGAGGAAATAAGACGTATGGAAATAAGTTTGGTTCAGGACCGACCCTACCGAATCATACTCGTCTTGATCTTGTGAAGACAATGAGATCTTTAACAAATCGTGCTAGAGTCTGATTTTAACTTAGTCTTTGGCTCTTTGCACTAACATTATTTACCTAAATAAAATGATACAGTAAAGTTATTTAACAAAATAAATTCAAGAATTATTAGGATGCCTAAACTAGTCATGTTTATATCCATAAGATTTCTCAAGCACCGGCTCATTGAAAACACACAATTCTCTGTAAACTATTTTTTTTTTGGTAAAGATGTAAATATCATTTAAATAAAATATGTAGCTTTTACAAATCTTTAACAAAATGCATAACCTATCAGTCTATCTAATTGGTCCTGTGCCAAAAAAAAAGATTACATCATGTAAGCAAATTTAGTACAAATATCTTTAGCTTCTCACATTTGTTCTTACTCTAAAGCTCTGCAAACCACTTGTTTACAAGTAATTAATGTCCATATTCTTCACATTAATTATCACTTTCTTAATACATTAATCCAAAACAGTTTACAGCACATCCATCCACTGCAAATAGCCAAATTCTCCATTTATTAACTTTAAAACTTGAACAAAAACAGAAAATGTGAGATAAAACAAGTAAACACCATAATATTAATAATGAAATCCATAAGAAACCAAAAGACGGTCCACAAGCAGTAGAGGTGGGGGACTGTCAAGGACCACGTGAGCTTGTCAGTCAAACCCGGACCCGCCTTTTTCCCCAACCCGGACCGACAAAACCCATCTCTCGCCGCTCCTTCCAAGATCTTCCACCGTACACGTGTCAACAACCTCCACGAAAATTATCTAAAGTTACCGTTAAAAAGTACAACTGTAATCTTAAAAATATACCGTTCTCGGGAACTACATGAGAAGTCTTTTTTAACTTTTTCCTAAAACGCTTTCCATCTCCCTAGATTCCTCCTAATTGTTTGTGATTGTTCTATTGCATTTGGATTATTTAATCATTACCAATGTAATACTTGTGTAATGGTCATTGTTGAATGTTGAGTCACTTTCTCCCCACGTAGACATGATTAATGTTTTTTTTTCAGAGTATTCGCAGCATTTTCACAAACCAGATCTGAGCATTACTATAGTACCTCATTTACCACTATTTATTTCGTAAAATGAAAACAAAAAGAAACTGTGGGGCTATACGATTCTGCCATTCCTAGGATAAAAAAAAACAGTGTTAACAAGAGTTTAAAATACTTTTATTACGTAAAATACAAGTTATGTAAATATGATTTTTTTTCTTTCTGATATCCAGTTTGTAGGATTATGATAGTTTATTTTTTTAATTGTTTTTTAGCGGATTCAAATCATGTAACGGATATCATCACTGCCACAGCTTAGCATTTTTCACGAACTAGATCTGAGCATTATTATAAAACTCCATTTTACACAATGTTTCTTGAACTAAAAACAAAACAATAGTGGGGGCTAAATATATGCCATTTTTCAGAGGAAAAATTAAAAGAGTTTTTTTTTTTTTTTTTTTTAAATAACAGAGTTAAATAAAGACTATCATTCTCGTTTACACAACAACCAATCTGGCATTAATATCCATTGCTGAATCTCTCATCACTTCATCAAGTGGGTCTTTACGAGAGTGACGACTCTTTGATTGCTTCGCCACATCTTCGATTTATATCCTTTTAATCCTTCTCCAACTCATCTCCTTTCTCTATCCAATTCATTTCTCTTCTCAATGGATAAAATAAAACCTTCTCATTTGCAATAGTTGAAAATCTTGAAATAGATCTCTGTTTTTTTATTTTTCTTTTTCTTGTAAAGAATGAGATCTCAAGGTGTTGATGATAACAAAGGATGGCTTGGACCAGCGACGCCGGAGATTTCAAACGGCAACGGTAACATCAGTTTCGAGTTTCAGAAAGGTGCGAACCGGACACCAAACCACCACCGGTCAACTATGGGAAAACCAGCGCCGTCGAAATGGGACGACGCTCAGAAATGGCTCTCCGGCGTCGGTCTATCTCGCGGCGGCGGAGATAAGAGTCACCACTCGCGGAGTTGTAAACCGAGAAACTCGAACGCCGACGATCTCAGACTCATCGCTTCAGCTTCTCAGAGGGAACGCGAAGGAGAAGATCAGTACGTGGAATACGACGACGACGGAGAGACGGCGGCGGGAAGGACGGTGGTGGAGACGAAGAACGTAGACTGCGGAGAGTCTGGTGGTGGTTCGGTTTGGAGGAAAGAGAGTGATATTAATCCGACGGCTGTGATTCGATCGGTTTGCGTGAGAGATATGGGGACAGAGATGACTCCGATCGGGAGCCAAGAGCCGTCGAGAACAGCCACGCCGGTGCGAGCCACGACGCCGGTGGGGAGAAGTCCTGTGACTTCACCGGTGAGAGGTTCTCACGGTGGCGAAGCGGTGAGGACGGCGATGGCGGCGACGGTGACGGAAGCTAGAAGTGTAGCGAGTGGTGATAATAATAACAATGAGAAGAAGATTGGGTTTGGGGATGATGAGAAGAAGGCAATGAATGCTATGGAAGCTCGAGCCATGGCTTGGGATGAAGCAGAACGCGCTAAATTCATGGCTAGGTGATTAACAACATTAATTAATTAATTAATGAGTGTTATTAATAAATGTGACGTGATTAAATTTAAATATCAGTGTTTGAATAAATTTTTTTTGGTGAATTAGGTATAAGAGAGAGGAAGTGAAGATTCAGGCTTGGGAAAATCATGAGAAGAGAAAGGCGGAGATGGAGATGAAGAAAATGGAGGTAATCCGGTTTGGTATTTCCGGTTAAAACGGTTTTGTTTTTGGTTTTAAAATTTTTTTGATTCGGTTTTGATTTTTGGATTGCTTTTTGTTTGGTTTGGTTCAGTTTATCTAGATTGGACGCTTTAGTTAAATTGGAAACGTTTGAGAAAAAAAATGTGTGAATGGGTGTGTGTAGGTGAAGGCGGAGAGGATGAAAGCGAGGGCGGAGGAGAAGCTGGCGAACAAGCTGGCGGCGACGAAGAGGATAGCGGAGGAGAGGAGGGCAAACGCGGAGGCGAAGCTGAACGAGAAGGCGGTGAAGACGTCGGAAAAGGCTGATTATATAAGGAGAAGCGGTCACTTGCCTTCTTCTTTTATCTCCTTTAAGATTCCGTCTCTATGTTGTTGGTAGTTCGTTATTTTGTTGTGTTTATTCATATTCTTGTTATTATTGTCTTTAGAAATGTGATGGTGTGTGGATTTAGTGATGCAATAACTAACGGAACAAACTTTTAACGGTCTTGTTTTGGGGAACTATGACATGAAAATAGAAAAACAGGTTTGGAAGATATGAGGCATGACATGAGTTAAAAGAAATTAAGAGAGAGAGAGTCGCAATGTGTTAGTCAATGTCAGGGTCTACAAGTCCTTGTCACTAGGTCAACTGTTATTGTTATTGATCAATGAAATGGAAAACTATCTAGTTAAGATATGGTCACATTTCTTACATTCCATGGGATTTTCTGTAACGTCTGCGCCAACGAACAAGCCTTTCTCTCTTTGATAAGTGGCATACTATTTGGAAGGATAGGCTTCCACAAGAGGATACTCTTATGCAAAAAGCCAGACAAGGTGATTCCTAACTCAAATATCATTTTAGCAGCAGACAGAAACAAACAAAATCAGTATGTCACTTAAGCATTTTAGGCGAAGTTCATTTAATTGTTGGTCAAAACGTTAAAGAAACAATGCTTGAAATACAAGTGCTCATCATAATAGCACGGCATTGAGAGACAACTTTATATATATGATGTGAATTAATCGAAAAACATTGGCTAATTGAGAGGACGTGAGCTCTACTTTTGTTTGCTGTCCAATCAAAATCATATTGTACAAGGCGTGCTTCGATCTGAAGTTCTTGGAATGTCTCTTGACCTTCAGAGTGAGCTTTACATATCTCCTGGCCTATTGCTCTCAACCAATAAGGTTTCTTGAAGATTGTGATGTTTCTCCTTTTTAGACCCTTTCGTCTTCATTCAGTGAGCCACAGTTTTAGCCAAAAAGACCACCAGACCCCAGTTCCATTTTTGTCACATCCTTCCTACGTTGCTCTTCCAAAGGATCAGGGCTCTTTACCACTCTCCTCCCACGCCTTACCACAGAAAGGAAAACAAAAAGGTTAAGAGACATATATAAATAGTCAACGAGTGATGTGTTTCAGTTTCGATAGATCTCAGCATTTACCTGTCTTGGGCATGTTGAGCAGGGAAAGTTGGCATGAAATCTTTGGATTTTGGCAGAGGGACTTCACGGAACCACTCATGCTTAAGAGCAGCATCAACAGTTATTCTCTATTAAAGAAGCAAAAGTCAAGGATTAATCAAAGAGAGCATAGTAATGAACATGCAATGGAATTCTATGATGTATGTATAGTCTTATTACCCTCTCAGGATCGTATGTGAGGAGCTTGTTCAGCAAGTCAAACCCAGCATCGGACAGGACTGGTGCACCAGTGAATGAAGTGGCTGGGAATTTCTTACGTAACAGGTTGTACCTGAAACAACAGGAGCCAATGGTGAGAAGAAGAACAAGAAAGCCAGACCACATCATCCAAAGCTACAAAGCCTGGATATAATTTAAGCAAATTTTATACTAAGATTATATGCTTGCATAAGAAACTGAATATTACGAGGGATTCAAAGCGCTTACTGATGCTTGACAAAGTTGACCTTGACTCCAGGCAGCTTGGAGAAACCAGGCCAGATTGATTCATTGGGAGTGCCAAGGATTCTGAAAATCTGTATATTAACAGGTAGCAGTAATTAGAAAACTCTATGTGCTTCCACTTTCTAATTTAAGACAAAAATCTATGTTTGAAATACCTTGTCAAGTTGATCAAATTCAGTTTTCCCGTTGAATAATGGCGCCTTCGATAAAAGCTCTGCCATTATACAGCCCAATGACCACATGTCAATGGCTGTAGAATATTGTTTTGCTCCCAAGAGAAGTTCAGGTGCCCTGGAAAACAAATGCAGTCATTGAGCTTGGTCCTGGAGGAAGTGAACAAAATAAGAAAGGAGAACCAGCACAAGGAACACAACAAGTCAAGAAAGCTCAAGGACAAATAGTTCCTAACACGCCCATTCTAATTAGTGCCCAAGCAAAAATCGCAAACGCGTTAGTATTCAATAGCTAAGCTGGCATTTTGGGAGGATAAGGATCCAAATCCTCCTCAACACTCAGTTAACAAGACTTTTAAAATCATTGATCCTAGTGTGCAGGGACATAAAAGGGAGAATGGTGTTGTAGAGCTATAACAGAAACGACAAGTGGTAATACTAACAATGGCCAAAAGTTACGGGAAAGTCGACTAGTTTAAATTTACAATTGCAATGGTAAAGCATATTTTTCTTGAACTAGAAAAGGGGAAAAAGGCAATTTACCTGTACCAAAGTGTAACAACCAGATGAGTATACGGCTTCAGAGGGCTGCCATATTGCCGAGCTAAACCAAAGTCGCATATCTTCAACTCACCCCGGTTGTTTAAAAGCAGGTTAGATGTTTTCAAATCTCGATGAAGCACCCAATTATCATGAAGATACTTGACGCCCTCTAAAAGTTGAAGCATTAAGCATTTAACTTCACTTTGACTGAAACGCTGCTTCATTGTCTCCATCAATGCTTTAAGATCATGTTCCATATATTCCATCACCATAAAAATGCTATCAAGACTACTACCCACAACCACCTCTTTAACATCCACTATCGATGGGTGATGAAAAGAAAGAAGAATGTTGATTTCCCTGAGAGAAGTCAGTGGGAAACCTTCTCTTTCTTTTTCCATCTTCACCTTCTTCAAGGCCACGATTTCCCCCGTCTTCTTATCCTTCGCTCTGTAAACAACACCATACGTCCCTTCATCTATCTTATTTAATCTCTCAAACTCGTCAACACTTCTACAACCCTGAAGCATGTTTATACTTCTCAAAGGGGTACCAGCAGGTTCAGGTGTCTCATGCCGAACATATTCATCATCCGAATCTGTTTGACTAAGGCTGTCGCTAGAATACTGTCTTCTGCGATCCTCCTCATCTATTTCCATATTGTCACTCTTAAGAGCATCTTTCTCCTCAGAATCATCCCTGCTTCCCGGAAAAGAATGGTGCTTCCTTTCATCAGAATCAGATGATCTATAACCTTCCCTCACAATCTCTCCGACCTCAGGTGTAAGAGACTTATTGCGCAACCTTTCCACGGTAAGTGGTTTCTTCTTCCTTTTGTTTATTCCCACTTCTTCTACTATCTCACCTTCGTCGGTTGGGGAACTGTTGCCAGCAGCCCACCTAGAGGATGATATATGCCTTGTAGGCATGTTTTCCTCGTCTTCTACGTGTGTTGCATCCTCTTGTTTCCTATCATGTCCAGCATTTGATGATAGTTCTACAACACGCATAGAATATATCTCTACCGGAGATGAAGAAACAGGCAAAGAAACTGCAGGAACACCAACTTCCGGGGGATCTGGAAATTGAGAATTACCAACACAACTGACACTAGGTGACTGGCTTGACCTCTTATTTAGTAATGGTGGTGGGGGAGGAAGAGCGGTGACTTCCACAGGCTTATCATTTCTGCTCAACGGACTTCTTTCACGGCCATCTCTGTCCCATACTATCGGCGAAAACTTTCTCTTCTTCTCTACAGGGCTTTGAGCTTTATCCTCCACCTGCTTCACAGCTCCATTATCTTTCACCACTGATTCCGACTCGACTAAATCGTCCGAACCACTCTCACTAGAGAGCTCACCTGGTTCCTTATCCACAGACCTAGCTGAAAAGCTGCACCTTTTAGGACCACGATCAATGAAAACTTCCCTACTACCTGGATTGATCTTCACTGACCGAAACCCACTATTGACCATATCTCTCTCTTGAATAGCTCCGAGCCTAATCCTATCTCTATCTTTACTGTTATCCCCGTTTCTTAGATTATGAACACCGTTCCTAACATGACCATAATCTTCATTGGAGTAAGCACTTTCCTTCCTGGAAAATCTAGAATTTGATTCTTCGTCTCTCAGTTCATGGTCAGTGTATCTAGCATTCCTCCCAGCCGCCATAGAAAAGGGTCGAAAAACCCCCAAATTCCTATCTGAACAGACTCCCGAATCGGCTTCTAGGCAAATTTCAAAATTTGTAACCAAGTGAAGTGACTAACCGTGTTCAAATCAGAATCGCAGATGCAGAGACTAAAATCTCCAGGATGTCAAGTATTGATCGACGCCCGGAGCATACAGCTAGTTGTTCGTGATGAAAATAGATTGAATTGAAGCAGAACTTGTGATCTGGACCGCGAAACCCTAGAAATCGAAATTGAAATCGAGACCCGAAGATATCGATGAAGAGAAGAGGAGGAGACGAGAAGAAAATCCAGAAAGGGAAACAAAATTCGATCGATGGAAAGGTCGCAGCGTTCCGATTGAGGACGTAGTAAGGGTGGTGGAATTTAGCTTACCGTCGACAGGGGACGACGAATAATGGCGGAGAGTCGAGGGCTAAAGGACGTAATCGTCAAATTGGATGCGATTTTTAGGTCTCTTAGATCAATAATTTAACCTTCTCCCCCTCCATTTTATTTGTTTTGCTAAACCGACCCCCCAAATTTATATAATTTTAAAAAACAAATTTAACACAAAATTAATAATTAATCTTTATTACCTTTAATAATTTTATTTATTTAAAGGTAATCCTCTTTTGTTTTGGTATATCAATTTCTCCATAAATTCATTAGAAAAATCATTTTGCAAAACTGAAACGAAATCTCCCTAATAATAAATTAGGTGATTTACTCGCGATTCAGTTTATTTTTTATTTTAAATTAATTAAAGAAAATTAATGGTAAAGTAAGCTCAATTGAAAATATTTCTAGATTTTCACTTGACATGAGGCCTGGGACTTTTCACCTATACCCGAAAACTCGAACCGCACCGACCCGAAATACCCATACCCGATTGATTTTGGGTATACAACAAATTACTTATTGGGTAAAATATACCTGTGGGTATTGGGTAATACCTGAATCGAACCGATACCCGAACGGGTACCCGAATTATAGGTATTATGGATTATTTTTAATATTATAAATGTATTATTATGTTTTTCAGTTTTTTTTTTAATATATTTCCAGTATTTTACTTTGGGTGATTTAACAGTTCAAACATTTAATATTGCTTTAAAATATTTTATGTTCTGAAATGTCTTGGATTACTAAAAGACTCTGCTATCATCAGTTTTGGAAATATTATGGTTCTTTTTGTTAGGTTTTAACTTTAGTATATGAAACTTGAAAAACATAATTCATACAAATACAATGGTAGAAACAACAATGACTATAACGGATCATGTACCCATATTAATGAAATATGATACTATTCCATCTTAGATTTTGATGTATCTGTTTTTTTTTAATGGTTTGATTAGTTTTGTTGATAATTTTTTCAACTTTCTGAAATTTGATTCTGATATTGTTTTTGGCATCACTAACTAAATTTTAACATCAACTGGTTGTTGTCGTAAACACTCACATGTACATAACACAACGTTACATATTTTATGAATTTATGATGAATTATATGATCTATTGTTTGATTAAAATAATTTATATTTATGCATCATTATATTAAATAAGCAAAAATAGGACTATATCAATTTTTACTGTTTTTTTACCAAACTATACACACAGAACGTGCTTTCAGCCTTTTGAGATATTCACTTTGTTTTCTTCTTTGCTGGCTAAACTAACGAACTCCTTGAGGCAAGAAGGTAGGCAAGATAGTTACACCTTGATTGGTATCTAGAGATATTTATTCTAATATGATGTAGTTACTATGTTTCTCACTGCTTGGTATCTTGAGAAGCTGCCGTTTGTCATCACACATTTATGTCACCTGTGATACTCTTTCCAAACAACTTTTTTTTTCTTAATTTTTAACTTTTTTTTATTTATTAATTGTTTATCAATATCTCAAAAATGAAGAAAAAAAAACAAACTACGTGACTTCTCCTCTCTCCTTCTTCTACCCTCATTCGAGATCTGGTTTTCGTTTTAGTCAAGCTTTGTTTGAAATCTCAGGTTGTCGTTATCGTTTGCGTTTTCAGCCTCTCCTTCCCTATTCTTCTTATCTATTCCCTAAATCTCAGGTCTGTTCTTTTTTTTTTTGTTCAAAATAAGCTTCATTAAGATAAAACGTTTAGTCTCCCAAGACTAAAAAAGCATGGAGAGCAAGTTTTGCAGAAGAGTCCGCCAAACAGTTGGCTTTCCTCAAAATTGAGACGATTTAACATCAATAAAAAGAGAAGAGAGATACGCAATATCCTCAAAGATTCCGTAGATCTCCGAGATGCGAATTCCCATCGTAATTGCAGTGACGATCTGCTGCGAGTCCGAAGCTACATGTAGAATCGGGATTCCAATTGAGATCGCGTGATCCAATGCATGTCTGATTGCCAACCCTTCCGCTACCAAGGAGGAGGAGACGTGTCCCCTTGCTTTGGAGCCATGATTGATCAGCCGCTTCTTTTTGTCTTGGAAGATCAACCCCATTCCTCCTGCTCGATGTTCACCGCTTCTCAGGTATGTTCTTCTAACTGGAAAATGGATGCCGGAGCTGAACATTAGCGTTCATAACATAATGTACGCACTGCATTTTGTCTGCAAATGCAATATGATGTTAGCCCGCTGATGCCATCATCCATAGAGTTTGCAAAAGAAGAGCTTAGGAAAATGACTTTCACGCATATTGTTTTCAATTCTCGCTGGATTCAGTCACCATATTTGTTTTTCAATAAAAGTCCACCAGAATATGACGCTTTCGATTTATGAAAGATTGATCTGATTCAAATGATTTTCACAGGTTTTGGGACCTTATTGTTTTTTAGGGTGCTCTTTTAAATTGAGAACTATATGTAAGAGAGTAGGACTGTTATTATTGGAAATGTGACGACAATTTATCTTCTTCTTCTACGAATTTCCACTATCACTGTCTTCATATTGATGCTCACGACTGAACATTTTCAAATGCAGTTATATACACCATCGAATTCCAGAAGCGTGGTCTGTCTCACGCGCATATGCTGGTGTGGTTAAAAGATGATATGCGAAATCCAACAAGCAGAGACTAGACAAAATTATATTAGCGGAATCATCAACATAATGCACTTTACACATGCATAAATGATTTACAGTCACTTTCAACCCTTTCATTTTAAGATATGACCGTTGTTAGTCGATCAGTCAAATATTAGTAATTAAGAGACAAATTAAAGAGGTCAAACACTATAATGAACAACACATTTGACACCCAATATGACAGTTGCTAGAGACTAGATATATATAGGAAAATACCATACAACAACATTCCAACAAGAATTCAAATACCACACACGCTATCGAAAACACCATGAACAATATACTATTTGGATTGTATTACATGAGAGTACCATATACACCACCATACTAAAACAAACTCCATCTCAAAATCACTCGACCGCTACGACAAGAATTCAACCTCAGCTACACGATCCCTTTTACCAACAATCAATCAAATCATTGAAGAAACTAACTCAAGCTTCAAGCAGGCAGTCAAATTCTTCATCGAATATCATGACATTGACGATGACACAACATGTACGTTAACGGAAAAAATTATTAAACTTTATTGAGACAGCGGTATTATCACCGGAAGCGGACCCCACAAACCGTCTACAAGTTTTCTTTGAAATTGAAGATCACAACCCAAACTCATCAAGAAGATTGGATGTCGACCTGGTAATCACAGACCTAGAAGCAACACAAGCCCAAGCTACAGAAGAAGAACATGGTGACTGTCCTATATGTCTTGACAAACTAAGAGGTCCTCAAAACATCAACACTTTGAGTTGCAGTCATAAATTCCACCATGACTGTATTGCACATTGGTTATATTACAGAACATCATGTCCTTAATGTAGAAGAGAATTAATATAATCTCTACTACAAATACGTTCTCTACATTGTTGTTAACTTTTGAGATTCCAATGTAATTGTTTGCATTTTCAGTTCTCCACCGATTATTTCACTCCGTTCAGCCTAACCGCAAACAAAATCGAGACATTTACATTTAACAATTCATAAAAAAACAATGACATGTAATTATGAACTTCTCTATTGACTTCTCTATCTTATAAATCCTTCTTTATTGAACAGGCTGAGACCTGATTTTTATAAACCTATTTTCCTGTCAAGGTATATCTGCAGTATAATAAAAGTCGGCGAAAGAATAAAGAGAGGTTAACAGACAACTAGAAAAGAAATTTCTTATAAAGATTTGGGAAGTGATAATATTGGAATAAATATGATATTCGACAAGATTTCCATTACTAAAATATGATGGTGAGCCACACCGAGACTAGAAAATTATTACATATATCACCATTAATAAATAAATAGGTTTCCATTTTTTTTTTTGGTGGCACTATATGTATTTATGAAAGGTTTCCAAAGCAAAGGAATAAAATCTGCATTAGTTTTGAAGAGGAAGTGAACTTATAAAGTTTAAAAGCTATGATAAATACACTTCTCTTCCTCTTCAAAACTTTAATAAAAATATATATCAATATATAGTTTTAAATAGTTTAAAGCTATGATAAATACATTTATCTTCCTCATCATTTATAAAATATTTATATAATTATTTAATAACAAGGTGGTTGGCCCATGCCTTGCGTGGGCATGAGTTATTTTAAAAATAAAATTTATCATACAAAACAAAATTATTCATAATTTAAAACGTTATAATAAAAAAATATAAAGAAATTCAATAATTATGTTTAAAATAATACAAATTTTCAAATTAAAGTAAATGTTTTGGAAGATTATTTTATCCACTACATTAGCCAAATTTCATATAATTTTTATTTTCCTTCGTAAATTTCAATATGCTTATCTTATTAATGTAGTGCACAAAATTATGATGATTATTTAAATTTATCATCTATGATAAAATATATTAAATTTTGACGATTATATCCGTCTTTTTCTTGTCATCTACAACATATCATCATTTTATTTTCTTTTTCAAAAACTACATCCATTTTCATTTGTCTTCTTTTCTTTCAAATTTTTTTTCTTCTTATCTTCTCAATATTTTAATTGAACATCTTCATATCCTCTGATTATATCTTCTTATTTTCCTCATTTTTTTATTCCCAATTTCTCCTCTTTTTAATTGTCTTTGTCTTCTCTTAACCTTTTTAGAGTCTTTGTCTTATTTGTTTTCTTCTCTTATTTTCGGTTTTTATTCGTCGTTGTCTTCGTCATCTTTTTCTTCTTTATGTTTTTTTTTGTTTTTATATTTCTTCTATGTTTTATTTCTCGCTTTTGATTTTTTAAGTGTTTTTATTTTATATGTAATTTAATTAGAATAACCAAATAATTTTTTTCACAAAATTATTGGTCAACTAAACCTTATAATTATATAATATATATGAATTTAACTGGTCAATGATTTGGATCGACACTAATTTAGTTATTTTCTTTATCCTTAATTTTTTTTCAAGAATTAAAGATTTAAAAAATGCACATAAAACTAAATCCTACAGAACCTACACCCACGAATATAAACCCTACCTTCTAAACCCTAACTCTAACCCTACAAATTTTCGCATGATTTTTTAAGAATTAATATGCAATGTTTTTATTTTATCGATATGATTTGAAAAAAAAAATATAGTTGTTTATCTATTTCTTTATCCTTTAAATTTATGAAGAACTAAAGATTTTAAAAACGCACAAAAAACTAAATCCTATACCCACCATATAAACTCTACCTTCTAAAAACCTAACCCTAACCCTAAAATTTTCACATGATATTTTAAGAATTAATATGCAATGTTTTTATTTTATCGATATGATTTGAAAAAAATAAAATAATATAGTTGTTTATCTATTTCTTTATCCTTTAAATTTATCAAGAACTACAGATTTTAAAAACGCACAAAAAACTAAATCCTACACCCACCAATATAAACTCTACCTTCTAAAAACCTAACCCTAACTCTACAATATACACCCCACCCCCCATACATACAATACACCATAACCACATAATAGAAAACTCTTTTCAATTTTAATGGAATAGTTGTTTTTGCTTAGTTTGTTATAATTGTTGTTGTTGTACAAAATTTCACATTATATTTTAAGAATACACAATGTTTTTATTTTAACGATATGATTTGAATAAAAGATTAAATAATTTAGTTGTTTAGCTATTTCCTTTATCCTTAAATTTTTCAAGAACTAAGGATTTTAAAAACGCACAAAAAACTATAAACCCTAGACCCACCAGTATAAACCCTACCTTCGAAACCTTAACCCTACAATAAACACCCCCTCCCCCATCCATACAGTACACCATAACCACAAAATAGAAAACCCTTTTTTCTAATTTGAATTTTTTTTGGCTTAATTTGGTATAATTGTTGTTGTTGTACAAAATTTCATATGATATTTTAAGAATTCATAATGTTTTTTATTCGATATGATTTGAACAAAAGATTAAATAATTTAGTATTTAATCTCGTATATTTCTATTGATATTAAATAAAAAATATTTCGTATTTAATATTCAATAATTCATATAATTAAAATATTTCTTTTTGTTAATAATATTTCATATTTTATAAAATATTAATGAAAATTAAGAAAATTATAGCAATCTATCATCAAACTAAAAGTAGGTTAAACAATCTTAGATGGTAGAGGATTAGAGTTTTTATGGGCACCGTCATCGTCATGTTTTAAGTTTTTTCCCCAATCATACTCTGCAAACAACCTCCTCCGATTTTCAAACTCACCATTGTTATCGTCGCATATTTTTCACCTCCATTGCTCGTACTCTAATCTCATAGAGATCATATAACATACCAATAGTGTATAATCAAATCTTCTTCTTACTGTGTCGCTTCTTACTATGTCGCTCTAGCCGTGCTTATCTAACAACTGCTAATAAACCTTTCCAGCAAACCTTTCGCCGATCATGAAATCCTAACTTTAAATCTTTTGCAATCAAATTTTAAAAAGAGCTTAGAGATCTTAGGGAGAGGCGAGAATGAGAGACATGCATCAGCCGATTTAGGTTATTTGAAAAATAGTGCTCTAATATATATAGAGTTTAAGAGTGTAGGGTTTCTAGTGTTTTTTAAGGGTTTAAATTCGATTAGTAAAAAGGAATATATTAGTTATATGATATATATGATAATCGATTAGGGTTTTTTTTCCAAAATTGTGGTGCGATCATATTGTAGTTAGGGTTTATTTTTTTAACATTTGACTGAATAAATTTGTGGCTTATTTAAAAAAAAACCATAAGATCAGTAAATCATTTAATAATAAATAGTTTACTTTTAAATGGATTAATTCTATAATATTAGATTTTTTATAAACAAAACGAATCTTATTATATAAAGCTGGATGAGCGCGATGTGATTGCGACACATAAGATTTTTATAATTTACAAGATGGCGACATGTGTCACTTTTAATATTACGTCCATTAAGATTGTGACATGTGTCATGATTTTTTTTAAGTTTAGAAAATGGAATTTTTATCGATTATAGTAAAAAGAAACAAAATATATATTTAACATATTCTAACATAAAAAATTTTCCGATTCATCAAATTTATACTATCCAAACACATATTAAATTCAAATAAAAAAAATCCTATTAGTCTATGGAAAAAGGATTATAAGATTCTACTAATAATAGATTATTATTAGAATTATTATTATTATTTATTAGGAAAAAGAATATTAAATAATTTTAGCTTTATATAATAAGATTCTAATGGAAAAAGGAAAACGAAAGTATATTTGCATACATCATATTCCATAAATCCCGCGTATACGCGGGGCTTTATCTAGTTATTAATAAAAAGGAAATTTTGAAGATTTAAAAATAGATTTTCATTAAGGGTATCTGGGTAATCAACCAGCTGAGAGTTAACGTGGTGGCTTGAAACGAAATTTTTACTTCGCAAATAATATATTAGGTTTTTATCAAAGTTGTGAAATATTAGACAGTAGTTCATAATTTTCATAAGTTCTTTAAAAAATCATGTATTTATGTTTAATCATATTAAATACTTTTTATGAATATTTTATTGTTTTAAAGATATATAATTTATTTTCTGGTGCATTAATTCCTTATTCACTCCTACATTTTAGGGATTATAACAAGAATAGCAGCAACAACAGTTTCCTCATTGGAACAACCAGCTGAGAGAGAGAAAGGGTAGGGTACCAAGAGAGAGTAGTGGCGTTGTAATCAAGCTTTGACAACCATGGTGGCGCTTGCAATCAACATGGAATTTGTTCCCAGTGGCGGTTTCACCCTCAGTTTTAACATCACTATTGGTCCGGCAAACGGTCAAGGGACGTCGACCAATCAGGGGCGTCGAACAACCAAAGAGCGGAGAACAACGACGAAGAGGCTTCGAACAATCAAGCACCGTCGAACAACCAAGCGCCGTCGAACAACCAAGGAGCCGAGAACAACCAAGCGCCATCGAACAACCAAGGAGCCGAGAACAACCAAGATCAGTATATCGCCAACATTACATGTAGCTTAGATTGCCAATTAGAGTAGATCGGTAAAGAAGGACTAATAGGCTCCTTAGATTTGTACTGGTTAGGTTGATAGACAGAGTTACAACCTTTATCTTCTTTCAGTTTCGTAATGTTGATAATAAACATTAAAACATGGTTTAATAGTGTTAAAGTTTCCTCATTTGTACGGGATATAGGACACATGTTATCCACTTACCCTATATGATACTACTTTGTGAATCTAGCAGATACAAACTTAGTATAGTGTTACTTTTTAATAATGGTAATTTTATTTCATCAGCAATGACTAATTTTTTTTTTCAATTTGGAGAATTCTAGTAATGGAGTTTCGAACATCATCGTGATTATATTTGTAGTTAGATACTTGTTATGAGTGTTACATTCGCTATCTAATGTGAGGATGTGACATTCTTTGTACAAAAGTTGGTCATTATTCATTAGGTGTTTGTTTGTCTAATTTGTGCAGGGTTTTAAAATAATGTAATGCGATAAAACTTTATGCTTAATAGAAAAATGTCATTTCATGATCAGAGAAAAAAAGATGAAGATATTGATTATCGGAATAAGATATCGAGAAAGGAGGATAAAGCGAATATTGAGGTCAAGCATTTTTAACATATGAAGATGAAAACACAGTTTTGTACTTGGAGTTTGCGATAGGTAAAAACAGAAATGCATAAGATTGTGTATAGAATGGATATGAAAACTTTAGTTTATATATAACTTATGCTTATGATACATTTATGATATTGGTTTAAGATTATAACATTTTAAAACTTGACTTCTAATTGTTTATAAAATATAATTTATGATATGTATTTTGAACTTGATAATGTCTTGACTTTTGATTAAATTTATTATTTATTTTAAATATTTAACTTAGAAAATAATACATGGAGGTTTTTTTTTTTTGAAATTATCAGATAACCATGTATTATTGATTCGTTTGATGGACTTGTTTACTCGTTTATGGAATCTTTTTTATACTACTCATATAGATAGATACTTTGAAATTACCAACTTGTAGACGATTGGTGCTTTTTTCAGCCGAGGCTATCCTTGTACATGTTTTATTCATTTGGAGACCGTGTGTGGTGATCTGTGAAAAATATTTTCCTTCTATCGCCAACTAAATTTTGATATATGTTTTCATTTTTGAACCATGATCTATCAAAAAGAAAACATGTATCAAAATTGAGTTGGATTATGTTAGGAATTATCATGGTTCATAATTCAACATTATTATTGAAAAGTCATTTCCACCTAAATTTTGATATATGTTCAAAAAGGAAAACATGTAAAGATGAGAATCATTCATCAGGTTTAATTAAAATGTAACTTAATATAAAAAGAAAAACATGTATCAAAAGTTAGATGTATATAAATATATAAGAAAATGATCCAACTAAATTTAATACACGTTTTTTTTTGTTGAACCATGATTTATCAAAAGGAAAATATAATGGTTCATAATCCAACATCTTTTTTGAAAATATGTTTCCAACTAAATTTTGATACACATTCAAAGAGAAAAACGTGTAGATATGAGAATCATTCATAATGTAAATATATAGATATATGAATAGTCGAATACTAAAGTGTAAACTTCATTAAAAAAAATGTGTATCAAAATTTAGTAAGAAACCAAATAATACAAAAATAAATAAAACCAAATTGATACTCTGTCACATTTTTTTTTGAATCTGTGATTGATTTTATATCGGCGGCATTCTCTTTTTGTTTTTACTAAAAGGGAGAATAACTCCGTAGCACATCGTTTAACTTTGAAACTTCCAACTAGTGGAACTTTCTATAGTTCACGTTTGTATCCGCCTCTGTGGCTATCGGAATGTTTACACTCAGACTATGTAAATTTTTTTATATAAATGAAATCACATTTTGTCGAAAAAAAAAGAAAAAATATCGGCGGCATTCTCAGTCTTATTTGATTAACTTTCATGAATAACAAAATTTGCTTTTCATTATTTTTCACAAACTATAAAATATTAAATTATAGACTTTCATATAAGCGGGTCCTAATATAGTGATAGATAAACATAAAACTGAAATTATACTATTTGGCTTTAAAGGTCTAAACTAATAATTCTTCCAAATCGCCTTCATATTAAAGAAAAGAAGACATGTGTGGAAGTGTAAGAGAAAACAATGAAAGCATCGTCAATAAAGCTTAGTATACACAATATTCACGTAAGCAAAATCAAGAGAAGCTCAATCCAAGTTTCTTATTAAACCTATCTAAATCGCAAAATTCACTATATGGCAAAAAAGGGTAAAAAACCTTTGTGTATGATACACACCAACACCTTTTTTTTTTTTGTCATCATCATCATCATTCAGAACTAAAAACTACAGTCTTCCCAAGTACAAAGGTAACGAGCGAGAGCTCAATGAAGAATATCGTGTTTATCAGATGCCTATCAACTGTCCACCCGAATATCGTTATCCCTCCTGGATTCATCTGCAAATACAACACTGCAAACACCAATCATTTAAGTAGTGGGTTTGTTGGAAAAGTAAAATTGACAAAAAAAAAAGGTGAAACAGTCCTCACCGAAAGCTTGTCTTTTGTGGTACGAAGACATGGACATGTAAGAAGGGACATGGTTATTACTAGGCATCCTCATGTACCGATCCATTGACTCCACATCACTCTCTGAATGTGACAACGGAAACGAGACTGGTGGATTCGTGTTTGTGGCCTCCAAGTGAACTCCACTAGGAGAAGTCCTTATCTGAGTCGAATCCGTAGGCGAGCAAGACATTATCGCATGCCATCTACTTGCAACCGACGCAATCGCTTGCGCTCTGTGAGATATCTTCGTCGCTGCGTGCAGACACAGAATGATCCCAACAACTTGAACCACCGCCGAGACCTAAAACAAACACATCATCATCATAAGAACATCATAACCAGTGAACAAGAAGAAGAAGCAGAGAGGAGGTTGAAAATTTACCGCGAAATCGCCACCGTTGATGTAAGTGATGCGTCCGCTGTACGCGGTGGTTTGGAAGAGTGTAGTGAACTGGCTAACAGTGACGACCAAGAACTGGAGAAGCAAGAAGATTCGGAAGCGATGGCTTATCTTGGAGAGGTAATACCGCAAACGGATGTGCTCGTAGATGAAAAGAGAGATCTCTGACTCTGCGTCTAGTAGCTTTGCGTAGTCTTCGAAGTGAATGACTTGCAAGTTGCAGACTAAATGAAACATGGCGCTTGCAGCTAAGAATATAGTGCTCAAGTAAGTCCATGACAAGATCATTGATAAGAGAATCGCAACAGAGAGCCATGACTGGTCATGAGGCACGTATAGCATTCGTATGATCTCTCGAACTGCTTTCAGTATAAAACATGGAAGCGACCAAAATGCAAGAAGTTTCATAGAGTTCTGCAAAAGAAGGTAAAAAATCAATTCAGATTTCATTCAAGAAAATTCTCATTTCAAGAAACATTTGCTCTCTTGAATTTAGATGTCAATTTCAAGAAAATTATCATTTCAAGAATTGGTGCCAAAGTAGTCAAACACATTCAAGAATTCAGAAATTTTTCAACCAATAATTAGAAACGTTTGCTCTCTTGATTTAGGTGTCAATTTCAGGACTAAGAATTGGAATCACATTCAAGAATTGGTGCAAAGTAGTCAAACACATTCAAGAATTCACAATTTTGAACCAAGAATTGATTCTCATTTTCAAGGATGTTGTCAATAAGAAACAATTTGCTCTCTTGATTTAGGTGTCAATTTCAGGACTAAGAATTGAAAACACATTATGGAATTGGTAAAAAGTAGTCAAACACATTCAAGAAAATTCTCATTTCAAGAAACATTTGCTCTCTTGATTTTAGATGTCAATTTCAGGACTAAGAATTGAAAACACATTCAAGAAAATTCTCATTTCAAGAAACATTTGCTCTCTTGATTTAAATGACAGTTTTCAGGACTAAGAATTGGAAACATAATCAAGAAATTGGTGCCAAAGTAGTCAAACACATTCAAAAAATTCACAAATTTTTCAACCTAAGAATTGATTCTGAGTCCAATTTTGAAATCGGAGAAATTAAGTAGAAGAAGAAGAGTCACCGTGATTTGCTTAATGTATTGAGCCTTGAGCCGACCCATACGTCCACTGAGTTGATCAACGAAGAGAAACTTCCGAATCCCATGCTTTCTCAGGTTATGAGAGACGCAGAGCAGAGAGACACCAGCCAAACACGCCTGAGAAATCACGATGTTGAGCTCGAAGCTCTTGTATTGATACCTCTCGCAATCCAAACAATGACCTAGCTCCAGCACTGTCACCGGAAGCACCAAACCGATCGCTAAAAAGACGATCCACGACAAGACGAGGCTTTGAGTAGACGATTGATTAAACCCGAGGAGAGTCAGAATCGTCTCGAGCCATCTCAGCGTTTGACCGAGGTCGTCGTCGTCGTTGTCACTGACGCTCTCTCCTCCGCCGCCGTCTTGCTCTTCGTCGTAATTCGATTCGAGCAGCGGCGTTTCGGCGAGCGGCGGTGATTGGTTATTTCCCGGAGGAGGACGACTCGTCGTCATCGGAGAGTTTAAATACGTTTGCAGGAATCCACCGCAACGGATTTGTGGAAAGAGACAAAAGGGGTAACATCGAAGCTCGTTAATGGCGGTTCCGATCTCATTTAAAATCGCGAAATCTATAACCGATCAAGCTCGTGATCTTTTTTTCAGATCGACGGCTGTAACTTCATTTGCCGATTAATCTGAGATTGTGAAACGAAAAATTATAAATCCAGGAATCGAGGGATTGGCATTTAGCGGTGTGATTTGGAGGGGAAGTTTATTAAAAAAAAAAAAAAAAAAAAAAATCATCGTAGTGTGTTTTAAGCCGTTAGATTTAAAACACAAAGTGGGGTCAGTGTTAGTTTTAACGGTTGATGATGGGTGACGTATGATTGAGTGAGATCACCAAAATATTTTGATTACTCAATAATTCATTTACTATTTTATTCTGCATATCACCAAAATATTTTCTCACGTCATACGAATAATTTTGTAATACTAATTAAGAACGTGAAACTCATATCTAAAATCCAGCTACGATATTTCATAGGTGCGCTGCTACGCCTACAAACAACATCGTTTGTTTCTCCATTAACTTGATTGTTTAAGAAAATGATTTCACTAGATTATGCTATTCAAATACTATGGAGTAGCTAGGCACCATTATCATAAGTAATAAGAAAATGATATGTATAAGGGTTAGGTAACAAGTTCGTTTTCGTAGTAGGTAGTTGGTATTGGATTTAAACAGTAACTACGATTATAAAGACAGCACAACATGACAAGAGACATACACAGTGGCTGGTGTAAATTATTGTGGTCTCTGATATTTGCAATTTGGTTTTCAATGTCCCTATAGTATATTAGATACGAACGATAATGATATTTTCCATTCAAGAAATTTATAAAAAACAATTTATAGATATTAGCGATAATCAAAATGTTAGTTATTTTCTTATAATGTTTTACAAATTGTTAAAAATATGAAAAAATAAAATCAAAATTTTATTATTTGTTAACGTGGAGAAATTTGCACCTTTTTGGATGTATATTTTCAGAATTACACCTCCTCTATTTTGTAAAAGAACACTAAACTCAATATCTAAACTCTAAACTATAAAATCTAACTTTAAACCACCCCAAATTTTAAATCCTAACTAGGATTTTCACCCGCGCACGCGCGGGTCTGTATCTTAAATTGGTTTAAAATATATTCTTAAATAATTTTTTTTTAAACTGCAAAAATCAACAATTAAAATTTAACAATATTTCAATACCAAAATTCTCTGAAAAACAAAAGTTTTTAGATATATAATATCGTGTTGAGATCAAATCTTGACATCCTAAAATATTGTTTAGATCATATCCCGATAACAAAAATGTTTTGTATGTCTAATGACCAAAACTTACTTGAAGATATTTAAATCATTATAATAAGATATTTATATGTTGTAAAATGTAATGTTAATTTATGAACTATTGTGACGTGATAATCATTTTCTAAACAAAATATATTTTTAAATATGTATAGTGAAATTCTTAAAATTAGTTGTCAATAGTATTTGTATGTAACACGATGTTTATTTAAAATAACTTCAATTTGTTATGTTATAACTTAAAATGATATAAATAACATATAATTTATTTTTCAGTACATTTAACTTACACACTGTGTTATTAGTTTATAAACTTTGATCATAATAGTATATATTTAGCTTTTATATAATATAAATTATATATATTTTTTTTTATGGCTTAAAGAAAATCTTAAATCATTATTTGTTCAATGTTGACTTTTTGTTAGTAATTTTTTCACGTTTTTTATGCGTTATGGTATACATTTCTTTTTAGAAGTAGTTTTATATTAATGTTTACTTGAATATTTCCGCCTTAAATCTGTTTATAAATACATTCTTGTTCAAAAAATTTGTTAGTTACATATTTGTTTAAAATTGCAAAATTCAGTTAGTGTTTATTTAATTTCAAAAATGGTTATTAACTCACCTCATATCATGTTTCTAATCAAATCGAGTAATCATATTTGGCAAGTTTATACTACACCAAAAATGAAATTATTTCCTTTGAATTTGATGGCAAAAACTTTATCTTGACCGATCAAACTCTGGCTGCTCATGGAATTGATACACCTGCAATCATTGTGACCATCAAAGAAACAATATCCATATCTTCTTCATATGTCTTTTACAGTATGAGTCTTGGATGAAGCCCTGCTTATCAATAAACTTATGGCAAACTCATACATTTTTCAGAAAATCTTTGAAGATGTAGAAGAACTGATTATTCTACCCCTAATAGGTTTATTGCCTATATCTTTTTATCCTTATATATTTTGCCATTTTTGGAAGGTTCGTGTTTTTCTCTATTTGAAAATCGCTATTTACATGTAGATGAAATCTCTTAAAAGATATGAAGAATAACTTAAGATAAATTTTTGGTGTAATATTTACATCGTAGATATGAAGAGTAACTAAGATAAAATTGTTTTATCGTAGATATGAAGCTACGATGAACTAAATATTATGTAGTATGCTATTGTTTTCTTGATTTTTTTGTTTTAGCTCCCAAAGCTTGATCTCTCTCATCACCTAAAAAAACTGCAAATGAACTCATATGTCTTCTATACGATATTACACATTTTCGTTTCTATCTCCATTTTTTTATTCATAGATTATGTAATGTTGAGATCGACTCTTTTGCAATGTTGGCTTTATTTGCTTATAACAATTCTTCAGTTATTATGGTGTAACCTATTCTTTATTTGTAAAAATTTAAGTTTCATCAAGGATCACCTTAAGCTTTATTTAATTCTTTATAACTAATATTTTAATTATACAATTCTTTTTTTATATAGTTTTTAAAAATTTAGTTAGTTATCATTTTTAACAATAATTTTTAAAAATACTAATTTAATTACATTGGATTTGTGGAGTTTCTAATTTAAACATGTTCTATTAATACTATTGGTTGTTTAAAATTTGGAAAATTTCTTAATTTTATATAAATATGTGAATGATACTATTAGTTGTTTAAAATTTGGAAACTTTCTTAATTTTATATGGTGATGTGGAATTATACTATTGGTAATTTAATATTTGGAAATTTTCTTAATTTTGAAGATGCTTTATGGACCAATAAAATCATGTTTTATAATCCTATGTGGACGTCTTCAATGGCTTATAGCCTCAACTTTTATATAGTATAGATTAAGGATTAGTGAAACCAAACTTCAATATTAAATTTAGGAAAAAATGTAACTTTGAAAACTAACACTAAATGTGTAGTTTTGAAAATTAACACACCAAGAGATGTGTATGTCTCAAAATTTCTCAATATTATTTGTTTATTTTGGAATTTCTTTTTTTTTTATATTATTTGGTTTTAATTAATTTGTTTTCATGTTAGAACTATGATTATATTTAATTATTGACTAGTCATATATCTATATTTTAAACCTTGAACGATGGTTTTCAAATTTACATTTTTGTAACTGAAAATTTAGAAAATTGGATATTAGACATTTGCGTAATTGAACTATTAGAAATAATGTATATATTATTTTATCTAATCGAAAATTAGAAAACTGGAAATTAGACTATTAAAAATTAAAAAATTGGACAATTGGTAATTTTCCTTTTTATTATTTTCACAATTGAATATTTTATTTTTATTACAATGTCACATGTGAAGATCTAAATTAATATTTACACATGTCGTCATTTTATGAGTTATAAAAATCATACTTACCATGCCGCCATATAAAATTATAAATACAAAATTATGAATTTTTGATCCATGGACTTCACTTCAACCCTAGATTTAATTTTTGCTTTCATCTCTTATCCTCGTTCTCACTGTTGCGATTTGAGCTCGCTAGGGTTTGTGTTGATTCCTTTGTTTCCACAAAATTCAATAGAGAGTTACACGACTTACAAATCCGTGAACTTGAATCCCATAAATTAAGTACCACATATTTTTCTTCGAGTTAAAAAGGGGTTGATTTAAGGTTCCATATGGACAGGATTAGTAATATGTCCGATGACTTGCTGCTGAAGATTTTGTCATCACTTCCGACCAAAGAAGTCGTTGCCACTATGTTTTTGTCGAAGCGATGGAAGTTCATATGGACGATGGTTCCAAAACTTGATTTTGATGATGGTGGTTGTGACTTCTATTTTGGTTATGGTTGTGACTTCTATGATGAAAATTATTATAAAATATTTCGGCAATATGTTGACAGGTTTATGGTATTGCACAAGTCTCCGGTTCTTGAAACTTTGTATTTCAAGCTTGGTCAGTGGTCTACCTCCGAAGATTTGGCAACATGGATCAGAATGGCAATTGTTCGCCGTGTTCGTAAACTTATAGTTTTCAGTTTTTCTAAGACAAATCCCACTTTGCCAGTGTGTCTGTATACATTAAAATCGCTCGTGGTATTGAAACTTTCTGAGATGGTTGTTCTCGATGTTCCTACCACGGTTTGTCTTTCGTCCTTGGAATCTTTACACCTGGAGTGTGTATTGTTCCAAAACAAAGAATCTCATCGTAGGCTTTTATCTGGCTGTCCTGTTCTTAAGGAATTGGTGTTGGAGAAATGTTATCACATTAACATCTCTACTCCATGTTTCTACGTCGTAGTGACTTCCTTGCAGAGATTATCTATCAAAGACGAAGGCGATACAAACGTAAAAGTTGTGATAAATGCTCCGTCGTTAAAGTACTTGAACATTGAAGATACCTGTGACGATGGTCTCTTGTCCTTGTGGGAGAAAATGCCAGAGCTGGTTGAGGCAAATGTTAGTGTTGTTTACAAAAGTTCTGAGAAGCTAATGGGATCTCTTACATCAGTCAAACGTATCTCTTTATGTATACCCACTTCAGTGGTAAGCAAATCAAACAAACCAAAACCATATTTCTCTCTCATTATTATTATTATTGTGCGTATGTTTGCTGAGTTTCTAGGTGCAGTCTCAACCTAGTATTAAGTTCTACCAGCTTGTTCATCTGAAACTATGTCAATGTGAGGAAAAGTGGTGGGTTCTACTTACTTGGATGCTCGAAAGTTCTCCTAAACTACAAGTTCTCAAGCTCTACAAGGTACATCTAAACCCAACCCGATTGATTTAGTTTCCAGATTTTCATGAATCTTGATCTAATATATGTCACAATCATTTTTCTTGTCATGCTAGTGTAAACCACATTATCATTGGGGGCTAGTGCGGCCCGTTGAATATCCTTGGGGACAACCGAGTTCTGTTCCTGAATGTTTGTTGTTCCATCTCCATACTTTTGAATGGAATCATTACAATGGAAGAATGCAAGAGAAGGAAATGGTGGCTTACATCCTAAACAACGCAAAATTGTTAAAGACTTCGAATATCTCTGCGTGGGGACCTCAGAAACTCAAGGAGTTGGAATATTTGCATAGGGCTTCAGAGTCATGTAAGCTTGTGTTGGATCGTTGAAGAATATTCTACTCCGTGTCTGCCCTAAGATAACCTAGTAGAATGTTCTTGCTCTGACCAGAGCTCTTACATGTTCATTCCAAGAAGATCAAAAGAAAATAGAAACATTTTGTTGGCTACTCTTTTTCAAAATATTTAACAATTTAACCATAAGATTTTGTATGGTTTTTGTGGATTTAATGTTACAATTTTCAGTAAAAAACCATCATGTTCCGGAAGCTGGTGGTGATAACGAATGTTTCAAATGATAGTGAGTGAGAGATGATTAAACACCTTCTTGTATTATCCCTTATATATTAAAAGAGAAGACTTTGCTGAGGTGTCGTCATTTGCCACACTCTCAGAGTCTTCTTAAAATAAGTCTCTTTTTACTAAAGTAATTACATGTTATTTAATTAGAGAATGAAATATTTATTATTAATATAATCAGAACAATAATTAAAATTATTTTCTTTTTATTTCCTTATTTCCTTATTTGGTAGTGACGAAATTGTAAATAAATTTAAAAGTATTTCATAGTCAATCAATCAGTAAAAAATATGGAAAGTTTTATTCAATTGTATTATATTAATTGTTTAAAAATCAATTTATTCTCCTATAATTTATGTTTAACTTTACTTTTCAAAAATAAATTATATCATCACATCAAAATATTTAATAAATTTTTTTTTTCTGCATATGATATGATTTGAAATTTTTAAAATGAGGCAAATCTCTAATTGTTAAAAGTCCCACATCGATTATATTTTGGGATGATACTTCAAAAGCCTATTATAAAAAGGGGTCCATATAATGATCAACCATAAGTAGGAAAACTGATTTATTAGGTTTCCAAACTTTAAACTTTTTTAAAAATTTGATTTAATTTGGCTTTTTAATTGAATTAAATAATTAAATCGTATATTTTTTAATATTTTAGTTTGTCCAAATTTTAATTAATAAAATATAATAAATTAATTTATAATTTCAATTATTTTAATTATTTAAAATTGATCAAAAACATTAAATATATATATGCCATTTTATATTTATCAAAATATAAACTATTTCAAACTTTTTAAAATTTGATATATATGTGGATTCAACTGTGTCACTTAATATTTCGTCATGTTCCAATTCAGGCTAAACCAATATACATCACTCAAAAATGTTGTCTAATACTCCCTCGGTTTCAAATTAGTTGTCGTTTTGGCAAAATGTATCTGCAATGCAAAACACGTCCAGATACGTCCAAATATTTGGAGATACATTTTGCCAAAACGACAACTAATTTGAAACGGAGGGAGTATAAATTAACATTGTTTTTGTTGTCTAACACCCTATGTTTTTAGAATGATACTTATGTAAAAAAATATTTTATAGTAATAAAACTAAATAAGAAAATATCACCCTGTGCAGGGCGCGATCCAACCCTAACCCTAGTTATTATTATTATCATGATACACTGAAATAAAAGAAGTAATGTTCCTCACTATATGACCATATTACAAACTCTACCACCAAAAGAAAAAAAAAAACATACGACCTTATTATAATCATATATAAATCTGTTTGTGCATATTCTAAATTGAAATGCTGTTTGGTATACCACGGCCAGTGACTCCATGTGGTGAAGTAGGGAGAAGTAGCTCGTAAGGAGGCATTCCAGCTCCTGTTCTGTTCTTGAGAGTCTTATCTCTGTTTCTCTCGTTGATCTTCTTCTCAATCTCCACAAGTTCCTCTGAAAACTTGTTAAAATACTTAACCACTTCCTCATCTTGAAACCAACGTCTCTGGACTTCTCTCAGGTCGATCAAGTACTCTTCGTCTGCGGAATGCGTCGAGAGCGTTTCTTGCACCGCCATCACTTTTGTTGCTTGGAGTTGTGTCGGTAGAGAGCCTAGGAAACTGTATTGAGGGTTTCTCATGAACATTTCGTAGTCCGGATCGTTTTCGTGCGGTATAAGTTTCCTCAACAGTGTAGGTCTGTTTGGGACATACCCTCCAAAGGGATATTGACCGAAGTTAATGGCTGCGTGTTGTCCCGAGGCGATCCATATCATGTTGGTTAGGATTTCGGACAGGTCTTGTGTTGTGTTGAGTTTAGGCCACCAAGGCTCGTCTTTCTTGTCGTAGTGACCTTTGTTCTTGATCTCATCCCACCAAGCTTGGAGCTCAAGGTCAGAGGTAATGGATTTGGAATCTGAGTAGAAGTGTTTCACATAGGACTCGACTAGGTCTTTGATAGCTTTCCAGATCAAAAGACCGTCTGATGCATATGGATAATCTTCAATCACAAGCTTCACGCCACATTCCGCTGAAGAGTCTTCCTCTGCCATTCCTCTGTAAATGATTCAAGAACACATTAGATAGAGACATATGACCAAAGAAAAGAGTGTTTATTAAGGGAAGTCTTCAACCTCCGAACAAGATCAGCAGGAAGTCCTTCCATGTCAAACCGCCACATACTCTTGTACGCAGCAGAGCTTAGTTCCATTGCGTATTTTCCGGGAGTGAAGCAGCTTTCAATGATTCCTCCTCCATTGATTAAGCTTTTACGCGCACGTGCATTGATCTCTAACGTGTAGCGCGTATGAGGTTGAAGCAGCTTATAAACCGGATGCATTGTACTCAACTGTCTGTTAGTAGCAATGATGTAAGGCTCCATGGAAGCATGAGTCCTTAGCCTGAGAGTTTGCACAAACAAAAGATGCATCAGTGGAGACTACACATGTTAAATCAAGAAAGACAAAGTTGGAAGTAAAGTTAAGTACCAATGGTTCACTAGTTGGTGAACACCAGCATCATTTGAGCATACATGAGCTTTAGCTAGTTTCCAAATCCAGTGAGTAGTAGCATCATGTCCATGAGCATACACAAACTTGTTCTCGCTCTCGGCTGAAGGAGGCAGAGAGAGCTCTATGACTAAAGGCCTAAGAGCACCTGTCTTTGAGTATAAGAAAATTGTTCTTGAAGCATATGTCTTTCTTGGATCTTCTTTGATGGAGTTTATCTTCTCTACAAACGGCAGTAACATGTCATGGTAGTCCAAGAGAAACAATCTCTTCTCTTTAAACGCCTGCATTCACCAATTTAACTAAACATTTTAGCCGCGGTTCAACAAGATGAGAAAGATTCTAGTGTTGTCACACACTATACAACAAACCTGTTCTATAGTCATTCCATAGTGTAGAACTTCTCTAGCTATAACTTCCTCTGTGAGTGCAGATTCTTGAGATCCATATATAGCTGGATCAAGCTTGCTTCTTATTGGCAGCTCCTATCAAAACAAAAACAGAGTTTTCAGAAACTATCTCACAGAAGAAGATTATTGATTCAAAAAATGGTAAAAATGAAACATACCTTAAGAAGCTCAATGTTCACAGGATTGACACCAGCAAGAGCTTGACGTCCAAATTCATTGTCTCTCAGCCATGCAAACCTGTCCCCTGAATAACAAGAACACACAAGAGAAGAATTAATATATGTTTCAAGAAAATGAGACCATTTCAAGAATGACAAAAGATTACATTTAATAACGGCAGGAGTGTCGTATTTGAGCAGTGTTTCTCCAACGTTAAGGATCCCATTCACGAAATTTCCGAAGAAGCCGGCAAGGCCTGTGTCTTTAGGCTCGCTAGGTGTCAAGACAATGTCACATTTGTATAACCTGTCGATATCCGAGAAGCATGTGAAGGGAATGTCTAAGTTTGACAATGCAGCTGCAATAGATGGGACAAGATTGTGGAAGAGAGCCTTAAATCTCCCAGCTGTGAAAGTATCTCTCTTGATCTCCTCGAAAACTTCGTCTCTTGGAACGTAAAACTCTTCCTTCTCTTTTCCTCTGCTCTCACAGGGTGGATCTGCATGGCGATTTCACCAAGTCAAGAACCAAAACAAATGTCTCATAGTACTAGAGAAAGAGAAGAGAGATCAATCACCTCTTGAAACGAGAGGACGACCAGACCTACAACGTCTTGGATACGGCCTCTCTGGATTACCAAGAACTGGCCTAACTCTATCTTGTTTACGTGGATCGCCTAAATCGTTGTAGACATCGTAGTCATAAACCCTATCATGAGGCTTTCTCTCGCCTTTACCGTTACCACGGACACTCTTCAAGTCCATTTCACGTAGTTCTTTGATCCCAGCCGGAGTCTGGGAAGGTAAGAATGGCTATGACACAAGATGATGAATAAGTTAGCTCAAGAAACTTTGATGATAAAAAAAGAAGAAGAAAGAAGATTGATCTTTACTTGGTTTCTGAAGATGATCCTGCTTTCAGGGTTATCATTCCTGGAGTGGATCCAAGTGTCTCCAGGGAAGAGAATGGTGTCGTTGCCATCACGGATGTGGATCTCTGACAAGCAAATCTCTGTGGAGAGGAGATTAGTGACAAGAATGGCACCAGGTTTACCGAAGCTAGTTGGGACAGTGAAGTTGGCACTGAACTCAAGGTATCTTGGATCGTTCTTAGCCTTCGGGAGCCCGAGCACCGGAGTTTCAAAACTCTTCCTGCCTGAGCCAGTTTCTGTACCAAAAAAAAAAAAACAAGAAGCTACTCAAATATGCATATCAAATCAGAACATGTAACATATCAAGTGTCGTCTGACAAATTTATAAGAAAAGAGTTACATGTTTTTGCTATTAGAACTCTAAAGTATTTAATGTTCTTTAATTAATCTAGTTAGAAGCAAGAAAGATAAATATGTACAAAAAATTACGTTAGAATCATGAAACCATATTTATTTTGTAATAAAATAATTCTTCTAGAATTTTACATGGAGGAACTAGGAGCTTGTGGTTTGGTGCTAGTCGATGTCTCACCAATCCTAGTTTTCTATTTCATTTTAAAGAACAAAAAATGTAATATGTGGTACTTGTGACACAACAATGACACTAGTAGCACAAGAAAAAAACAAAAACATGTGTTAATAAATGCCTAATGCTGTTGAGATCCTTTTTTAATGTGGAAGTGAAAACATTATGAGACGTGGAATTTAAGAACCCATAAAAAAACAAAAAAGGAAAGGCATGAAAAGTCAAAGTCTCCTTTTTATACATTTTTCTAAGACTCTCACCAACTTTATAGTCTTTGTACTACTAAATTAACCCCGCGCATACTACAGAGTACAGAAAATAAAAACCGGATTAATTGTACAAGAAAATGGTGAAACTATGACATAATCTCAGATCTAGCTAGGAAGATGAAAGATTCGGTTTTGCAATCATAATTAGTGATCCCACATCTTTAGAAATGACCGGCAAATTGGTCATGACAGCGAAGGAGGGTGAGACTAAGTATAAATTGGTCGATGTGGTTCTTAATTTAATCACCACTAGATCAAATCTATTACCATTGACATATCATTAATTATGCACGACTAATTAGCTGTCATCTTGAGTTTTAGCACCCCAAAGGATCCAAGAAAACCAAAAAATGGTAGCAAGAAAGAATCAAAGCTAATTCTAAATAAATCCGAGAAATCAAGAGAGAAGCCAAAAAGACAAATCCAAAGAAACGTAGAAACGAACAAAACTGGTAACTGCAAACTCAATCTAAGTGTTTGGCTTTTGTTCTCTAGCCCAAAAAGTGATAAACTGATTTCTTAAAACGCCAAAAAAAGAAACGCCAAAAACTCTATTTAAAAAAAATTGGTTAGAAAACGAACCAGGATCGATTTCTTCACTAACAAGCTGAATCAACATCCCTTGACCGATCGCTTTCATGAGAAGCTCTATTTGATGCTCGAACCTCTCGTTCAGCTTCTCTCTCATCTTCTTTCTGATCTTCACAACCGCCATAATCGTCTTTGATCCCGTATACTTAGATCTTTGCCATGGAAACGCAGGATTACTACTTACAAGTGATGACTTGTTTATACTTTTTCCATCTTCCTGATCCACCGCCTTTTCTTCCCGGGAAATCACAGCTCGGACCTGTCCGGGGAGAGAAACTCGGAGTGTTCGCCGCCGTGTAAGAACGGGAAACGCCGGAGATCTAACTAGACCGGCGCCGTAGAAGTTTGTCTTCACCGGAGATGGTGCTACGAACATTTTTATCTTATTTTATTTTTTACTCTTTTTTTCTCTTTGGTTTCTGTGTTTAGATTTTTGCAGTGTGAAGAGAGAGCGATGATTAATAATGCCAACGTGAGAACATTTGCTCGTGGACCTCGTGGTAGAGGACTGAGACTTCTGAAAACGACTGCGTTTTGGGTAATATTCACTTATTCAGATAGGAGAATTTGTTTTGACCTTGAGAGAGTGTCGTCATTTTTACCGTGATTGAGATGCGTACTTATCTCACGCTTTTGAAAGCGAGTGAGTTGCAAACTCGAAAGGTAGGAAGGCACGTGTACTTGTACTGACGGAAAAACAAACCGGTAACCGTGGAGTTTCCGACAAAACATTTTGTCAACTCAGTAATAAACAAATAACGTCTGCAATTTTTATCTTATGGAAAAAGGTAACAGATTTCCAACTTACGAATCATAAGATATCCACAAAAACTCAAAACACATCAATACGATTTATTCTTGGAAATAGCTTTTCACTGCTAAGTGCTAACCTTCCAATAAACCACATAATTCACGAAAGCACCTTATGGTCATCCATTGTGGTATTTTGATTTGGTTTAAAACATTTTTTTTTTTTGGGCGAGTTTCAAACAGATAATTCAGTTTTGAAAATATCGAGTTTGAGGGCAATTTTGTATGGTCATCGATAATGTGCATGCTTGATGGACATGAAGTAAAAAAATAAAAATATAGAATTGGATGGTAGAAAATCCTCCGATCACATGCATTACTCATGGGCATTAATTAACTCTCTATGTTAATAGTTATTTTATTGTTCAACTCTGGGTTAGTTACGTGTTTATAGGTTTTAAACTTGTATAGTCACATGCTCTTTTGATTCTCAAAAACAAAAAAAAATATTAAAAAACTATATTAAACTTGGCGATTTCCGTGTGTTGTCATGTTCTGAGATCCTCAAATCTCTTAGTAATAAAACTTTTTAATCTAACGGTAAATACGTATTTGAAGAAGGCGATGTATCATGTACAGTAGAACCTTTATAAAGTAATACTCGATAAAGTAATAATCACTATAAGATAATAAATTTTTCCGGTCCCAATTCGGGCCAATGTAAAAATAAGCAAAATGCGATAAGATGATAAGATAATAATATTTTTGAAACTCATATGTAAAAATATGGTCCCAATTATAAGTTAAAGTAATAATTATATAAAATTATACATTATATATGCCTAAACCAATTATTAAATTATGAATTGAAGTTTATCTTTAACTTTTTCTTATATAAAAAACTCATAATGCAATTTTTATATGCATGTAAAATTGTTAAATATGTTCTAAACATATCATTTTCAACTTCATTAGTAGCTATAATTATTTATAAAATTTTAACATTTATTATGTATCAAATTTTATATAAATAAATATTTATAGAAACTAATAATATATGTTTTATTATGATATCCAAAAGATTTGATAATAATTTCAAGTTTATATATGTCATATTAATGAATAAATAATTTTTATTTTTTAATATATTACCATATCGAGAATAATTTTTGAAGATTATGAGAATACATGAATATTGAATTAATTCATAAAGTAATATCTCTATAAGATAATAAATTTTCAAAGTTCCAACATTATTACTTTACAGAGGTTTTACTGTATATAATAAACTATGGAGCATATCTATCTCTCTTTTTCTTTATTTTTATAATATTTTTGTTCTCTAGTAATAAATTGTATTTTTTTGCAACCACTATAGTAATAAGCTTATTATAAAAGGAATTCTCCAAAGATTATTGGACTTTCTTTCATTATGATTAATTGCAATGTTACATTCAAACTATTACACCTTGTCCGAAATGTGAATTAATTAGAGGAACCGTGTGAACAGGTCAATTGTGACCCAAAGTATATACAAAGACGATGACTAGGAGATGCATTTTATATTTGTGACTTTTGTTTCATGTCATGCCAACCAAACTATTGGTTCTGCAATAAAATAATTGAAGAAGAGAACTTAATATAGATTACAAACATATAATATGTTCCTCGTGGACAAACTATAATTTATAAATAAAATATAGGTACGCAAATCAAAGCTGTGATTACCCAAGCCTGCCTTCACGTTGTTTCCAGCTATATGATCTTGTACTTGCAATTATTTTATTTTTTAAGAAATCTGATTTTATAAAATATTGAAATAAATCGTAAAAGAATTCTCTTTTTTGGTTTAGATGTTTTGGATTTTTATTGGGGACTACTATGACAAAAAAAGGTAAATCCATTTATCCATCTTAGAGTCTCAATGCATATATTGAGCTCTTTAATTTTCTTTGTAATACAAAGTGTTACAAATGCTTTAGCTTTACTTCCGTTAAGAAGTAACAGCCTTAATTAAAAATACCTTAAAACATAATTTAAGTAAATTGATAGTTATAAAATCAGAAACCTTGGGGGAAAAAATCTCAAAGATCTTCTCGGATCAATTACATCATTAGTAATATCGAACCATGGAAATCACTTTGAACAAAAAAAAAAAACATGGAAATAAAATGAGAAGTGGAATGGTGATAAAATTTTGACTTCAAGTGCAAAAGCCAAGAAGATATTAAACGTGAACAAGATGGTGATACGCACACCATTTAGGCTCTAGATAAGAGGAAGTTAACCATCTGTTGCTATTGTAATGATGTAGATGCTTTTACCCCACAAGAACAAGAACAAGTCCACTTAGCCTTGGGCATTTTGGGACGGGAATCCCGTTCCACCCTTACCCGTTTAAAATTTTCCGAATTTTTCGGGAATAGGAATTTGCCATTTTCCGTTTGAGAACATTTATTTTATTCAAACGGGTAAGGGAAGGGTAAGGAAAAGGTAAGAGATTTCCCGATTTTTCCCGTTTACAAAATAAAAAATTGAAAATTAGATATTTTTTTTCTTAAATATCTCAATTTTTCCCATATTTTCCTGAAATTTCTCATAATTTCCCGTATTTTCCCATATTTTCCCGTATTTTTCCCGTAATTTCCCATATTATCTTCAATTTTCCCGATTTATTAACAATTCGGGTATTATTTTTTGATTCCTAAAATTCTCATTCCCTTCCCATTCCCGTGGTTTCCCGTCCCGTTATAATAAGGGAATGCTTCGGGAATCATATTTGGTTTCCCGAATTTCCCATTCCCGTCCCATACCCGTCAATTCCAGTACCAAAACCTGAAATGCCTAGGGCTAAGTCCACTAATGGTTCATGCCTTAAAAAAAAAAAAAACAGAAAAAGACACCACTTTGTTGTTCTTTGGTGGATCTTCTCGTCTAACAACATACTATTTTGATCAATCTCTCTCACCACATTTCCTTCCAACTTATATTTGCTTCGCATACACTGTTTTTGTTTGTTTGTTCTGATCAGCTTAATGTTAGAAATGAACATAAGGGGCGTTATCTATGCGTGTGCTTGCTATAGTGATTTAGCACGTTTCTTTTGAACCACCAAACAAAGAGTTTCGTTTTCCAAAAAAAATAGGCAGTTGGTAAATAAGCACCTTTTTTCTAGTCAATTCACCCAAACAAAATAAGCCGAAAAAGTAATAACTTGACGAAATCAAGATCCAAACAAACTGTAACCAAACCAAAATGCGAAAAGATATCAGTACTTGCAGCTTTGCAAGCTAACGAAAAATATGTAATAATAATATGTCCCACATCGATAATTATTAAAGATGTAATTAGCTAATATATAAAGGTGTAAATCACTATGGTTGATTGTCAATTGGTTGGAGTTAGAAGTGAGCAGAAATCGTAGTGATGGTTAATATGATATTCATAACTGAGGAACCACTCTATCGGGTCGGGCTAGGCTAGCCTACTCTTTCCAATTGACTCTTTTTATAAATTTATCATTCTCTTATACCAACGTGTTGCTGCTTTCTTTTGTTGTATGTGAAATAACCGATGGAATGAAATCCGGTTCTTATATGGTGATCCCCTTAACAAAACATATATGTAAAAAATTATATATCAAATGCAAATGCGATTATACAAAAAGGTCGAGATAACATCTTAATAATATAAAGTAAAAAAAATTGATCATATGCTTAGTGTCAGTAACTCAAAACATAGAAACTAACACAAAATCATTATTCTTCAAATCAACAAAGATAAATAAAATCAAACAAAAGAATTATCGATTCATTCCCTAGTGTTTACTAATATCATAGTCAAAAGTCATCATCAAGACCATGTTTTCCAAAAACCGGTCAAGGAAATAAATTAACATAAATAGTTTTGGAAATTGTAAAACAAATCATCTTTTATAAATTGAAGCCCTAAGAGTTAGTTTATGTTATCAGTCTCTCAGATTCAGATAACTTTTGCATTTTGAAGGAGAAGAAAAAAATGACAAAGGTGAGTACCATGCAGATTATAGTAAAGGATATGCTTAACAAAAACATATGCCTAGATGTTGATAGGTTTGAGACAGTCGAAAACCTCAAGCTCATGATCGAGGATAGTGAAGGCGTCCCAGTGGAAAGTCAGAGGCTGATCTTTTCAGGCAAGCAACTTCAAGATGGTCACACCTTAGCTGACTACAACATCCAAAAGGGTTCGTACATTCACTTGGTTTTGCGTCAATTTGGAGGTTCTACAAGAAAAAAATAATGTCGGTCTAAGTAAGCGAGCATCGTTATCTAGAACTCAATAATTTTTTATCTATTTGCTAAATAATCAAGTTTTCTAGTAATATTAGAAAACGACATGTCTGATCCTAAAACACTTTCAGTTTTACATGTCGCATCATATTCTCAAAACTTATTCGTTCTTACCGCAACTTGTTTATGCTTTACTTTCTCGATAATTTTTGGTAGAGGATTCGACATCAAGTCACCAAGTGAACACCAATGATTATCGACAAATAGATATAAACGTATGCTGAGATCAATTCAAGAATAGTTTTTAATTTCTTTCACAATAATATGATGTTCAGTTGTCTAAACAAGCTACAAATTTGTTAACGGGAAATAAAAAACAATTTGATTTCTCAAGAACCATTAAGAATACTAGTTTCTGTAATTTTTTAAAAAAATTTGAGTAACTATTGCAAAAGTAATATACTGTATCATGGTTTAATATATCATAAACAATCAAGTTTAAGATTATTGTGATTAATTCAAGCTGTCGATTGTGGTTTCATGGTTAGACATCATTGGTGATATAGAACCATGGAAATAACTTTGAACAAAAAAAAAACATGGAAATAAAATGAGATGAAATGTGATAGAATTTGACTTCCAAGTGCAAAGCGAAGAAGATATTAAACCTGAACAAGATGGGGATAGATACGCACACCATTTAGGCTCTGGATAAGAGGAAGTTAACCATCTGTTGCTATTGTAATGAATGTAATGATGTGGATGCTTTTACCCCACAAGAACCAGGCCAAGTCCACTAATGGTTCATGCCATTATAAAAAAACAGAAAAAGACACCACTTTGTTTATTACTCTTGGGAGCAACTTTGCATGCTAACGAAAAATATGAAATAGTAATGTGTCCCACATCGGTAATTACTAAAGATGTAAGCTAATATATAAAGGTGTAAATCACTCTGTTTGATTGTCAATTAATTGGTTGGAGTTTAAAGAGTGAGCATAAATCGTAGTGATGGTTACTATGATATTCACAATTGAGTAAACCACTCTATCGGTTTGCCACGGGCTGGTCTAGCGGCTAGCATACCCTTTACCAATTGACTCTTTTTAAAAGTTATCATATTTAGAAATGAAAACATGTTTATATTTCTGATTTTCACTATTTTTAATATCAAAACTGTAACTAAATATAAAAAATAATAGAAAGCTATCGCCTCGAGTCTGGTCCAAAAGAGTCTCTTATATTAACGTGATGCTGCTTGCTTTTGTTGAATGTCAAAGAAAACGTTGGAATGAAATCCGTTAAAGACAACTTTGGGTAATACCCTAAACCGATATGAAAAACCAAGCTAAACCGTATTGGAAACGACGTCTTCTTCTTCGTTCTTTATAATCTGTTTTCTCAATCTTTATTCCCGTTTTCTCTCTTGTAATTTACTCAATCTTCTTCATCTGTTAAGTCCGAGTTTACAGAATTTATTGAACCGGATTTTGTGATAACCAAGCTAAACCGTCATCCTCGTCTCTTCTTTATGATGTTTTTTTCTAATGGGCTTATAAATTAGGCCCAAATGTTATTTGTTTCGTTATCTGTAACTAATTTGAGTTCCCAAGGCAACGGCATATGAAAAGGCAAATTCATTGGTTGTCTTCATCGGTTACAGCAACAAGACAAAAGTGACCACATCACCGGAGAAAGTCCTTTTACCTGAAATTACTTACAGTTCTCAAAAATCCAAAAGCTTCCACTGCGATATACACTCTTCGACTTCTCCGTTTCTCTTTCAGGTACCTACAACTTCAACTTCTTCGTTTCATTTTCTTGATTTTTCTTTTGGACCAGACTCGAGAGAGTACCACTGTTTAGGGTTTATGCTATCTGCTTCTGTTGCTGCAAAATCTTAATTCTTGCTTTTAGAGCTATTGATTTGGAGATTTTTAGCTAATTTTCTTGAAAAATTTCACTCTCAAATCTCTGCAGAGGTGTGTGTTTGTGCTCAGTGGCGATGGAAACAAGCAGAGGAAAGGTAATCATGTTGTGTCACTGGGACGGGTGTATAAAATACGGTCCTGATGGCGTATACTACGAAGGACCAACTTCCGAATATTTCAGAGTGAAGCAAAAGACTGAGCTAAATAGGTTGCTAGAGGGGCTTTACAAGAGATTCGGATTAGACAAGGAGAGATCAAAGTTTGAAATCTGGGGTAAGTTCCCTGTTCTTGTTCAACAATCTAAGCTCAAGTATCTTCTTCTCCCTGTCGTGGACGACTCTAGCTTCGCGGCTATGCTTGATGTTCCAAGCAACCATCCTTCTATAACCAATGTGGAGTTGTTTCTGGAAGTCAAAACAACCTCTGATGATGTTCTTGACCCAAATTCTTGCGCAAATCCCTTGAAGAGACAGAGGACGAATCCGAATCCAAGCTCGGAAGGATGCTTGAATAAAGCTCTGACCTTTCCTTCTGGGGTTGTTTCAAAACCGTGTGTTTCGTCTAGTTTGTGGCTTGGTGACGACATGCGTTTAGGGTTGTGTTTTAAAGACGTGGATGAGCTGAAGAAGGCAGTGGACTGGTACTGTATTAGAGGTCGGCGTAAGTCTGTAGCGAGAGAGACAGAGAAGAAGGACGTGTATAGGTTTGAGTGCGTGAGAACTAAATGCAACTGGTCGCTTCATGCAGCTAGAGTCGAAGAAGGTCTTGTTGAGGTAACCAAATACAATGCAACACATACTTGCTCTCTTGCTGAAAATGTGAAATCAGATTTTGTAGCAGATGAGATTGAAAGTGTGGTTAGGTTAAACCCTACTCTGTCCATTCAAGAGTTGAAGAAATGGTGGAAAGAGAAGCTTGGATACGAGCTTCAAGCATCTCATATGCTAGAAGGGAAGTTTGAAGTGATCAGAAGAGTGTATGGAGATGAGGAACAGAGTCTCAGAGCCGTACCGAAGCTGATCTCTGCGTTACAGTCATCTAACGAGATGCTCGTTGACTGGCGATACGAGGTTTTTCCAAACCCTAAATATGCTTCCTTCTCTGGTCTGTTTTGGACGTTTTCACAGTGTATCAAAGGGTTTCAACACTGTCGACCTCTGGTTGTAGTAGACACAAGAGACTTGTACGGTGGTAATGATTATGTTTCTCCACGCTGCTCTCAGTTCAAGTTGATGATTGCTTCAGGGTTAGATGCTGCCAACAGATACTTCCCGCTAGCGTTTGCGGTTACGAGAGAAGTGTCTGTTGAGACTTGGCGTTGGTTTCTCAGTAGGATCAGAGAGAAGGTAACGCAAAGGGAAGGGCTTTGTTTGGTTTCAAGTCCAGACGAGGACATAGTCACTGTTGTTAACGAACCAGGGTCTCAGTGGAAAGAGCATAGGTTCTGTCTGAAAGGGTTATGCTCTCAGTTCTGTGACGTCGTTGAAGACGGCGGTGAAGAGCTGGTGCGTCTTGTCAAGAAAGCTGGATACTCGAGTCAGAAGAGAGACTTCGATTCTTACATGGATGAGATCAAAGAGAAGAGAACTGTAGCTCGGAAATGGCTAAACAAAATCCATCCACATCAGTGGGCTCTGGCTCATGACAATGGTGGTCTAAGATACGGACTCATGGAGATTGATACTAAAGCTTTGTATGCAGTTTTTAGAGACTTCTTGTATCATAGAGTTGCATTGTCAGGGGTTTTGGTGCTTATGTTTGATGATCTTAGAGAAGCTTTTGATGAGTCTTTTACATGTAGCAGTGAGTCTCTTAACCGTGGTGATGTGTACACAAAACCTATCATGGACAAGCTTGAAGAGTTCGTGAGAGATTATGATGCTGCTGCTTATGTGATAACGCCGTTAGAGGGTGATGCATTTGTGGTGTCAGGAAACGAGAAGTGGATTGTTAAGCTGAATGAGTCAATCTGCACATGTGGGAAGTTTCAAGGTGACAAGTTCCCATGCGTACACGCTCTAGCGCTTTGCGAGAAGCTGAGGATCAATCCTTTGAAGTATGTAGACGACTGTTACTTGCTTGAGAGGTATCACAAAACGTACTCTGCTGAATTCAGTCCTGTTCCGGAAGTCTCGGCTTGGCCTGAAGCTTCTGGTGTTCCAATGTTGCTTCCTCCTTTGCTTCCTCCTAAAGTAGAAGGTAAGATTTGAATGCAAACCGGAGTTAGGTTTATGTAAATCATGTCCTATTTTGTGTAATGTCTTCTGAGTTCTGACTTTTGGGAAGTAAGATTAAAGCGGTTCATGCTTTATATATATATCTTATTATATAAAGCTGGATGCGCGACGTGGTTGCGACACGTAGGATTTTTATAAAATTTAGGATTGCGACATGTGTCACTTTTAATGTTATGTCCGTTAAGATCGTGACATGTGTCTTAGAAAAAAAGGAAAAAAATAATAATTAAAAAAAATAGATAAAGGAAAAAAAACGAAATTTTAATCTTTTATAGTTAAAAAAAAAAATATTTGTCATATCCTAATAGAAAAAGGTTTCCCATTCATCAAATTTATATTATCCAAACACATATAAGATTCAAATTAATGAAATAAATAAAATCCTATTAGTACATGAAATAGGTTAGGTAAACTAAATTTCCTATAACTGCATGGAATAAGTTACATGAACCCCTATAAAAAGAGAGTTAAAGTAGTTTTTTTTCTCATTCACAAACTCATCAAAGCAAACAACATGATAGCAATACTGTATGATTTTTATAACTCACAATTATGTGCTTCTATCTTTTGTATAATCTTTTCTCTCATAAAAAATCATGTATTTAAAATTCATGGTATCAATGAATAATATTTAACTCTATATTAGTTGGATAGAAATCAAAATTATTGTCGATACATGTATCTAACTCTATATCGGTTGGATAGAAATCAAAATTATTGTCGTTACATGTATTTGATCCGGTGAAGACATGTTAATTGGAAAAATGTTAAACAGATATAAAAACTAGAAAAATAATTAAAAAAAAACTAACTAATAATGAAAATGAAAATTTATAATGGTCTGAGTCAAAAACAAAATTGAGAAAGAAACAATATAAATAGAAAACTAACAAATTAATTATCAAGCAACTAACTAATATTAAGAAAATATAATGAACCGATATTCTAATTTTAAATAGTTTAATTTTCAATATTGTTAGGTAAAAAATTATTAAATAAAGATTTCATCAATTGAAATCTCTTGAATGGAATAATAAAGTTTTGTTGAATTAATTAATCAGTTGATCATATTTAGACATATATAAGTCTTTCTATATTGGATAAAAATAAAAATAAAACAAATTAATTCATTTTTCATATCATGAATTCAAAAAAATATCAATTACAATAAAAACGTAAAAAGGTTACCGATCTTATTTTATTTAAATATTTTTATCGGGTTTTTAATATTATTCTGTTTACTTTAAAATGATCAAATTTGGTTTAATACTTTTCCATGATTTTATTACAAAATCTTAAAATAAACCCGCGTATACGCGGGTCTTAATCTAGTATATATATATTCTAGAAGAAGATGATTTCTTTCTTGTTCTTGTTTCATCTTCTAGATTTGTACTAAATTCTAAGTAAAATTATAATATATTATCTTATTTATCCTTATTATTCATTCTCGTGCAAGTAATTAGTAAGTTGTAGAAGATAAAATAATATGCAGAACCTGAAAACATCAAAGTTTATAAAACTAGATTTGAAGCCCCGCGCAAGCGCATGGTTGTTTGCGATAGTTTTATGTTTAATTTTATTTATACTTGTTGATTTGAATTATGAATTATGATGGTTTTGTATCAATTTTCATGTTTTTAGTATGTTTTGAGTTAACCTAACCACTAACATTAAAAATATAAATATGAACAATTTGTCCTTTATTTTATTTTATTAGGATGTTAACATCCTCTCACTTTGTCTCAAGTTTTCTATTTTAATTTTTTAGTATGTTACAAATATTATGTTTGTTTACTTCTGTTAAACTATAAACATGCATATGCATTTGACTCAACATTAAAATTTGTAAGCATAATAAAAAATTGCATTTACACCCGAAATAAGATGAAAAAAAAAATATATATATATTTTTTACATATCTACTTTGTTGTAGTAGCATATGAGAGAGAGAAGGAGATATATGGTGAGAGTGTTTATAAGATTTAAGGGTCAAGACTCAAGAGATGTGTGAATCGTGAAGAGAGTATGGGGGATTTTATAGGAGACGAAATGTGTAGGAGCGAGTTTTGAAATTTTTGAAAAAAAGTTAAAAGATAATTAAAACAAATCATATCTTGTAAATTCCATAAAATGAGTCGTATTTCCACGAAAAAAAAGGGAAACAAATCAAACAAAACCAAGAAAAAGATCTAATTCGATTTATGTTTATTTGAAAAAGACAAATTCAACAATAATTTGTTTCTTTAATAAAAAGGTTTAATTAGCTGTATTTGCATATACACAAAATGTTGAATTAGCTGTATTTGCTTATACACAAATTGGGGTTTAACCATATATATTGGGGTTCTTATCTGTAGTTTCTGCAGAAGTGTTTGAGATCTATGGCGGATAAGTGTGGAAGATAATACCCCAAAAGGTAGGCAATATTATAGGGTGATATAATCAAATTTGCTGAGAAGATCAAAAGCTTCGATATTTATGTCTAACAATCTAGTTAATCTTATGAGGAAATACAAGAATATTGTAATGTTAATACGGTTATTTGGAACACAGTCCAGCTTTTGTTTCCTAAAGCATTCGAATCACAAAGAGCTACTTCCGCTAACTTGAGAGGCAAGGAAATGCCAAATCCTATAAACACTAAGAAGCAGAAATAGAGTTCAAGATAGGTTGCAGAGAGAGGATCTTTGACGACTGAAGAGAGAAGAGAAGGAGGAGAGCAGCGAGTGTTAGATTGGATCAAGATAGAGATGCCGCATTTGTGTTTACCATACTTAAATCATACTTGTGTAACTAATTTGATACCTTTAATTAAGATCAGAAACCTCGTAAATTCCTATAAATATTTTTCTGTAATCCCCATATATAGTCTCATTAGTAATAAAGGAACTAAAATGAAAATGAAATTTGATTCTAGACGGCAAAAACAAAGAAGGTAATGAACGTGAACAGGATAGTGAGTGATACGGTTCTTTGGAACACAATCCATCATCATTCGTTTGCTAAAGAAGTTGAATCACAAAGAGTTACTTCAAATAACTTTAGAGGCAAGGAAACGCAGAGTCCTATAAACGCTAAGAAGTAGAGATAGAGATCAAGATAGTTTTAAAAGAGAGGATCTTACAAGATAGAGATGCCACATTTGCGTTGTGGTTGCATTGTACTCGTTAAAATTCGATGCATACCTAAGCCATCGGTAAGTAAATAATTTGAAACCTAGAAACAAAATCTCAAAAGCCTTCTCTGAGCAATTCCATTATTATTTATTAGGTATATTTAATCATGAAAATAAAATGAAATAACGTTCTAAATTTGACCAAAGCAAAGAATATATATATTGAACGTGAACAAGATGGTGACACGAACCTATTGATACCGTAAAAGAAGATTACCATCTCTTAGGCAAGGATAGATGACGTGATGATAACGCTGATCATTTATCATTATCATTCTTTGTTAGCATCATTCATGATCATCATCATTTCTTAGAACAGAATGTTACAATTTTATGGGACGAAGAAGGAGAAACGTCTGGCTGATGCTTATCCTGAATCTTGACTGAAGCCCGAGACTGTAGTTCAAAAATATGAAATAATAAGCGTATCCCACATCGGTAATTATCAAAGTCATAGTCTAATATATAAAGGTTTAATTCATTAGATTAGATTGTCAATTGGTGGGCTTTAGGAGTTACCATGAGCAGAAATCGTAGAGATTTTACAGGATCCTATGAAATCGAGAGATTGAGGTTCTATCCTATCGGTTTGCCATGGCGGTCTAGTCTTACCAATTGACCTTTTTTTGAAATGAATTGTATTGAGTCCAAAATGTACTTCAGTCCCTAAATGATTTTAACCAAATAACAAAAAGGACATTTACCATTTTGTAGGTCTTTTTTTTAGGGCAATTTTCTTTAATACCCAAACGTTACTATATCAAAATGAAAGAAAGATAAGGTATTTGCAAGCATCTTGTGAACAATAACATTGATTTGTTTTGACAAGGACACAAGGTAATATGAATCATTTAGCTTCTCGTAGCTTAAGTTTCCATATCAAGATCGTCCATCAAATAGTGCATCAGCTTTATCTTTGACCTAACTTTAGGCATAAGTATACTATTTTGTGCTTGCATGATTGACAATGGTGGAAATGTTACGTGTGTTAGGTGGTCTTCATGTGTCAGAAGTAACTTTTTCACTGATTCCACATGACAATAGTGTGAAGGAGCCACTGAAAGCACAAATGATATGATGTCCATTGTAGAGTGGTTCCTGAGATTAAGACTTTTTCTTGTCTTAAGCCCACACGAAGATCAATCATTGAATAGCTTGTTACAAGATATATTTAACTTTTTTTTCTGAAGCTTAAACAAGGCTCTGCTACCAATAAGGCAATGTACCACATCAACCAGCATTATTGAAGTGACGGACTATGGTATAAATAGCATACCAAGAAGCAGCATCAAAAGGAAGATACGCTAAGAAGCAGAAACAGATCAAGATAGGTTGCAAAGAAAGAATCGATCGAGCAAACAATTTATGACAACGCTCTTAACAGGTTATTAAAACGGATCACTGGCCATAAACGACTAAATATGTATGACTAGTAATTATACCATTCTTAAGACGGAAAGACCTAGTCTAATGATTGAGTTCTTAGCACGAATCATATAATATCAGCTTGTAGAGTGGCTCGTGAGATACACTATGTGATTTTTCTCTTGTCTTAACGCTTAAACCCACCAGGTTAATGTCAAACAACATCTTTTATCGTCCAAGAGGTGTACTCCACGTTATATGGACCAATAATTTCTGATTTTCACTATTTTATTACGTCATTGTCCATTGCTCACATTCGACGGACGAAAAAACAAGAAGGCAGAGAAGCTAGCACGGAGTGCTCGAGATCGCCTTCATGATATATACTATGTAAATTCTTCACTAGCGGTTTGGATTTCTGAGCCGTTAT